AAAGCACATCTTTTTCAAAAATGTATGGTTTCAGTCAAAAATGCCCCTTGGTAAATAATAGTAATGACAGTTAAAATTATTTTTATCTTCAATAACAGCATCAATCAAAACGCGTTTTAGTCAATAATGTTAATAAGTATGATAAGGATTTGAGTATCATAACATTTACTTTAATGTTGATAAAAAGGGGCTAATTAACTATATGATGTTCAGATGTTATATAGCTACTGTAGAGTATATTTAAATTTATAATTTTAACTGGTACAGGGTTTTGTCACTGAGAACTTTAACCAAATATCATGCTATATCTGCAATATGTATAGAGTTATATTATTATATCATATACTTTAAAACATTTAATATGTAGACAGTGCAAAGTATGAACATTTATAAATATAATATTGATTTAAAGTCTAATTCATTTTATCTTTATATTTCTTACAGTTTTGTTGTATTTGACATAAAAAGACTGTATCATGTTCACATGAGCTACTGCAGACAGGTGCAGACAGATATATACAAGTACATAAGTATACCTTCTTTTATATGTTTTGTTTGTACATCTGTCTGTATCTTTTTCATATAAATAGCTATCAATTGCTTGTAATAAATCATTGCCTTTCTCAAACTCAAATCACTCTTATTTTACTTGTCTAAACTATCATCTTTTCTTTTCAACTCACTGCTTATAGCTAAAAAAAACTTAAACATGTCCGATATTAACACAACTCTCCTCAACTCAATTCAAAAGATTGAGGTTGATCTTGCTGAAATCAAGCAAGCATTGCGTGAGCTTCAAAGGCAATTCAGTAATCAATTTGCACCAGCAGTCAGTGTGAAAGATCTAACTATAATGCAACAAAGCATTATTGAGCAGAGCTGTAAGTCATATATATTCTGTGCTTAGATGTTTATTTACTTTATTAATTTTGTCATATATTTTTTGTAGCTCTTGAGTGCATTGCCAAGTTTGTGAAAAGAGCCCAGCTCACAGAGTACTCTGATCAGCTTGGTAAGCAAGTAATCAATACTGGCGGCAAGTTCAAAGGAAAAAACAAAGCACAAAAATACAATCTGTTACTTCAGATTCTTCACGAGCAGAACTGGAAGGCGCACTACAAAGAATTTCCACAAGGGCAGCCTTTGCCCCCATTAGTCCCTCTTTCAGACCATGATTTGACAGTAAAAAGACTGCATCTCAAAACATTAGGCCGTATCGTAAAGCATGATATCATTGACAACGACTATCTTGTGGCCTCAAAAGAATGGAATAATATCCCAGAGAAAAACAGGGAATACTACATGATGCATTTGGAGAGGTTGGTAAAGAATGGTGGATTGCACATCTACCAATGTAAAAGAATGTGGTGTGCAAGAAGTCTTCTTTGGGAAAGCTTCAAGAGCAACAACCAGACGCACAAGAGAAGAATGGCAGAGAAGAACAAAGTAAGTTTATCAATTAACAAATCTATATATTGTAAACTTTAATTAACATTGTTTCCTTTTATTATGCTATAGAAACAGCAAGACATAAGTGATTCTTTGCTTTCTTCTTCTGATATGTCAGAAACTGGTGATTATGAGTCGCCCATAATGGCAGATGTGCTGTAAGTTACCATTGTTGCTTTTTCTCATGCACTGTTAATACAAAACTAATATAAACTTCTTACTCTTTTATGTAGGTCTCCTCCACTCACAGCAAGTGTTGAGCCTGCTCGCAAGAGAAGCCGAAGATCGTAGTTTGGCTGCTGTGATTGGCCGAGTTTGATTGTTTTAGTCTGTCTTTAGTGCATTTTTTTTCTTATCTAGTCATTTTTCTTTTTATGTTTTTTATTCCTTTTTTCTTTCATATAAAAACTTTATTGACCTCTTTCATATGATTGCTAATGTTGTGATTACAAGAATTTGAAGCTAATGTACAACATCTACAATTCCATTACATTCAAATATAAAAGGAAATAGTATATAGCTTTTTTTTGAAAAAAAAAATTAATAGTAATATTTTTGTACTGATATATTATACTCGGGAGTTATTCTATTATATGTAAGTATATTGAGTAGAATAAACACTTTGAGCTTTCTAACAAGATGCTCATTTCAGTTGCATGAATCAGATTTGAATTAGCTTCATGTTATATGACTTGAATCTTTGCTCAAGTTTTTCTTCTTCTATGATAACAACTTTCTATAGTGCTTATGTTTTATTGCTTTTCTTATATATAGATCTTAAATATTAATACATTCTTTAATATGTATATATATTCTTAGAGTAAATGTTTATTTTACTGAACAAGTAAGCATATTATATAAAGGTAAGCATTATAATAATATTATATCTATTTATTTATTTTAAGTTTTTTCTCTAATATTAATATATTTGTAAAAATTGGTAAAAAATAATAAGTGTTATCTAAGATATATTAGAATACCCAAAGTATATGAAATACAATTTAAATAGTAGTGTTTTACTACATACGTTTTGCAGTAGCTAAACAGAATCATTTTTTATTGCCAGTGACCAATGGAATTGTTTTTTCATTATTACTATTATTATTATCATTTTTATTTAATAAAACATGTATTGAAATAAAGATTCAATTCAATTAAACCCAATTCAATACTGTATAATAAAAAACAGGCCATTCTGTTAAAGCCACAAAGAAAAAACAAGAGGTTGTGCTAGAATTGAAAGCAATAGAACAAAAGAAAGAATGTAATAAAGAAAAGGAAGGATGCTTGATTTTTTTTTTGAAAAAATGGTAACAGTGCCTGTTTTGGCTTTTTACATATAAATAACTGTCATTTTTTATTATGAAAAAAATGGTAACAGTGCTTGTTTTGGCTTTTTACATAATAAATAACTGCCATTTTTTACTATGTAAAAAATGGTAACAGTGCCTGTTTTGGCCTTATACAGAGTCATAACTGCCATTTTTTATTAAGGAAAAAATGGCAGTTATGTTACCAAAGTGGTAACATGTTACCGTTTTCTCTGCTGTAGTGTTTAGAAAAGATATAAAAGAGGGCATTATTTTATTCAATAAAATTTATCTATCTTTCTATCCTCTTTTTATTCTTTTAACTTCATTTACGATTCCCAGTAGGTTTGATCAATTTTGGCTGTGTTATAGCATTGGAACAACAAGCCAGATCGAAAATGATAATTGTGACATTTCCAATCTGAGTTGGTCTTCCTTTTACTATAACAAAGTCAAAAGGTCAAACCCACTGGGGATCAAGAAGTATATATAAAATCAAAGAGAGAATAAAAGATACTTTTTATTGATATAAATTAAATTGTTTTATATAGTTTTCTAGACTAATACTGCGCATTATCTGCAGTAGCTATTATATTATATTTAAATAAAAGAAGAGTCATTATTCTGCAGTTAATGCTCAGAAACATGTTACTGTGCATAAAGATATACTGTAGTTAACCATCTTCAGATTTTACAGATTCATCAAAATAATGTCTGACAATTGTTGTTTTTGATTTGGGTTGTTCTTCCAATGCTATAAGAGCATCCCCAGCAGTTACATTTAAATCCAGCTTTACACAAAATACATATACTTTAGCAAATTTACCAAAAAAAAAACAGCACCAGCAGTTACATTTCTGAAAACATTTAATAAAAAATTTGGCAAATTTACGGCCTGCTCCATGGATTTACATGTACTTTTTTTTTAAAAAATTGCCTTTGCGTTTTAACTTTCTTTTATTTTTCTTTGAATTAAACAATAGAATATAACAATGGTTAGAAAAATTTTCAGAAATTATATTTGTTACAAAGCTAACAATCTAAGAAATATTTAACTTGCATTTTTAATATTATAAAGAGACAAATGTCTAATAAAATGATTTTAGAAAAAAAATTACTTGTAAAGACTATATTAGATAGTGAGGTCTTGAAAAAAAATAGCAAATGTTACTGAAATTTGTCCCACCATTTTTTGGCTGTTTTAAAGCACCAAAGTGGCTTAAAAACATTTGGAAAAAAAGGAGGAAATGTAACTGCTGGGGATGCTCTAATACAGCCAAAATTGATTAAACCCACTGGGAATTGTAAACAAAGATAAAAGAATAAAAAGAGAATAGAAAGATAGATAACTTTTATTGAATGAAATAATATTCTCTTTTATATCTTTTCTAAACCTACCCAGCCATTATAAATGTCTGTTTCGGTTTCTATTCTACTTTTGTTAAGCTATGTGCTTTCTAATTCTTTTGTGAGCAAAAGAAAATCACTTCGGTTGTCGTTCTCAAAAGAGAATTCTGTATAATTGTTATTCTGATTGGCTGACAAGAATTTGGGCACAACAATATCTTCCAATTTACTATAAATGTAGCCAAATTGGTCAAGCTTTTGTTAAGTCGACTGGGTGTATTTTTCTATTATTTTAACTTTTATAAGTTTTAATAATAGATCACTACCAACTAGAACATTGTGAATAAATAGGAACAGATAGGAATATAGAGAATTGAATGCTTTTTATTAATATAAATCTTGAAGTATTTATATAGATTTCTTAAAAGTGAAGCTATCTAATCTAATTATTTTATTCAAGACATATTGGTTTTACATTTATGAAAGGCAATAGAATATAGTAAAAAACATTTGTAAGACACATAATTTGAGAAAATAAGGCGCACTTTTGAGATTTTAATTTCTTTTTTAGAAAAACAAAAAGTGATGTACCAAGCAAGTATTATCATTTTTTCTTGCAGAAAATTATGCAAGAAGTGCATCAAGTCCCATTTATATATGACATCTAAAAAATAAAAAGATTTTTTCAAAATATTAGTGGCAACAAGAAGGTATAAAACCAAAAGACTTAGTTTCAGTGTATATAACATGACTTACTGTAATATATTGTGACTCACTCTATTAACTTTTGTGAACAAATTTAACAAAAAGAATTGCATGTATAAAGCTTTACTTGTAATATAAAAAACAATATATACTTTCTTTCTCAATTATCTCAGCTTTTACTATAACAGAATGTCCTCCTTTAAATTTGTGTATGAAGATAGTCAAGAAAAGAGTGTTAATGAAGATAGTTCTCAAGCTTTGATTCATATAATTGATGAGGATTATCATGGTCTTGAGACAATAGCAACTCATTCTCAATTCCTTGAATCAAGAAATAGAGATAGGATTTCAGAAGTCTCAGAGGTATGTTTTTTTTTTAAAAAAAAAGTGGTAATTAAAAATGCATTTAAATATATATATATCTAATTTAGAGTAATCAGACAGAGAACCAAGTGGGAAGTCCAAGCATCCCCCCACCAAAAAAAGCAAGACTACTTGTCAGTATAATACTTACACTAATGAGAACATCATCAAGTTTTTCAAGCTGAAAGATGAGAAATTGCTTAGTGCTAAGACTGCAGCAAAGCAATTGAACATAAGTGCCAGAGTGGCACAATTTTGGGTGAAGAAGTACAATGAAGACCCAGACAACTTGTTCAATCATGACAAGAAGGGTGGGAAAAAATAACTGACTGACGAGCACAAGAAATGCATTAAAGAATTCATTGCAGAAGATACATCTGTCTATGTTAAAGACGTGATGGACTATTGCATCTTAGTGTTTGGCAATATCAACGTGTTAAAAGAGACTGTCAGGAGGTTTATGGCCAACAAATGCAATCTCACATTGAAAAAGATCTATAAGCAGTCTGTAGCAAAGAACAGTGAAGAGAATATTGAGGCAAAATATAACTGGATTCTGCAGATGAAGAAAACAAGTGCCAACTACATGACAAACTGTGTTTTCTTGGACAAGTCAGCCTTTGATATCAACATGTGGCACAGAAGAGAATGGTTCGAGAAGGGAAAGAAGGAAGTCACCACCACCCCAACCACCAGGTTCCACCCTCTTACCATTTTTGGGGCTATGTTGGCCAAAGGCCTTATATATATCAGCTTGAGGAATCCTAAGTTCTGTAAGCAGTTCTCTTCTGCTGAGTCTGGCTCAAAGGGTACAGTGGCCAGACATTTCTTTATGTTTGTGAAAGCTGTCTTTGATAAGATAGATAAGTATGTCAATATGAAGGGGAACTTTCTGGTGATAGATAATGCACCCATCCACCAGAGTGCAGATATCAGTCTATATATCTCCTCTAGGTGATATAATTTTATCTACCTTCTAGTATACTCTCCACAACTCAATTCTATTGAGATGTTTTGGAAAGTAGTAAAGAACAGAGTGCAAAGAAAGAGTTTGAATAACAATGAGACTATTCTCATCTGAATCGAGAATAGATGGTGTAGTCTTAGCAATGAGAACTACCATAACATTGTCTAGCATTCTGTAAACCAGTTGACAAAATATGAAAATAAAGAACCTTTGTGATTTCTCATTTTTTACATAATATAACATACACTCAATTGTGGGACTTATATTCTTGAATTTTGTGTCTTAAATATTTGAATTGCGCGCCTTATATAGTGTTTTTTACTGTATGTCTTGATTAACAAAAAAAGGAACCAATCGGTAAAACATTGAGGGTGTATGTTAAAAGGAATAACTAATTAGATATCTGACTTAAGGGTTTTGATATACAATGTCAACTCTGACACAAGTGCCAGAAAAGAAATATCAGATTGAAGCCTGACAACTTGCTATAATTGCTGATTGTTGTGGTGGTTGAAGTTGAAGAAGTTTTTAAGAGGAAGAATTGAAGATTTGAAATTAGGAACGAAGATTCGTGAGAACTTGTGTAGGTTTTGTTTATTGAGAAAGATTTTGTATCAAAGTTTGACCAGGTTCCTACACTGAACTACTACTGCTATTTATATTGTTTTGGATTGGGAAAATTATATAACTGGGGTCAGGTAATCGATCCTATCTGAGCCTTAATCAGAGCAACGTGATCTTGGGATAATTAATGTATGATTAATTATATAAATGTGTGTAGTCCCAATGAAGTATTAACATCGAAAGTAAATGTGTTTATGAGTTATAATTATGCTTATAATAATCCACTGATGTATCCCATATTATGATGATATCATCATATGAAATATAATCACTATCATGCATGCTAAACCTGTGTGTTAAATAATAAAGTAATCGGTAGACACCTTTGACTGGAATAGCTGAGGCCTTATATTATTTCCTTCAGACTTATTCTCAATTACAGCAGTAGTCAATACTCATTTACAACACTGATGTTGTTCCTGACCTGGGTTGATCTTTCTTTTACTATACCAAAGTCAAAAGGTCAAACTCACTGGGCATTAAGGAGTATACATAAAATCAAAGAGAGAATAAAATATACTTTTTATTTGAATATAATACGAGGTAGACCAGCGTCTCTAGCAGAACTGCATTGAGAAGAAATAACCATACTATGAAAAGAAAGAGAAAACTGTTCATCTGAGTTTATTTGGATTTTGTTATTATAAAGGTTTATTGTAGTAATAAAAATAAAATAATAGTAAGGAATATATCTTGAAGTCATATTTTTTTGGGGGTTTGTATTTTGATATTTTCAAAAAGGAAAGAAAACTTTATACTTTGTCATATACACAATTGGTATTGACAATTTTAAAAAAAAATTGAAATATTCGAAAAAAAAGTAAAAAAAAACATAAAGATAAAAATAAGTACAAGCAGAAATAACATGAATACAAAAAATAAAAAAATAAAAATAAAGCATATAGAAAAAGATTGCCATATTTGGATAAAGACATAGGGCAGAAAGCATATGATATGGAACAGATTAGTTAATTTCTAGAAAGCACTTCATTATAAACAACATTGTTTATATAGACATTGCTGGTTGCTTTGGTAGAAATACTGTCTATATCAATCATGATTTTTACTGAGTTTGGACCTGAGAGAGAGTGACATACAACTGCCCATGACCAAAGACATGGTCGGGAAGATACAGACCAACTTTGTCAAGGATCTGGCCTTGGAACTTGTTGATAGTCATGGCAAAGGCAAGGCAAACTGGAAATTGACATTGCTTGAACTCAATGGACATGATCAATCCAGTTGGATTCAGCTTGATTCTGGGGATAAGCACCACCTTTCCAGCACTTGATCCAGTTACAATGGTAGCCTTGATGACATATCTGCCAAAGTCATTGCATATAAGGTGGGTACCATTACAGAGGCGGTAGTACGCTGGGCCATGTTGTGAGTGGTAGTTAACTGGCTGGGGACAAAATTGCGGTTCCTTTGGTTGTTAGGGCACTGCAAGCTGTTACTCCATTGGTGACCAATTCTATTACAGCTGGAACAGTGGGGAATAACAGTGGCAGTGGCAGTGGCAGTGGCAGTGGCAGTGGCAGTGGTGGTAGTCAAATCCAAGTCTCTCTCAACATCAGAAACTTGCAAAGCCTTAAAAGTGGCAGTTAGATCTATAATGAAAATATTAAAAAATAATTAATAGTTGTGGCAATTTATATACAATTTTAAAAATTATCTCTGTTGCTCTCTGCAGTATATTGTTCTGTGAACGAGAGATCAATTGACAATAGTTGTGTAGGCTCAATAAAATCCCAGACAGCTTCAACCCTTGCACTGGAAAAAGTGTCCACTTTCACATATGTCAAGCAAATCTAATTTCGAGTGAAAGAAAACATAGAATTGCATCTCAGCCAGTTTTTGTGAATTAAATATTTGACAAGAGATGTAGTCGATTTAATTGGCCATAACAATTTGTGTAGCATCTGAGAAAAATACTAAGTCTAAATAAATAAAAAATAAACTACTTTGTGTTCCTCTTCTTTACTTTTAAACCCATAAACACATTTATCTTTTTTCATTAAAATGCCTCCCAGCCATATCTCAACCAAAAAGTTTAAATGCTACTGTCCAGTATGCAGAATTAAAGCAGAAGGATATAATACCCACTACGGCGGAGAAAATGGTAACATGTTACCACTTTGGTAACATAACTGCCATTTTTTACTTAATAAAAAATGGCAGTTATGACTCTGTATAAGGCCAAAACAGGCACTGTTACCATTTTTTACATAGTAAAAAATGGCAGTTATTTATTATGTAAAAAGCCAAAACAGGCACTGTTACCATTTTTCAAAAAAAAATCAAGCGTCCTTCCTTTCCTCTATTACATTCTTTCTTTTGTTCTATTGCTTTCAATTCTAGCACAACCTCTTGTTTTTCCTTTGCAGCTTTAACAGAATGGTCTGTTTTTTATTATACAGTATTGAATTGGGTTTAATTGAATTGAATCTTTATTTCAATACATGTTTTATTAAATAAAAATGATAATAATAATAGTAATAATGAAAAAACAATTCCATTGGTCACTGGCAATAAAAAATGATTCTGTTTAGCTACTGCAAAACGTATGTAGTAAAACACTACTATTTAAATTGTATTTTATATACTTTGGGTATTCTAATATATCTTAGATAGCACTTATTATTTTTTACCGATTTCTACAAATATACTAATATTAGAGAAAAAACTTAAAATAAATAAATAGATATAATATTATTATAATGCTTACCTTTATATAATATGCTTACTTGTTCAGTAAAATAAGCATTTACTCTAAGAATATATATATATATTAAAGAATGTATTAATATTTAAGATCTATATATAAGAAAAGCAATAAAACATAAGCACTATAGAAAGTCGTTATCGTAGAAGAAGAAAAACTTGAGCAAAGATTCAAGTCATGTAACATGAAGCTAATTTGAATCTGATTCATACAACCGGAATGAGCATCTTGTTAGAAAGCTTAACGTGTTTATTCTACTCAATATACTTACATATAATAGAACGACTCCCAAGTATAATATATCAGTACAAAAATATTACTATTAATTTTTTTCCCAAAAAAAAGGCTATATACTATTTCCTTTTATATTTGAATGTAGCGGAATTGTAGATGCTGTACATTAGCTTCAAATTCTTGTAATCACAACATTAGCAATCATATGAAAGAGGTCAATAAATTTTTTATATGAAAGAAAAAAGGAATAAAAAACATAAAAAGAAAAATGACGAGATAAGAAAAAAAATGCACTAAAGACAGACTAAAAAAATCAAACTCGGCCAATCACAGCAGCCAAACTACGATCTTCGGCTTCTCTTGCAAGCAGGCTCGACACTTGCTGTGGGTGGAGGAGACCTACATAAAAGAGTAAGAAGTTTATATTAGTTTTGTATTAACAGCGCATGAGAAAAAGCAACAATGGTAACTTACAGCACATCTGCCATTATGGGCGACTCAACATCACCAGTTTCTGACATATCAGGAGAAGAAAGCAAAGAATCACTTATGTCTTGCTGTGTCTATAGCATAATAAAAGGAAACGATGTTAATTAAAGTTTACAATATATAGATTTGTTAATTGATAAACTTACTTTGTTCTTCTCTGCCATTCTTCTCTTGTGCGTCTGGTTGTCGCTCTTGAAGCTTTCCCGAAGAAGGCTTCTTGCACACCACATTCTTTTACATTGGTGGATGTGCAATCCACCATTCTTTGCCAACCTCTCCAAATGCATCATGTAGTATTCCCTGTTTTTCTCTGGGATATTCTTCCATTCTTTTGAGGCCGCAGGATAGTCTTTGTCAATGATATCATGCTTTACCGTACAGCCTAATGTTTTGAGATGCAGTCTTTTTACTGTCAAATCATGGTCTGAAAGAGGGACTAATGGGGGCAAAGGCTGCCCTTGTGGAACTTCTTTGCAGCGCGCCTTCCAGTCCTGCTCGTGAAGAATCTGAAGCAACAGATTGTATTTTTGTGCTTCGTTTTTTCCTTTGAACTTGCCGCCAGTATTGATTACTCACTTACCGAGCTGATCAAGGTACTCTGTGAGCTGGGCTCTTTTCACAGACTTGGCAATGCGCTCAAGAGCTACAAAAAATGTATGACAATATTAATAAAGTAAATAAACATCTAAGCACAGAATATATATGACTTACAACTCTGCTCAATAATGCTTTGTTGCATTGTAGTTAGATCTTCCGCACTGACTGCTGGTGCAAATTGATTGCTGAATTGCCTTTGAAGCTCGCGCAATGCTTGCTTGATTTCAGCAAGATCAACCTCAATCTTTTGAATTGAGTTGAGGAGAGTTGTGTTAATATCGGACATGTTTAAGTTTTTTTTTAGCTATAAGCAGTGAGTTGAAAAGAAAAGGTGATAGTTTAGACAAGTAGAATAAGAGCGATTTGAGTTTGAGAAAGGCAACGATTTATTACAAGCAATTGATAGCTATTTATATGAAAAAGATACAGACAGATGTACAAACAAAACATATAAAAGAAGGGATGCTTATGCACTTGTATGCACCTGTCTGCACCTGTCTGCAGTAGTTCATGTGAACATGATACAGTCTTTTCGTGTCGACACAACAAAACTGTAAGAAATATAAAGATAAAATGAATTAGACTTTAAATCAATATTATATGTATAAATGTTCATACTTTGCACCGTCTACATATTAAACGTTTTAAAGTATATGATATAATAATATAACTCTATACATATTGCAGATATAGCATGAAATTTGGTTAAAGTTCTCAATGACAAAACCCTGTACCAGTTAAAATTATAACTTTAAATATACTCTACAGTAGCTATATAACATCTGAACATCATATAGTTAATTAGCCCCTTTTTATCAACATTAAAGTAAATGTTATGATACTCAAGTTTATATCATACTTATTATCATTATCGACTAAAACTTTTGATTGATACTGTCATCAAAGGTAAAAATAATTTTAACTGTCATTACTATTATTTACCAAGGGGCATTTTTGACTGAAACTGTACATTTTTGAAAAAGGTGTGCTTTAACTCACATCGGCACTTTCAATTAACACCCCTTTCGATCAGTAGTGCTTATCTTGATGATGTCAGTAAAAGAGTATCAGACTATAGCCCTCATTATCTATATCTATTTCTTTAAGTTTTATACATAAACAAGAAAATAATGCTATTAGCTAAATATATATTCACTATCTCAAAAATATTATTAGTACAACACAGATAATATAAATATGTCTTTTCTACCAATGTGTTTAGACAGTACTACTTTTTTTTAACTGTTAATTATTAGAAGGCTGTTTTTCTTTGCCTTTGGTATTAGAGAGTAATTGATAATTTATTTAAAAAAAAAACATAAATTATTTGGTCATTAATTATCCTAAATATACATATACCTCTTTATAAAACCCAAAGAATATCTAATCGCTCACAAGTAAAGAGTATGTGTCTGTTTCACCAGTGCTCTTTTAATGGTACCCCCTTGTCAACCAAGAAGTATTTTAACTTACATCATAATTATTAATGAAGAAGAATCTTTCCAACCACGGGAATTATTTACTGACAGGTGTTTCACCTAGCATTGACATTACTGTAATTATTGCTATATCATCACTATGAGAGAGAAAAAGAAAAAGAGCCGCAAGCATTTTGGTTAAAAAATAAAGAGTATATAAAGATGTCTTTTACATTTAATAAATAGCACCAAAATCCTCTTCGCAGCTTTATTTTATATATTACATACGTACCAACCCAACCAATATGTCTTCTTCCAACGCCAGCCAGCAGAGAGATAGAATATCTACACAGCAATACCAATGTGATCAATGTGTCTTGTTTTTTTGATAACTACCAGAAGCTGCAAAACCACAAGAGAATTCACAGAGGAGATTCAGCAACAATGACTGAAATTGACCAGTCTATTCTGGATGATGTTGACATGTACCATGACAAAAATGATACTAGTAATGAAGATGAATCTGTTAGCAATTCAGGTAATGAAAAGAGCTGTAATTGTATTATTTATTTTCCAATTACTAAATAATGTATTACAGAATATACTATGGAGTCTATGGAGCTTGATAATACTATTTCATATAAGTGCGCATGTAATTTTGAGGACAGTGAGGGTGAAGCTCACATTTATGACAGCAGCCGAATCAGTACAAATACTTTTACCAAGGCTGAGTTGATGAGTATTCATCTGTCTCAATTGATGCTACAGCATAGAATTGCTAGAGCAGCATATAGAGACATTGTTCAATTTATAAACACTGTCATCCGAGACCATGACGATATAATGATGGGTAAAATATTATATTTTCTGTTACCTTGTACTTTAATTCCAGATCACTAACATGTAGTGATATCGTTTTTTTTAGAACCTGGGGCTAAGATCAGTCATGGCGAAACTGTTGATGCTTTGCTCAAGTCAAAGTCAAGTGTCAACGGCCATGAGTATGATGTCTGCTCTAGTGGTTGTCGATTGTATGGCATTAATGATGACCTGGAATCTTGTGTTGACTGCAGCAAACCGCGATACAAGACTGATCCCGATCAAAGTCAGACACCAGCCGCCAGTATGAAACTTATGTCAGTTGGGGATATGCTTTCTCAAATGTTGGCAGATCCAGCCACAAGAGAACTCCTCTGTTACAGAGCAAACCGGGAATCTGTAGCTGGTCAGCTAACCGACATTTTTGATGGTGACAATTACAAGCAGTTGGTGCAGCAGGGCCTGTTCTCCAATCCCGATGATATTGCCATTGGGCTTTATACTGATGGGTTTGTCAATCAAAAGAAAGGCAAAAACTCATATACCATCATCCATTGCATAATATTCAACCTAGACCCATCCATCAGGTAATTAATTAATTTATTACTATTTATTATTATTACATTTTTTTTTAAAAAAAATTACTAATAAAATACTTAGATATACCAACAAATACCTTTTGCAACTGGCAATCTTGCCTGGCCCCAAGAAGCCAACTCATTTGGACTCCTTTCTTATACCCATCATCAATGAATTGCGAGATCTTGAGGCACATGGCTTGGTTGTCAAGCACAATGGAGTGGAGTTTTGCAGATCCAAGGTCTATCTTCTGCTTGCTTCTGACGATATTCCAGCTGTAGCTGATATGGCCCACATTGGTTCCCATACAAGTTTATTTGGTTGCCGTTTTTGTGAGACCAAAGGCAAATGCCCTACTAACAGACGGCATGGCATGTACTTTGATGACATTTCCACCCGGTTAAGACCTTTGGAAGACTTCAAAGTAGGCAACCCTGTAAGTATACAAATGTTTAATTAGCCATCTTTTTTTCATACTAAATAACTGCTTGTAATAGTCGAAGAACATATACCAGCCGAGCATATATACCCAACTCTCAACCTTCTCTGGATCATCATTTTTTGCATTAGATGAACTTCATTTAATTGCAAGAGGGATTGGAAAGCTTGTGTATGACCTGATTACCATCACCCTCACAAAGGAAACCAAATTTTATTATACCCATCCAGACAATACCCTCAATACCACCAAATACCCTTTTCATATACCAAGAGCAGACCTTGTAACAATCGGAAACTGTATTACCAGCTCACGAAAATATATACCCACCTCATTTCAAGGCAGTTTCGACAACGTATTTGCCAAGATCGATGGTACTCGCGCAGTGGACTGGCTTGACTTTCTCTTATACCTTGTCCCCACTTTGGTCGTGCCTTATTTACCAAATAGGGCTGTCAAAACAGCTCTATTATCTCTCGTGAAAGGTTGTGCGTTTGCCTTGCAATGGGCGTTGACATCAGAATTGCTTGATGAGATGGAGTCGTAAGTTATTATATGTCTCATATATTATCATTACAAATAGCTGATTGTTACCATTTTTTAAATATTAATAATAGATACTTCAAGCACTGGCACTCGTTTTTATACCAACAAGTCCAGAATAATACCCTGTCTCGTAGTGTTTTCCAACCAGTGCAACATTACCTGGTCCATATACCCTATATCATCAAGCAGCAAGGCCCCCTGCAATGCTACTCCACTTGCTCAATGGAGAGAGTAATTGGCGTCTTCTCGAAATTGATAAAGTCCAAATCAAAGGGTGGCCGAAACGCCAGTTTTCTTGTCGAGCGATTTGCGATTCACAATTATACCAGCACGGCAATCAGCATCTGTGATGAAATCAACCTCATTCGGCCAAAGCCATATGGAAGAGAGAGCTACATGGACCTTCCTAATGATCCTAGTGGTGCGCAGTTGTGGGAGCCGTTTCATCAGTTTGTTAATTTGAACGATGATTTGGTGGAAGGTGTAGGCGGCCCTAGTGTGAAGGAAGCTTTATTGAAATACTACCGGAGAACAACAGGCTTGACTGGTCACGAGTTTGGTGACTCTGTTGTTGTTGTAGCTGCACATCTGTGGATGGACTCAACTGTATATTCCTCATGCATGTACCAAAGAAAGAAAAACGAGACCAGCCGTGGCAACCATTACGTGATGTTTACTTGCCCCTATAGAAAGTAAGTATAATATTTTTCGATATACAATCAAAAGTTGCTTACATTCTATTTATTTATTTATTTTAGCAACCGTAATGTAATTGTTCACAGCTGGCTCGTCGGTACAGTACAGTTCTACTTTCAGCATGTAGATTTCTATGGCTTCCCACACTTTCTTGCTTTCGTGGAGGTCATGAAGGAACATGACGCGGCTGGTCATGACTCATCAGTACCTATCGTCAAACAACGGTCACAAAGCACCCATACACTAGGCCACCAAACGCAACCGACTTATGCAGTTATAAGTGTAAATGACATTTGTTATCAAGTTGGTCTGGTCCAATACCCACCGAATGGAAACCAGTTTTATGTAATCGCGCCCTATTATATCTTTAACAACAACATGCGCATTACTAAAGGCAATCTTTCCATTCTGTAATCCTTTTTATTTTTATCTTATTTTTCTATATGCTCTATATCCTTATATCTTTTATATTTTTTATATCATCCTTGTATCTTATATTCTTTTTTTAATTTTCTCTATTTCTTATGTTTTTTTTAATCTCTATATGCCCCATCTTTCTTTTCTTCTTTATATACTCCGGTTTTTTTTCTATTCTCTATACACCTTATGCTTTTCTCTTCATTCCCTATATGCTCTATACGTCATTACGCAATTTAAATAAAATCAAATTGCCAATTCATCAAGATAAAAAGAATATCTAAAAAAAAAAGAACGTAGTTTAAAAAATAAAAAAATGGCAGTTATGTTACCATTTCGTTCACACATTCCAAAAATTATTAATCTTAATAATTGTTGACATCTTTGATATTCAATAAAACATATATTTCAATACTCAAAGTGGTCATTACAACTTACAAACATTTTTTACAGTATTGAAAATATTGTACAGCAACAAAAAAAGTGTTTTCATGCTACTTTTTTAAATTGCTACAAATGACATTACCATCTTACAACAAACGGCGGAGATTTTATTGGGTTTTGACCAAAAAAATGGCAGTTATGTGCCTACTTTCGGCCCAACTGCCATTCATCCCGCCATAGTGACCGTATCTGCTCAAACGCTTAAACATCATGAAAGAGATGAACAAATTGCAATCAGAGGGCAAACCAACAGACGTAGGAAAAACAATTATATTTTTATTTTTATTTTTATTTTTATTTTTAATATGATAATAAGGAGTTATCACAGAGTTTTTAGTGGGGTTACAGACTCAGACAACGAGCCAACCAGTGACTTGTTTAAAATAAAAAATCATTAGAACACCAAATTTTATAGGTAATTTTCACCAAAAAAATATGCTGCTCATTACAAAAAAGTGATCAAAACAAAATATTTCTTTACATACAAGAGATTCTTTCAAATTCTTATAAATATATATATATATATGAACGTGAGTAGAAGCTTTAAAAGTATCTATATTTCTCTTATATTTATCAAAAAGCTGATATTGAATTGGATAAAGTATTATTCTTTAAGTATATGTTTAATTACATATAGCTGTTTGATCTAATAAAGTAGAATATAGCAAGGATGGTACCAGAAAATAATGGGAAGCTATTAAATTACTTAATAGCAGCATTAACTGAATATCATAAAAAGAAACAAGATATATATTTTTTTTTTTTTACAATCATTGAAAGATTTGGCTTGAATTTTTAGACAAAAAGTCCAGAGTTCTTCGTCTTCTTCTTCGGTTTTCTTCTGCAAGTTCGACTGCTGTTTCTTCACTTACGGAATTGTCAACCATATATTTCTTAATACGATTGACAATTCTTTTACGTCTATTGAAGAACTGTCGATCATTGTTTCTTCAAGCAACGCCATACCTCGTCTCCATCTCGTGTATGGAGACACAGCCAGAGAGTCCCACATGCCATTCTCTCCACAAGTCAGGCACCGTCTGCACATCTCTGCTCATTCTATACCGAACAGGTATGTCTGACAGCTGGGAAATTGGTCCAGAGTTGTTGGCTGGGACTGGAAATGCTTGGACCTCTGTTGATCTAGCTTCACCTCTTTCCCCTCCATCTTCTTGAAGGGACCAAAGAGGGATTCTCCCAGATACCAAGTCGTCAATCTTCTGGTGAAGAACACCAAACTCCCGCAGAACTTCTCTGCGAAACCCGCTGTCCGCATTCTGCATGTCAGCCAACTTTCTGGCCATCAGAGGAAGTGCTCTCTGCAAAAGGATGTCAGTAGGCTCGACATCTGTCTCCACAAAAGCCTTGACTGATCTAAAACATTGACATGTAAATATATTAGAACTATTTTTTTCACTGTATTATATATTAGTTTTTTTTACCTCTTGAACTCGATGTATTTGGGATCATGGAATACACCATGCTGCCACAATGGGTGCCCTGGAGTTTTGCTCATCATTAACACAGAATCCTGTAGAAAAGTGATTCTTAATTGCTTCAGAAGCTCCAGAAACCCATGTGCAGCTGCGGTTTGCTGGCATGCTCCTGACGAAATCCTGTCGTACCAAAAGTCTACCATTGGGAAAACCTTGCACTGGAGCAACTTGGCTGGTTTCACTTGGGCTCTTGGCAAGTAGAACTGCCCCTCAGCTGACGGAAATCCAGCCATAGTATGCATCGCACCTCTCGGAAGATTGGTGAGGTATGCACCATTCATTGTGCTGCTATTCCAGCGACCCTGCCTTCTGATATCCAACTTGTCGGCACCACTCATGTCAGCCATTCTTGCTGATGATCCACAGGCAGCATGGGTCTTTGCTGTGGAAACGATTCCACAGGCCTTGAATGCCCTGTTGATTGCTTCGAGATGAGTGGAGTAAGGCATTTCCCTGGTTGGTTCCTGCCCAGATCGTAGCAACTTATGGTTGAACCATTCCTCGGATGTTTCAAAAGATGGAAACTGCTCACCATCAATATGCCATCTCCAGAAGAAATAGCATCCGAGTGCCATGAATGGACAAATCTCAACCTTGGAATTTCTCAAGCAGGCTGCAAGCTCAATTCGTCCGAACTGGTTCGTCTTTCCCTGCTTCAAGACCAAGACAAAGGCAGGGCATTCGGAAGGTCCTTCACGATCCAACATGACTGTCTGAAGGTCGGCGAATTCGGCTTTTCTTGCGGATTCGCCACGGAGCATACAAAAATGCGACAGGAGAAAAGACACCGCATTTCTCAGGTCACCTCCGCTTGATCTCAAGAAATAATAGCTAACAATGCTAGCAATCTCATTCTCTGTGGTGTATCCATCCACCAGAGTTCCAAGGCCACGGTCCTGGTTTTCAGCACGATGGGCACGCTCATTGTGAACTTCATGTTGTCCAACAGCTGGATACAAGCCTTGCGAGGGTGAGGGTGGTTGTTCACACCGACTTTAACTTGCTTCTGGTACATATCCACAATAGCAGCAAGATAGGCCATTGCAGTTCCATACTTGATGGTTTTTCCAGTGTCTCTTCTGTGGGTTCGGTTGACAACCTAACAGAAGAAAAGATAATTAATTCAATTACTTACAAAATATATCTCCAAACAACAGCAAAAAACTTACACAGTCTTTAAGAAACAAATGGAGCTTATCTCCATATACAGTGTAGCAATTTTTGAGGGAAATGCTCGAGAAAGCTTCATCACACCAATCTTTATACTCTTTTTGCTTAGGAGCATAGCTTCTCTTTGTGTTCTCTGGTCTGTTAACTTCAGCTTTGCGAGAAGTAGACACCTGGGCCTCCATCATTCTAACATTCACATCAGAAGTTGCGGCGGAATAGCTAGGAGCGTTTGGATTTATTTTGAGTAGATATTAAAAGATCTGGGAAGATGAAAAGATAGCACTTTTACATGCTACTTATATTAATGTTGCCAGAAAATTCATTGTAATTTATTATGCTTAGTAATAGGTGACTAAGAGAAATTCCGACATTAAGATATTGCTGCACTTATATATGAGAAACAAGACAAGTACTTTGTTGTGGTGGTTGAAGTTGAAGAAGTTTTTAAGAGGAAGAATTGAAGATTTGAAATTAGGAACGAAGATTCGTGAGAACTTGTGTAGGTTTTGTTTATTGAGAAAGATTTTGTATCAAAGTTTGACCAGGTTCCTACACTGAACTACTACTGCTATTTATATTGTTTTGGATTGGGAAAATTATATGACTGGGGTCAGGTAATCGATCCTATCTGAGCCTTAATCAGAGCAACGTGATCTTGGGATAATTAATGTATAATTAATTATATAAATGTGTGTAGTCCCAATGAAGTATTAACATCGAAAGTAAATGTGTTTATGAGTTATAATTATGCTTATAATAATCCACTGATGTATCCCATATTATGGTGATATCATCATATGAAATATAATCACTATCACGCATGCTAAACCTGTGTGTTAAATAATAAAGTAATCGGTAGACACCTTTGACTGGAATAGCTGAGGCCTTATATTATTTCCTTCAGACTTATTCTCAATTACAGCAGTAGTCAATACTCATTTACAACATACTTAATAAAAGAAACCTGCTTCTTCATCAATATGTTAAAGAACATATATAAAAATATAATGATAATTTTTTAGATGTGTGTAAAAAAACCGAATTTTTAATAAAGTTTTATTAGGCTGCATATAACTTATGGAAAAAAAATAATCGTGGTGACCTTCATTGAAAAGAAATAATTATTTCGGGTGGGAACCTAAGATATTGGCCATTATTCCAGCATCGGTCATTAAAAATGAACGTCCAGAGAAATCTTTAGAAATCCTCACCCCTTGATAATAATTGATACAATTTATTAATTGAAATACAGAGAGTGATGTAGTCGAAGAAACACCTGAGGCTGTCAGCCATAATGAAATTCATTTTGAAGACGAAAGTAATGAATATGACATGGATTATGTTTTTGGTAAAATGAAAACTTTTTTTATTCTTTATGATTGCTTTTGTCTAATATTCCCATATTGATAGAATTGAATGACAGCGCGGAAGAGGTGGAAATGCCTGCTCAGATAAGAGACTTACCTCTTTCTGAATCTGATGCTATATTTGGTGTTGAAGGCAATGAGTATGCAGCAAGCAACGATTTTGACAACGAAGAAGATGAGAGTGATGATAATATAAGTGATAATAAAGGTTTTTATAGTAAATTTTAAGTAATGCCGTCCCTGAGAAATAAAAAGAAAATTAATTAATTGTTCTTTTCTTTTTTTAAAAAAAAAGATTTTTCTTTCAAGTCCATCTCGGAATTGGGTTTGATCCACCGTTTCATTGTAATTGCTATTGCCTTATTTGTATCCTTATATGTTGTCGATGAAGGTGCAGTGATTTTGATTTCTATTGTCAACAAGATTCTCGAATTGTTCAAAGATTCATTCCATCTTCCATTGAGCATTTCTGGGCTCAAGCAACTTTCAGGATTAAGCACATTAACAAAAGGGATTAAGAAGTATACTGCTTGTGATGAATGTCATACAATCTACAGTAATGATGAATCTGTCCCAGTATATTGCACGTCTCCTGTTTTTGGTAGTAACCTATTGTGTAAAACACCCTTATTCAAAAGTGGATCCAAATCAAGAATTCCAAAAAAGGCATATGTATACCATTAGATTGTATTGTCATTGAAAATGTTTTTTCGTCGCCCTGGCTTTGAAAGTGCTATCAACTCTTGGAATCGTGGTCCAAAAGTAGATGGAATGATGTTTGACATATACGACGGCACTATGTGGAACAGCTTGTTGGATGTCAATGGTGTCCCTTTTGTAAATGATGACTACTCTATAATGTTTACTCTCAATATCGATTGGTTCCAACCATTCGATGGGGTAACATATTCATGTGGAGCAATTTATCTTGCCATAAACAATCTTCCTTGTAACATGCGTTTTAAGAAGAAAAATATCATCCTTGTTGGATTAATGCCAGGACCTAAAGAAGCAAGTAAATCAGACATTAATAACTATCTGAAGCCTCTTGTCGATGAACTGGAGTTGTTGTACAAAGGGATGAAAATCAGAACTCACCAACACCCAGAAGGTATCCCCATCCATGCTGCTTTTTTCATGGCCGCATGTGATATCCCTGCCGCAAGAAAAGTATGTGGGTTCACATCTCACACCAGCACCAATGCATGTCATAAATGCAACCGTAAATTCACCCAGTTAAATGGAACAAGCTCTGTCGATTATTCTGGATTTGGTTTCTCTAAGTGGCTCCTTCGCACTTAGAATGATAATTGTAAGGATGCAGAGGTCTGGAGAAATGCAACCAAATCATCTGAGAGACAGTGTCTTGAAGTTGAAAATGGTGTTTGCTGGTCCGAACTGCATCGTCTCCAGTACTTTGACATTGTCTGCTGCATGATCATTGACCCTATGCATAATCTGTTTCTCGGAACTGCCAAGAGAATGATGGATAGATGGGTTGCAGATGAAATAATCGCTGACAAGAAACTCGCTGCCATGCAAAAATCTGTCAAGAAAATTGTGCTGCCTCCAGATTACACAATGTTGCGAAACAAGATTGGCAAGGGATTTCCTTACATGAAGGCTGACGAGTGGAAGTCGTGATGCTTGGTATACTCTCCTGTTGTACTCAAGGGTGTATCACCAAAAAAGAAATTTGACAACTGGATGCTCTTTGTGAAGGCCTACTGAATCCTGGTAATGCCTAGTATTTGCAAAGAAGACATCGAATCAGCACACACGCATCTACAACAATTCTGTCACAAGTGCAAGAGTTTATACAAACTCGATCTTCTCTCACCTAATATGCATTTGCATCTTCATCTTTGGCAAACCATCGTAGACTTTGGTCCCGTGTATAGCTACTGGTTATTTAGTTTTGAGAGGTACAACAGTATCTTAAAGAATATCCAGACAAATTGTAAGAGTGGATTTGAGCTGACATATATGAGAAGATTTGTGGAAGAGACATACAAAGCAGATGTTGTTGATCACGTTATGGGCATTGCAGATATTCACAGTTATCTTGATATTTTCAAAAAAAATCGTAAAAGCTAAAACACCAGAAACAGCAATAACATCTACAACATCAACATTAGCTCAACAACATTTGTTCTTTTCTTTTTCTCTTACCGAATTTGTGGCTATAACACAAGATGAATCAAGAATGGTTAAAGGAAACGAGCCCCTACCACCGGCAACTTTTCCTTTGGTAGTTAAATCTATATCAGTAATGCCAGAGCATGAGTACAACTGTCTTGTAGAATACTACCAAGTTGTCTACAATGACTATAATATTTCATGTTGCAAAAAAGCAATGACCAGCCCAGCTTTTGTGAATGACAGAATTGAGGTGCTCAAGTCAATTGAGATTCTCAGGCAAGTATACAAAGGATGCAATGGCAATGGACATGGTTCGTATATCCAAGCTTTGTTTCAAGAAAATAGAACAAATGCACGTTATGGTTATGTTGGTGAAATTCAATACATCTTAGTACACACCTTCTCTCCATCAACAACCACTCTCTTATCAGCTAGCTACAACAACCAGCATACTTTTGATTTTGTCAGATGGTTTAAAACAACATCAGATATGCATAGACAACCCGAAGATATTGAAATCTACCATGACAACTTCTATAAATTAGACTTTCAAAGTATACTGCCCATCCATCGTACACTTCTGCCAGTAGCAATCATTGACTACAAAACCAGACGAAATGTCAATAGAAAGATTGCAATTCCTTTGCCACAAAAAAATTATGCTTAATTGTCTTTTCTTTTTATATATTTCTTTATTTTATATATTTTATTACTTTATTTATTTCATTTTATTTTACTTTGTTTATCAATATATTTATCCCTTTTCTTATTTCTATTTATTATCGTTTTTACTTTCAGTCTTGTTGTGTATAAATCAAGTATAAAGGATGCGCGTGTGTGTGAATCAAAAAAAATTATTGTTTAATCGCTCAGGGAGACAGTGACGAAATCAGTCGACATGGTACAGCAACATTTTTTTTCCCTCTCAAAAACCTGGGCATTCTTGGCTTTGCATTCCCTTTTGCTTTATGATCGGAATGCATACTTTCATCAATCAAGCCCAGAAACTTGTTGAACTATATTTATTTTATTAATATTCTACTTTACCGTGATCACATCACAAGAAATAACTTACTTCATTGCTTCTCCAGCTGGGATGGGCAACTTTCAACACATGCACTGGGAATCCAGGAAAAAGTTCCTCTGTGTCAGACTCGCTGTCCAACATAGCCCCTTTTTGGATAGCACCAAAAAAAGCCATCTCGGAATCTTCTTCCACTGTGAGACCCATCTCCTTGTCTACCACCCTTCAGTACCTAGTGTATATATCCTGGCAGCAAGTATGGATCTAAGAAAAAATAGTAAGATGAGTACAAAATATCTTAAATGAATAACATGTTTTGTAATAACCTCTTTAATCCGGCTGGCAATTCTTGCCCTGTGGTTGTTGTTTACGTGCTGCTCAGGCAACGTATGTGCTTTACAACGGCAGTACCTATAGTTACTTTTTACTATAGATACTATCATGCCAGGCCAAACGCTGACAGCTTGGGGTTGGGCATGAATATACTCCCGCAAGTATACAACAACAGCAACATTATCAGGATGGTCAACCCACTCATCTATATTCTATTTTTGTCTTGCTTCATTCTTGGCAATCTCAGTAGGATTATTAGATCTGAAGGTCTTTTTCCAGATCTTCTCTCTGATTAAGGCCTAGATACTACATGTTAGATTATTATTCACTCTATAAGATTTAACATATTTACCAAAACTGCAACTTTTGTCTCTTCTTCAGACATTTGGTCGAAAGATGGGGCAGCAGATGGGGCAACTGCAGAGAAAACTTGTCTACTTGTGGATGCCAAAGACATAGCAATTGCACCAACTGTCTTGGTGTTTCTTCTTTGAACGTCAATAAATTGACCAAATCTATTGTACAGGGATCCAAGCATGGCGCCCATGTTATCAAGGCGAGTTGACATTTCTGTCATGCACTGTTCTTGGGTAACAGCAGGTACAACAAGATGTTGCTCAACACGACCAACTGCGACCTGGGTAAGGCTATTTCTAGCATTATATCTAGGGATTCTAGGAGTAATGGGAGCCATTTTCTATACAAACATATGTTTCAAAATAAAACAAAAATACATTAAATTTTTTATTCTTACTCTTGTTATTTGCATATATATTAAATAAATTCATATATACATAGTAAAGTGAAAGTGTTGGAAGATTTGATTTTGGAGATCGAGATTGAGAAAGAGAATATTATGAAATATAGTGAAACAAAAGATTCTTTTATACCTTTTTTATTAGACTTTTTGAAGACGTGATATGAAAATATGAACTATTTTCTGTTTTAGATTTTTTCAATTTAATTCCCAGTATTTTTTTTTTCAGAAGACAAAGATTTTTATATTTATACTCAATTTTTTTTTCCTGTTTTTTCTTTTTTTCTTTTTTTTTCTTTTTTTTCCTTTGTTTTTTTTGTCTGCCTTTTTGCTTCTTTTCTCTTTATTTAATAGCTTTCCTTTTATTCATACAATCAGGTAAAGAAATGTGATGTCTTTAAACTGATCTACTGTACTTAATTATTTTTGTTTTTGTTTTTGTTTTTATATTTCTCTTTTTCTAGATCTACTAACCTTCTAATAATTTTTGAGACACTTCTTTATCTATCAATAGGTTTATTCATATGGTTGGATATGTCTTACTCTTAAACATAAAGGTAAAACAAGTCAAACATGCTCTAGTTTTATATTAATTTGTTTCTCATCTGTTAGCAGATATATGTCCTGTGCATGATTACACATATCTACTGCGGCAATGTACTCGGTAAGCTTACAAAATTATATATGTGTTTTTATACTAATACTATATCTATTTGAATATATCACAGTATACAACAAGTCCATTCTTTCAATTTTGGAGAATTATTAGCGTCATTTATTGAGGTCAGTATATCTCTTATATTAACAGCTATTATCAATGTTAAAATCATTCTTTATAGTTATTGCCTGTAGTATATACACAACAATTATAACTCTGGCATACTTGGCTGTAAGTATATATATATTTCTTTAAATACAAAACATATTAATTAACTTTTTAATTAACTTTCTTTTTGTAGTAAATGGTAACAATTATATTTATATCAGATTCTTGACACTACTCTAGCTTATTCTCATTTACTATACTATTCTTATATTCACTATTATTATAAACTCTCTCTTTTTATCAATGGTATCTAAACTATCTAATCTTAAAATAGTTGAGAGCTATGTGTATACTATATTATTATGCAATATAATTCAAGAGAATTATTTTTTTACAAAATAAACAAGCCCCATTTGTAAACTATTTCTCAGATACTGTTTTAAAGAAGTATGAGAAGACTATCTTTCAGTCAATCAAATGAGAGTACTGAAGTTTATCTATAAAATAAGGTCCAATAGAATTGATTAAAAGCTGAGAAAAGTATTACTTTCCTCTGAAGAAAGTATCAGCTTTACTTCTTTTTCTTGCCTTTTTAAGAACAATGAAATTCTGTGCTGTACATAAAAAAGATAAAAGATCTATTTTCATTTTAATCTGCGTTTCTGAGCTGGCATATTAAGGTAGTACTATATGACTTTTTTAGCACAATTCTTTCACATAGGATTAATGTCCTTATTTCTTAGATTTAATAAGAACTATATCATAATGTCAAGAATACCCAAATCCTGAGTTTAATTAATTCTTTCACTCGGGATTTGGTACTCTTTCACATAGAGGAAATTGAACACTTTTTCCAGTGTTGGTCTCAAAACATCAGCTAAATAAACATGTAAATACAAATAAAAGCAAATAAGTTAGAAAGTATACAGTCGCAGAACAGAAAATTTGGTCGTTTTATATTTCCGCTATTTATTTCATAATATACCCTTATACTTCACTTTACTCAATCTGCTAAATTCAATAAAATCTTTTTAATATAATGCCTAGACAACGAAGCAGTAAACCTCACAAGCCATTTGAAAGGCTTTCAGAAGTTGAAAAAGGAATCTTAATTGGACTTCATGAAGATGACATGAAGATTTCTGACATTGCAAGAAAAAAGGAAATACCAAGAACTACTGTCACGCGTATCATAAAAAATATAACGAAACCAGATCTGCTACTAATAAGAAGCTAACAGGAAGACCTTCTAAATTAACTGCTAGAGATAAAAGACATCTCTTCTTGGATGTCAAACGGAATCGCCATCAAAACTTGGTTGAAATGGCAGACTTGATTAAGGAAAAGACTGGAAAAAAAGTCAGTACAAAAACTATCAGCCGAATGTTGCACAAGATGAATCTAGCCTACCGTGTAACCAAATCAAAGCCTCTTCTAACTAAGGAGCACATTGCCAAATGTTGTGCTTGGTATAGAAAAATAAAAGGTTGGAAAAAATAGTGGGATACTGTCATTTGGACAGACGAAGCAACCTTTACCCTTTTCAAGAAAAACGGTTGTAGTCATGTATGGCGGGAACCAGGAGAGAAATATCATTCAGACTGCTTGACTCCAAAGGTTCCAGAAAATGGAGGTTCTGTATCGCTTTGGGGATATATTTGGTCTGGAGGAGTTGGACCACTGGTTATGCTTAAGGGTAACATGAATGCCCCATTGTATAATGAAGTTCTGGAGAAGGAATTCATGCCCTTCTACCAAAGTCTTCCTAATGTAGAAAAGGGAGACTATCTTTATCAAGAAGATAACGCAAGTTATCATAAGGTTACCTTGGCAGAAAAGTTCAAAAAAGACCTTGGATTAAAGATTTTGGAGTGGCTTCCTAACAGTCTGGACTTGAGTCCAATTGAAAATATCTGAGATCTTCTTGATAACAAAATCCGCGCAAGACAACCTCAGCCTACCACATTGCAACAATTGGAAAATGCTTTGCAAGAAACGTGGAAAGCAATTAGCGTAGAGACTTGTATGATGTTTTGCCTTAATATGCAAAATCGTCTATCTGAACTTAAGATGCATAAATTTAGACCAATCTCTTATTAAAGCTTTTTCAATTTTTTTTTCAATTTATCTATTACATCTTATACAGTTATCTGTGAGAGTACCAGAGATTTATAGAACTTTACTATCTTTTATCATAAATTTAAAGCTACAATATAAGTTGAAGAGTCTTGGCAGGGGTTAAAAATGACCAAATATTCTGTCAGAAGTCTGTACAAGTCAATCTGATGAATTAAAGTAATCTGTTTTAATTTTATCTCTAATACTCTCTGCTTGATATTCTTCTTGGGCTGAGATATTATCACTGGTTCTCTTTTGGGGGATCAAGAGAGTTTTGTATCTTGGATTGAAAGGGCAAGAAAAATTTGATCCCCTGCTGTAACCCAATTGTTTATATAAAGCACAAATAGATCTAGCAGGAGTCATATTGATGTTTGATAAATTGTAATTGGTTTTGTAATTAAGCTAAATTCAAGTGTAAATAGAGATAGAGAAATAGTAAAGAATATATGTAAGATTATTATTTTTTCCAAAAGACATGAACTTTACAGAGATCTGATATATACTCTTTTTCAAAATAACGATTGTACCAATAATGACAGACTTGTCATAATTTAAAATAGATTTGAATCATGTGTAAATCAACAATGTGCTGAAGTAATATGATAATTAGAATAAATTCAAGAGAATATCTTCAAGTAATATTGAATAATAGAGTAAAATCCATGTGTCAAGACGCAGTAAGATGACTTCTTCAAGTAATAATAGCTAAATTAAGTAGAGTATAGCTGTAAAAGTTCATTAGAATGTCTTGTTAAAGTAACAAAAGTAAGGTGACAAAAGAAACAGTCAGTTGTCAAAGTAGCGTAGATTAACCTTTTGGAATTAACATGTGTGTCAAATTACAAATGCTGCAAAAAGTGCATGGTTCAATATAGCTTCTTGAAGTAACAGTATATATAAATTCTTGAATATCCAATTGTCAATGCAAAATCATATGTTTCATTTTACTTTATCAGTTATTATTATAATATGTAGTATATAATATTAGTGATCCTTGCTTTTAAATTAAAAAGTAGTAATAGCTAACACTTTTTTCTTTTTTTATTGTTAATTCATCCAAATCCAGGTATCAGAGCATAGCAAAATTGTAATATACAAAGGGAGCATTATTTTTATTTTATTTTTATTTATTATTTATATTGAATAGCTTTTGGTAATAGTTAAAATGATATATCACCACAGCAGATTTTTTTGTGTAATCTTGTTCCTTAAAAGGATTCTTGTATACGGGGCGAATTTTGCCCATAACAGGAAATTCATTTTTTTGGGGGACTGAAAAGTGGAGGGATGGAGGGACTACTCTCGGCCAATAGATTTCGATTAAAAAATGTACTGCACAATTTCAAAAATGGTTCAAATTTTTAATTTGTTTCAAATAATTTTGAGTTGTAAAAAATTTATTTTTTATTTTCAAAAAAAATTAGGCTAAAAAAAAAGCTAGACTGGATCATAAAATCCACAGGCAGTAGCACACCAGTATATCCATACCACTAGAAACACTAGTAGTATAGCTGTTTGTACTTATGCCTGTAAATTACACGATCGGTTTGTTGCAAACTACTATGTCTAGCTAATCCAAGAGACCTGGTGCCAGAAATGCCAATAAACCCAAAGAGCATAAAGATTTGAATTTTGAGAAAAGCTAAAGCAGAAGAACTAATAATTAGTAATTAAACTTAGTTATATATATTTAACAGAATTTTACCTTTGACTCTATTAAGGCATTTGCAATAAAAGGCAGTCAAATCTCTGCAAGTGAGGAGTAAATAGTTAGTCTTCTGTTGCTTTGTAAGAGAAACATGTAGTTATTACCTCTTTATTGATTTACCGAGATGATGAAAAACTAATTTATAAACTAGAATTGTATGATTAATAAACACAATGACATAAAAAACTTTGATAGCATAAATACCTTTGAGCTTACAGTCTTTAAGCAAAATTCTGCTTCTATAAATACTATAAGCATACTGGAATATCTTACAAATGGAAGCTCATGCAAATAATAAATATTTTGTGGAAAAGTAAAATGAAAAAGAAGACAAAAACACACGATATTTTCTTAAAAGAAAAGAAGTAAAAAAAATTCTAATTGGTCTGCTGACATTAAATATTGATCTTTCCACATTTTATTAATTCAATTATTTTCGCAAAGTCATTTCCTCCCCTTTGTTTTTATAATCAATTTACTATTATGCAAAAGAATACAAGACAAGAAACATATAAAATCGTTAAGGCTTGCCCCCCTAAAAGGCAAGGCGAGCTTAACTTTAGCATCAATTTAGGTGTTTTTACCTGCTCTGAATGCGAAAAAGAGTTTGAAAAGCCTTGGTTACTGAAAAGGCATTCGAAGGTTCACCATATAAGTAATCAAATGGCAACCAATACTGTACTCGACGAACCTGAGCAGGCCGAATTGATAGTCAAGAACACTATTCCGGATGCTAATGCATTTGATTACTCGAGTGATGAAGATGACTCCTCCAGTATTGGGGATGAAGAAGACAACATTGTAGATGAGGAAAACGATATTGTCAATAATTTCTTTGATATTGAAATGAACAGTAATCCAGTTTTCAACGTGTTCTCTGACATGTTTTCTTCTGCTGCTGCTGCTGATGAGGTATCAATGACTGATGATGACTCTGAGATCCCAGAAGAAGTCTTTGAGACAATTGGCACTGTAAATAACCCTACAAGCTGTTATCCTTTTCGCGATCTTCAAACCATGATCCTTTTCACTTTTATTGATGGGGATAATGACATGATCTCCCAGCAAATGTTGAAGAAGATACTGCTTGCAATGAACTTGATCATTAAGATCCAGCAAGAAACTCCCATAGGAAGAACATTTAAGTTACCTCGTTTGGATGCTCTTTTAAATTATCAGGCAAGAAAGAAGTCCAAGATTCCTATCTTTCCTTCACAAAGAATATCAGTACCTGGATCAAATGGGAATGCATTCGCCCACATTAACCTTCTGTCCAACCACTTGAGATTTCTTATGGCAAACCCAAAGAAATCCAAGTTGATCTCGTCCATGCCCAATTGTACCCCAAACCAATCGATCTGTTTAGAACAAGGTAAAAAGTAGAGAACCCACCATCTCTTTCAGCAGCCTATGCACACTGTAAATGGTATAGATGTCTGGTTTGGAAACATCGTTTACTTGAAGACAAACAATTGCAGCATCCGCTTTTTGATTGAATCGTTCCACATGGCAAATAAAAACATTTTTGCGAGAGGTTATCTGGTCAGAGCGATTTCGATTGTATGCTATGGCATTGAGGTTGCTGTTACCAATCTTAGAGTAGAGCAGATCTCTCACGTTGACACCACCCCTGTTGAAAGAGATCACTACTACAGTATCTCAAGTAGCCTTACCAGATTGAGTCCTGCTCATGACTTTCTTCTTTTTGGAGTTCATCCAATGAAGAAGCCTATGCCTCTTTCTGTTTTGCCTGGTAATGTAGATTGCAATGCAGTATTTTACAAAGTTAGGATTGTTTCAATCATTCTTTTTACAGACGACACTTCCGGCAATCGTTCAAAGCAATACAATCTGTTAGAAAGCTGGTTAATGAGATGCGCTGCCTTGCCTTTTAAGGATCGAAATTCAATAGCAAACATCCAGTTTCTTTCTACAATCCCTAAGAAAGATGGTGCAAATGGTATGTCTCTTCTGCCAGCAATTGTTGATGACTTTGAGAAACTCGAGAAAGGTGTAAAAATGTTCTCTGTTGAAGACAATGAGTATGTTCTGGTTGTTGCTCCCATCCTTTGGATTGAGGCTGACATGCCATGTCATTCAGAACTTTGTGGATTGCTTGGGCCGGCCACCACATTTCCTTGCATAAGATGCTACATCGAACTTAGACGTGCAAAAGTCTTTGTGAAGGACTTGTCCTACTTCTGTGAGTGCCATGAGAGACGAACTCAAGAGCACTATGTTCTTGCAAACTCGTCACCTGGCAGAGACACTGAGATCCCAAATGCTCTGAAAATTGGAATGAACACGCCTGCAAACAAGATAAGCTTTAGAGATCGTTTGACTGGCCGCTTATTAGAATTGCAGTCGTTTGATCCAGAAAAGGATACACCAGTGGAAATCCTTCACACAATACTTCTTGATGTTGCAAAGTATATGGTGATTGACTTGGTTAAGGTCGTGCTTAAGAATGACACAGTCACAATAGCAAGACTTTCAGAATTCTTGACAGATTACACGCGATCAACTGGTCTATCAAGAAAGTTCACCCGAAACTTGAGACATAGTGGTTCATTTCTTGGTAGAGATTTCAAGGTTCTGCTTCAAATACTTCCTGTAATTCTGATTACAGAATTCACTGGAAATCATGAGCTAGACCTTGTAATACCATGCTTTGTTGAACTTGGTCGATTGTGTTCTCTGGTATTTGTTCGTCAGGTGACATCAGACTTTGATAACTATATTATCAGAGTAGATAATGCAGTGAAGCGCTTGATCAGAGCATTGTTTGACTATGATAAAGGAACTAAGAAGAGCTCCACAAGGCATATTGCACCAAGCCGAAAGTTCATTACTTGACACATCTCAAGGAAGATATAATTCGTTTTGGCCCAGCCCTCAATTATGAAACAGAAAAGGGCGAACAGTTAAATAAGCACATTCACAAACATCTGTTTCATATGAATTGCCAAACCACTTCCAGGGATGTTTGCCTAAAGTTTGCAAAGCAGGTAGCATTACAACATGTAATTGACGGCGGGTCATGAATTAATAGCTCTGGCAACTGAGAGAAGTCTGGAACTGGAATAGAGAGGTTCATTAAGGACAACAATGAATTCTTGTTCTATTACACCTTCTTTGGCGGCTCGAGAGAGCTAAAGGACAACAACGACACTGGAGATATTGAAGATGATGCCATCAAAAACAACAGTTTTGGCACATTTGTTTTTAAAGATAATTCAATCTCTCACCCTCGTATAGGGCTTGTCTCAGGCTCTGTTGTTAAGTTTCTTAGCATTGTTCCTCATACAGATAATGACAGAAACAATAACTATGCCAAGGCTGTAATGACAGGTGAGCATTCTGATGTTGCTAACATGAATCTCGTTTGTAAGTTAGATTTGCACATTTTCTGCAACTCATTTTACATTGTAAATTTGAGCAAGTTTGGTTCCTACTGGTTCATTTTCAATAATATTCTTTTTGATGAATAAAATAATGCTACTTCTTTATTATTATTATTATAATTATTATTTGAACCTTCTGTTTTCTTCTTCTCAACATCAATTTTTTTGTGTAATTTCTGTGAAGTCATTTTTTGGTTACAAACCAACCCCCAACTTTCCTTAATAAATTCTTTGTCTCACTTGAACACTTTCTGACTTCCCTAACAGTTTTTTTTCTTACTTTAAAAGCCCACAAGTAGTACTGAACTTAATTTTATCCTTTATTTGGATGAAAAAAATTGAGTACGAAAACAAATTACAATATTTTGGCCTCTAAGCCAATCATATTGCTTAGGTGCCAATTTTCACCCAAAATGATAACAAAAATCTCTGGTGGTGATACATATATTCTCTTTATTCTTTAGATCAATATATTTTTATTACAATTACTATACAATTAAAAATGACCTGATTTTATTTATTTATATATAATTTATAAGTATAATCATAATAATAGTTGGTAGTAATAAGAAAAGAAATTTAAAGATGCTCAAAGCAAACAGTGATTTTATAGTAAACAAATTTTGCTATATGGATATGATTTACATTACAATAGAGATTTATCAATAATTAAGATATTGAATGCAATTGAAAGATGATTAGATTCCATATAACTCATGTGCAGAGTATCTCTCTTTCTTTTTAATGATTTGAATGTAAGTCATATGATTTATAACTTCCTTTCTTTTTAACTGTTTGAATATAAGTCATGTGATTTATAACTTCCTTTCTTTTTAATGATTTGATAAGTCATGTGATTTATAACTTCATTTCTTTTTAACGGTTTGATAAGTCATGTGATTTATAACTTCCTTTCTTTTTAACTGTTTTAAAAGTGCGATTGTAAGTCATGTGATATACAGGGCCTGTTGATTTTAATAATATGTATGATAATAGCTACTGCAGATAATGCGCAGTATTAGTGTAGAAAACTATATAAGATAATTTAATTTGTATCAATAGAAAATATCTTTTATTCTCTCTTTGATTTTATGTATACTCTTTAATTCCCAGTGAGTTTGACCTTTTGACTTTGTTATAGTAAAAGTGTCAGAGTAGACATTAGTGTCCAAAATTGGGAATTGCAAGCAACCAGTAATGTTTGACTTTTTAGGATAAAAGATCTTGACATTGCCAATTGGTCTCTTATATATGTTTAAGATAGTGAATATACTTGTAGAGAATATTACTGGGCAACAAGCATCTAAGACATATTATTATAGCTATTCTTTTAGCTAGAAATCAAACATCATTTTGTGTAAATACTGGTTTTATCTATTCAATTGGCGCCCATTTCCATCTAATTAGCATCCGTTTCCATCTAATTAGAACCTATTGACATCTGATTGACTTCCATAGAAATTGAATTTGCATCCATTGCCAACTGAATTTGCTCCCATTGGCATCTGAATTTGCTCCCCCCTTTTACTATTGGTGGAAGAGTACATGGCACTCAAATTTTTTATCCTTATACCTTATAATTTTTTTTATATAACCATACACTACAGCAGAGAAAATGGTAACATGTTACCACTTTGGTAACATAACTGCCATTTTTTACTTAATAAAAAATGGCAGTTATGACTCTGTATAAGGCCAAAACAGGCACTGTTACCATTTTTTACATAGTGAAAAATGGCAGTTATTTATTATGTAAAAAGCCAAAACAAGCACTGTTACCATTTTTTTCATAATAAAAAATGACAGTTATTTATATGTAAAAAGCCAAAACAGGCACTGTTACCATTTTTTCAAAAAAAAAATCAAGCATCCTTCCTTTCCTTTATTACATTCTTTCTTTTGTTCTATTGCTTTCAATTCTAGCACAACCTCTTGTTTTTTCTTTGCGGCTTTAACAGAATGGTCTGTTTTTTATTATACAGTATTGAATTGGGTTTAATTGAATTCAATCTTTATTTCAATGCATGTTTTATTAAATGAAAATGATAATAATAATAGTAATAATGAAAAAACAATTCCATTGGCCACTTGCAATAAAAAATGGTTCTGTTTAGCTACTGCAAAACGTATGCAGTAAAACACTACTATTCAAATTGTATTTCATATACTTTGGGTATTCTAATATATCTTAGATAGCACTTATTATTTTTTACCAATTTCTACAAATATACTAATATTAGAGAAAAAACTTAAAATAAATAAATAGATATAATATTATTATAATGCTTACCTTTATATAATATGCTTACTTGTTCAGTAAAATAAGCATTTACTCTAAGAATATATATATATATTAAAGAATGTATTAATATTTAAGATCTATATATAAGAAAAGCAATAAAACATAAGCACTATAGAAAGTCGTTATCGTAGAAGAAGAAAAACTTGAGCAAAGATTCAAGTCATGTAACATGAAGCTAATTCAAATCTGATTCATACAACTGAAATAAGCATCTTGTTAGAAAGCTCAAAGTGTTTATTCTACTCAATATACTTACATATAATAGAACGACTCCCGAGTATAATATATCAGTACAAAAATATTACTATTAATTTTTTTCTCAAAAAAAAAAGCTATATACTATTTCCTTTTATATTTGAATGTAACGGAATTGTAGATGCTGTACATTAGCTTCAAATTCTTGTAATCACAACATTAGCAATCATATGAAAGAGGTCAATAAAGTTTTTATATGAAAGAAAAAAGGAATAAAAAACATAAAAAGAAAAATGACTAGATAAGAAAAAAATGCACTAAAGACAGACTAAAACAATCAAACTCTGCCAATCACAGCAGCCAAACTACGATCTTCGGCTTCTCTTGCGAGCAGGCTCAACACTTGCTGTGAGTGGAGGAGACCTACATAAAAGAGTAAAAAGTTTATATTAGTTTTGTATTAACAGTGCATGAGAAAAAGCAACAATGGTAACTTACAGCACATCTGCCATTATGGGCGACTCAACATCACCAGTTTCTGACATATCAGGAGAAGAAAGCGAAGAATCACTTATGTCTCGCTGTGTCTATAACATAATAAAAGGAAACGATGTTAATTAAAGTTTACAATATATAGATTTGTTAATTGATAAACTTACTTTGTTCTTCTCTGCCATTCTTCTCTTGTGCATCTGGTTGTCGCTCTTGAAGCTTTCCCAAAGAAGACTTCTTGCACACCACATTCTTTTACATTGGTGGATGTGCAATCCACCATTCTTTACCAACCTCTCCAAATGCATCATGTAGTATTCCCTGTTTTTCTCTGGGATATTATTCCATTCTTTTGAGGCCACAGGATAGTCTTTGTCAATGATATCATGCTTTACGATACGGCCTAATGTTTTGAGATGCAGTCTTTTTACTGTCAAATCATGGTCTGAAAGAGGGACTAATGGGGGCAAAGGCTGCCCTTGTGGAAATTCTTTGTAGTGCGCCTTCCAGTTCTGCTCGTGAAGAATCTGAAGCAACAGATTGTATTTTTGTGCTTTGTTTTTTCCATTGAACTTGCTGCCAGTATTGATTACTTGCTTACCGAGCTGATCAGAGTACTCTGTGAGCTGGGCTCTTTTCACAAACTTGGCAATGCACTCAAGAGCTACAAAAAATATATGACAATATTAATAAAGTAAATAAACATCTAAGCACAGAATATATATGACTTACAGCTCTGCTCAATAATGCTTTGTTGCATTATAGTTAGATCTTTCACACTGACCGCTGGTGCAAATTGATTACTGAATTGCCTTTGAAGCTCACGCAATGCTTGCTTGATTTCAGCAAGATCAACCTCAATCTTTTGAATTGAGTTGAGGAGAGTTGTGTTAATATCGGACATGTTTAAGTTTTTTTTAGCTATAAGCAGTGAGTTGAAAAGAAAAGATGATAGTTTAGACAAGTAAAATAAGAGCGATTTGAGTTTGAGAAAGGCAATGATTTATTACAAGCAATTGATAGCTATTTATATGAAAAAGATACAGACAGATGTACAAACAAAACATATAAAAGAAGGTATACTTATGTACTTGTATATACCTGTCTGCACCTGTCTGCAGTAGCTCATGTGAACATGATACAGTCTTTTTATGTCAAACACAACAAAACTGTAAGAAATATAAAGGTAAAATGAATTAGACTTTAAATCAATATTATATTTATAAATGTTCATACTTTGCACCGTCTACATATTAAACGTTTTAAAGTATATGATATAATAATATAACTCTATACATATTGCAGATATAGCATGATATTTGGTTAAAGTTCTCAATGACAAAACCCTGTACCAGTTAAAATTATAAATTTAAATATACTCTACAGTAGCTATATAACATCTGAACATCATATAGTTAATTAGCCCCTTTTTATCAACATTAAAGTAAATGTTATGATACTCAAATCCTTATCATACTTATTAACATTATTGACTAAAACGCGTTTTGATTGATGCTGTTATCAAAGATAAAAATAATTTTAACTGTCATTACTATTATTTACCAAGGGGCATTTTTGACTGAAACCGTACATTTTTGAAAAAGATGTGCTTTAACTCACATTGGCACTTTCAATTAACACCTCTTTTAATCAGCAGTGCTTATCTTGATGATGTCAGTAAAAGAGTATCAGACTATAGCCCTCATTATTTATATCTATTTCTTTAAGTTTTATACATAAACAAGAAAATAATGCTATTAGCTAAATATATTTACTATCTCAAAAATACTATTATTACAACACAGATAATATAAATATGTCTTTTCTATCAATGTGTTTAGACAGTACTACTTTTTTTTTAACTGTTAATTATTAGAAGGCTGTTTTTCTTTGCCTTTGGTATTAGAGAGTAATTGATAATTTATTTAAAAAAAAACATAAATTATTTGGTTGTTAATTATTCTAAATATACATATACCTCTTTATAAAGCCCAAAGAATATCTAATTGCTCACAAGTAAAGAGTACGTGTCTGTTTCACTGGTGCTCTTTTAATAGTATCTCCTTGTCAACCAAGAAGTATTTTAATTTACATCATAATTATTAATGAAGAAGAATCTTTCCAACCACGGGAATTATTTACTGACAGATGTTTTATCTAGCATTGACATTACTGTAATTATTGCTATATCATCACTATGAGAGAGAAAAAGAAAAAGAGCTACAAGCATTTTGGTTAAAAAATAAAAAGTATATAAAGATGTCTTTTACATTTAATGAATAGCACCAAAATCCTCTTCGCAGTTTTATTTTATATATTACATATGTATCAGCCCAACCAATATGTCTTCTTTCAACACCAGCCAGCAGAGAGATAGAATATCTACACAGCAATACCAATGTGATCAATGTGTCTTATTTTTTGATAACTGCCAGAAGCTGCAAAACCACAAGAGAATTCACAGATGAGATTCAGCAACAATGACTGAAATTGGCCAGTCTATTCCGGATGATATTGACATGTACCATGACAAAAATGATACTAGTAATGAAGATGAATCTGTTAGCAATTCAGATAATGAAAAGAGCTGTAATTGTATTATTTATTTTCCAATTACTAAATAATATATTACAGAATATACTATGGAGTCTATGGAGCTTGATAATACTATTTCATATAAGTGCACATGTAATTTTGAGGACAGTGAGGGTGAAGCTCACATTTATGACAGCAGCCAAATCAGTACAAATACTTTTACCAAGGCCGAGTTGATGAGTATTCATCTGTCTCAATTGATGCTACAGCATAGAATTGCTAAAGCAGCATATAGAGACCTTGTTCGATTTATAAACACTGTTATCCGAGACCATAATGATATAATGATAGGTAAAATATTATATTTTCTGTTACCTTGTACTTTAATTCCAGATCACTAACATGTAGTGATATCGTTTTTTTAGAACCTGGAGCTAAGATCAGTCATGGCAAAACTGTTGATACTTTGCTCAAGTCAAAGTCAAGTGTCAAGGGCCATGAGTATGATGTCTGCTCTAGTGGTTGTCAATTGTATGGCATTAATGACAACCAGGAATCTTGTGTTGACTGTGGCAAACCGCGATACAAGACTGATCCCAATCAAAGTCAGACACCAGCTGCCAGTATGAAACTTTTGTCAGTCGGGAATATGCTTTCTCAAATGTTGGCAGATCCAGCCACAAGAGAACTCCTCTGTTACAGAGCAAACCAGGAATCTGTAGCTGGTCAGCTAACCAACATTTTGGATGGTGACAATTACAAGCAGTTGGTGCAGCAGGGCCTGTTCTCCAATCCCAATGTTATTGCCATTAGGCTTTATACTGATAGGTTTGTCAATCAAAAGAAAGGCAAAAACTCATATACCAGCATCTATTGCATAATATTCAATCTAGACCCATTCATCAGGTAATTAATTAATTTATTACTATTTATTATTATTATTACAATTTTTTAAAAAAAAGTTACTAATAAAATACTTAGATATACCAACAAATACCTTTTGTAACTGGCAATCTTGCCTGGCTCCAAAAAGCCAACTCATTTGGACTCCTTTCTTATACCTATCATCAATGAATTGCGAGATCTTGAGGCGCATGGCTTGGTTGTCAAGCACAATGGAGTGGAGTTTTGCAGATCCAAGGTCTATCTGATGCTTGCTTCTGGCAATATTCCAGCTGTAGCTGATATGGCCCACATTGGTTCCCATACAAGTTTATTTAGTTATTGTTTTTGTGAGACTAAAGGCAAATGCCCTACTAACAGACGGCATGGCATGTACTTTGATGACATTTCCGCCCGGTTAAGACCTTTTGGAGACTTCAAAGTAGGCAACCCTGTAAGTATACAAATGTTCAATTAGCCATCTTTTTTTTATACTAAATAACTGCTTGTAATAGTCGAAGAACATATACTAGCCGAGCATATATATCCAACTCTCAACCTTCTCTGGATCATCATTTTTTGCATTAGATGAACTTCATTTAATTACAAGAGGGATTGGAAAGCTTGTGTATGACCTGATTACCGTCACCCTCACAAAGGAAACCAAATTTTATTATACCCATCCAGACAATACCCTCAATACTACCGAATACCCTTTTCATATACCAAGAGCAGACCTTGTAACAATTGGAAACTGTATCACCAGCTCACGAAAATATATACCCACCTCATTTCAAGGCAGTTTTGATAATGTATTTGCCAAGATCGATGGTATTCGCGCAGTTGACTGGCTTGACTTTCTCTTATACCTTGTCCCCACTTTGGTTGTGCCTTATTTATCAAATAGGGCTGTCAAAACAGCTCTATTATCTCTCGTGAAAGGCTGTGCGCTTGCCTTGCAATAGACGTTGACATCAGAATTGCTTGATGAGATGGAGTCGTAAGTTATTATACGTCTCATATATTATCATTACAAATAGCTGATTGTTACTATTTTTTAAATATTAATACTAGATACTTCAAGCACTGGCACTCGTTTTTATACCAACAAGTCCAGAATAATACCCTGTCTCATAGTGTTTTCCGACCAGTGCAACATTACCTGGTCCATATACCCTATATCATCAAGCAGCAAGGCCCCCTGCGATGCTACTCCACTCGCTCAATAGAGAGAGTTATTGGTGTCTTCTCGAAATTGATAAAGTCCAAATCAAAGGGTGGCCAAAACGCCAGTTTTCTCGTCAAGCAATTTGCGATTCACAATTATACCAGCACGGCAATCAGCATCTGTGATGAAGTCAACCTCATTCGGCCAAAGCCATATGGAAGAGAGAGCTACATGGACCTTCCTAATGATCCTAGTGGTGCGCAGTTGTGGGAGCTGTTTCATCAGTTGGTTAATTTGAATGATGATTCGGTGGAAGGTGTAGGCAGCCCTAGTGTGAAGGAAGCTTTATCGAAATATTACCAGAGAACAACAGGCTTGACTGGCCACGAGTTTGGTGACTCTGTTGTTGTTGTAGCTACACATCTGTGAATGGACTCGACTGTATATTCCTCATGCATGTACCAAAGAAAGAAAAACGAGACCAGCCGTGGCAACTATTACGTGATGTTTACTTGCTCCTATAGAAAGTATAATATTTTTCGATATATAATCAAAAGTTGCTTACATTCTATTTATTTATTTATTTTAGCAACCGTAATGTAATTGTTCACAGCTGGCTCGTCGGTACAGTACAGTTCTACTTTCAGCATGTAGATTTCCATGGCTTTCCACACTTTCTTGCTTTCGTGGAGGTCATGAAGGAACATGACGCAGCTGACCATGACTCATCAGTACCTATCGTCAAACAATGGTCACAAAGCACCTGTACACTAGGCCACCAAACACAACCAACATATGCAGTTATAAGTGTAAATGTCATTTGTCATCAAGTTGGTCTGGTCCAATACCCACCGAATGGAAACCAGTTTTATGTAATCGCACCCTATTATATCTTTAACAACAACATGTGCATTACTAAAGGCAATCTTTCCATTCTGTAATCCTTTTTATTTTTATCTTATTTTTCTATATGCTCTATATTCTTATATCTTTTATATTTTTTATATTATCCTTGTATCTTATATTCTTTTTTTAATTTTCTCTATTTCTTATGTTTTTTTTAATCTCTATATGCCCCATCTTTCTTTTCTTCTTTATATACTCCAGTTTTTTTTCTATTCTCTATACACCTTATGCTTTTCTCTTCATTCCCTATATGCTCTATACGCCATTACGCGATTTAAATAAAATCAAATTGCCAATTCATCAAGATAAAAAGAATATCTAAAAAAAAAGAACATAGTTTAAAAAATAAAAAAAAATGGCAGTTATGTTACCATTTCGTTCACGCATTCCAAAAATTATTAATCTTAATAATTGTTGACATCTTCGATATTCAATAAAACATATATTTCAATACTCAAAGTGGTCATTACAACTTACAAACATTTTTTACAGTATTGAAAATATTGTATAGTAACAAAAAAAGTGTTTTCATGTTACTTTTTTAAATTGCTACGAATGACATTACCATCTTACAACAAACGGCAGAGATTTTATTGGGTTTCGACTAAAAAAATGGCAGTCATGTGCCTACTTTCGGCCCAACTGCCATTCATCCCACCGTAGTGATAGTATTTTTTTTGTAAATGTCATACTTTTTTTTGTAAACGTCGTACTTTTTTTTTGTAAACATCGTATTTTTTTATATAACCATAGAATTTTTTTTGTAAACGTCGTATTTTTTAATATAACTGTAGTATTTTTTTTTGTAAACGTTGTATTTTTTTATATAACCATAGTATTTTTTTTTGTAAACGTTGTATTTTTTTTATATAACCATAGTATTTTTTTTTGTAAACGTCGTATTTTTTTTATATAACTGCCATATTTTTTTATATAAGTGCCAAACGCCTAATGTAATAGCACTTCAATATATTTAGATCTTTCTACAAAGATACGTCATAGAAAATATCTATAGAGAGAACTAACAGAATATGCAAACTTTTCTCCAGATTACTTTGTTGAAGTTAAATACCTTACTCCAGTTATAAGATAATAAAGCAAGTATCTCATTAAAATAATTATGTTAAAATTGAAAATGCAATGATATTATTTGTATTCTTTCTTTATTGCAGAGTAAGTTTCAAATAAAAGATTCATTTTTTGCCACTTGTAACCTCCTTGTTGTTTTTAATGAAAAAAACAACTGGAGACTTTCTCTACTTCAAAATATAGTCACCAGCAGTTGTTTGTTTCATATTTACTATCTTGCTGGCTTTTTTGATAGTTAATCTCCTTATGAAGTAGAGATAAAGAAGCTTTTTTATATCTTTATCCGTAGGCTTTTGATATTACCCTCTACTTTTTTTGGGGGTTTCGTCTGTTGTTGACGGGGCAGAACTCTTTGGATCTTCTGGCTTTTCAGGCTCTTCAAGCTCTTCCATGATTTTTTCAAAGGCACTGTTATATTCTGCAAGTTTCTTGTGTAACATTGTAGGGTTTTCTGATAATAAAAGGGGAAAAATAAAGAAATAGAAAGATATGTTAAAGTGACATATTTTATATAAATATAGTTATATTTAGCACATAGCAGCTATAATTAAATAGTAATTACTTAAGATACAAGATAAAAATCAGAAGACAAGTTGAAGCAGCAAGAATAGATATAAAGAAGATTGAGTTGTTGTTAAATAGTATTAGTCATTATATTTTCAGCTTTTTATATCAAAAAATAATATGCCAAGGTCCACTAAATAAAGTAGTACAAATTGAACTCAAGGAGATAAAAAATAAATAGGACAATATATTATCCGCAGCCATAAATTTATTATAAACATTCTTTTTTAAAAGAGATATCATAATTCTCTCTCTTTCCATTTGGTGTTTATATATCAAAACTCTTTATTTCTCTTCTTAAATCAGCAATAAATTTCATTCTCATGCTCACTTCAACAACTAAATATTACTCTGACAATAAAAACACTGCTTAAAGCTCTACACCTCATGGATTTTTTTATTATTTCCAGATCACATTATGTTTCTGTATGTAAATAAAGCCTATACCTCGGAGTCATTGATATTAATCTCTAAATAATCTATAGTATTTTGAACAAAAGCTATAAATCTGAAAAGAAAACGTGACGATTCAACCCTCAATCTACAAAGAAACTACAAGATTAAACATCTATCTGTATGATAGGAACCAGTTTACACATATTTATAATGCTTTTAAGTGCATTTCACTGACCATACTTTTTTGAAATCCAACAGTAGAATTCACTCTACCGACCACACAAAAACTTGCCAATTTTTATCTCGAATATCCAGTAATCTGATTGACTACCACAGCAATTATATTTCTTATGAACCTGGTCCTACACAAGCATCTAATACTATTACAAAAAAGAATTCAAAAATGCTATATTTATTCAGCACCTGCTCCAACCATTTTACAATGTCAGAATCCTGATCTTCTTAATATCAAACTCAACAACTCTTTGTAATCTGCACTCGAAACAAGTAAATGTCCAACAATCTGCTAAACAACTGAAAGCGATCCAAGAATTATGTTTTGCCTACAATACTACTCAATCTCCATTTTGGAAACCCTCATGATACAAAATACCAAAAAAAAACAAATATTACACACACAAAAACAGTAACAAAAAATAGCACAAGCTCATGACAAAAAAAAGAAATAAAAAAAGAGATGAAAAAAAAGAGATGAAAAAAGAAATAAAATAATAAAAAAAAAAGAAATAAAAAAAAGAAATAAAAAAAAATAGAAATAAAAAAAAGAAAAATGTAATAGCAATTTTAAAAATAATTCTCCAAATATTATAACTAGCATTTTTATTCATAAATTTTTATAATATACATAACTATTTTTTCCCAAATAATTTTGAAAAACTGAAAGTCTCTATAACTGAAAATAAAATGATATCTTACTGCAAGAAATTTCTGAAAAACTGAAAAACTGAAAAACTGAAAGTCTCAATAACTGAAAATAAAATGATATCTTACTGCAAGAAATTTCTGAAAAACTGAAAAACTGAAAAACTGAAAGTCTCAATAACTGAAAATAAAATGATATCTTACTGCAAGAAATTTCTGAAAAACTGAAAAACTGAAAAACTGAAAGTCTCAATAACTGAAAATAAAATGATATCTTACTGCAAGAAATTTCTGAAAAACTGAAAAACTGAAAAACTGAAAGTCTCAATAACTCAAAAAATGAAAATCTCAATAACTGAATTTCGAGCTTTTCCTTGGCTCTATACAAAAAAAAACTTTTTTTTTTTGGTTGGGCAAACCCATGAGGAGAAATCCCACCCCTTCCTTCGAGACAGAGGACAGGACACCATAAAGGCTCTGGTAGCACTGTAAATCAGCTAATAAAATAAATGTTCTTAAAAGTGTGAAGAAGCTTAATATGTAAACATTCATTATTCTTCAACACGTTCTTTATCCAAATATATTAAGACAGCAGGACAAGACTATACCTTGGTAGAAACGTTTAAGTTATTAAAATATTTTTTTTGGTATATATACCCCAGTGTCTTAATAAAAGTTTCTCAGTTATTTTTCTTACTCGATTTTAACACCCTTTTTATTTTCAAAAAAATGTCTACTTCCAACAATTCCCTCGAATTTGTTATGGACAAGCACTGTGAAATGGTCAGTCACAGCCGTTCTGCAGACCAAACCCAGTTTTCTGGAATTGCTTTCGACCCCTTGTGCAATTTCAACCAAGAGATTGTTGACAAAATGCATGGAGAAGTTGTACTCCGATATGTGACAGATATCTTTGTCAACCATGCCAATATGGAATGGACTCATACCTCAGCTGGAAACTCAGCAGTCATGAACCTCTTAAGTCTCAGAAGTTTTTTGCCAACTGAAGTCAACGAGGCCACCACCAAAATCATTGTTGCACAGAAGCCAAAGACGAATCTGCTGGAGAAGGTTGGCCCTGATTCTGTTCCTACTGCAGAAAGCATAGGTCAAGATTCGTACCAAAAGTACAACCAAAACCAGGTGAACAAGCTCTTCTCCTTGGTTTTCTCGGAAAACGAGACTGCTGCTGCCACTGCCAGGGAAACAGGAATCAATGTCCAGACTGCCCAGAACTATGTCAGGCTGGCCAGAGAGAAGATCCAGGCCAATTTTGATGCTGCCACAGTGGAGACTGATGAGTCCAATGGGCTGGAGACGATGGAGGTTGAGGAGGTTTCTGTACCTAAAGAACGAAAACATGGCAACCAAAAGTTGTTCCAGGTGCACTCTGCTTTTTTTTGAAGTTTTTCAAAAATAAACCAGATGCTACCTTGGAACAAGCAAGGATAGCTGTCATGGAAGAGTTCTCTGGGCTGCAGATTACCAAATCAGCAATCTAGAAGCACTTGGTGAAGAAGTGTGCTCTGACAATAAAGAAGTTAGAGAAGCTGCCTGAGAAGAGAGACGACGTCAGCACAATTGAGATGAGACGAGACCGCATTTTGGAGTGGTAACAACTTGTGGATTTCAACTATCTGTTGAACTGTGTGTTCATCGATGAAGCAGGCTTCAACATGCACATCAAGAGAACTTTTGGCTGTTCTGTCAGTGGCACCCTGACCAAGAAAACTGTCCCAATGCAGAGAGGTGTGTCCATCAACATCCTTGGTGCAATGTGCAAGAGAGAGATTGTCAGCCTCTTGTTTAAGAAACCCACTGCAGTCGCAGCAAAGAAGAAGAAAAAGCTGAACATCTACACCAATGCTGAGGTGAATGGCCGAATTAGTATCAGGACCCAGCACTACCTCAACTTTCTTAGTCATACAATAGATGTTCTAGACAGCCAGGGTATGCAAGGATGTTATCTCATCATGGATAACACTCCTATCTATAAGACCAATGAGGTGAAAGACTTTATTTCTTTCTGTGGGTACAAGTGTGCATATTTTCCTGTGTATTCACCTTTCCTGAATCCAATTGAGGAAATGTGGTCCAAGATCAAGTTTGGTGTCTGCAAAGAAGAGATTACAGAGTCAGACGGGTTCATCTTAAGGATTACAGAATCAGCTAAGACTGTCACCCTTTTGGACTGTTTGGGTTGGATTAACCATGCCATTTCATTCTTTCCTCGCTGTTTGAACAGAGAGCGAAAGCTTTAAGTATGTCTTTTATGTCTATTTAAGCTCTTTACACTCTATGTCTTTTTTTATTTTATTTTTATTTTTTACTACTTTATGTCCCTCTTTTTTTATTTGTTTTACTGTTTTATGCTTTTTTTTTATTACTTTGTATTTCATTATATCTTACGTCTTATTATGTGTTCTATTTCTCTATCAACTAATTATGCCTAATAAAAATATCCATGTTTTATGCCAAAAAAAATACAATGTTTACAAAAAAAATAATACAGTTATATAAAAAAAATACTACGTTTACAAAAAAAATATTACGGTTATATAAAAAAATATGACATTTACAAAAAAAATACTATGGTTATATAAAAAAAATTGTAAGGCGTAAGGATAAAAAATTTGAGTGCCATGTACTCTTCCACCAATAGTAAAAGGGGGGAGCAAATTCAGTTGGCAATGAATGCAAATTCAATTTTTATGAAAGCCAATAAGATGTCAATGGGTTTTAATTAGATGGAAATGGATGCTAATTAGATGGAAATGGGCACCAATTGAATGGATAAAACCAGTAGTTAAGAAATATAATTAATAAAAAACATCTTTATTCTTATCTAAAAAACTATTCTTAAAACTTGATGATTCCCAGTGGTATTGATTCTGCGACTTAGTTACAAGTGCCAGAAAAGAAATATCAGATTGAGACTTGACAAAAGGAAGACCAACCCAGATTGGGAATGGCAAAAGTCTTGTCGTTCCCGATCTGGGTTGGTCTTCCTTTTACTATAACAAAGTCAAAAGGTCAAACCCACTGGGGATCAAGGAGTATACGTAAAATCAAAGAGAGGATAAAAGATACTTTTTATTGATATGAATTGAATTGTCTTATATAGTTTTCTAAACTAATACTGCACATTATCCGCAATAGTTATTATTTATATTTAATTAAAGAAATAGTCATTATACTGCGGTTAATGCTCAGGAAGATATTACTGCGCATAAAGAAGTACTGTGGTTAACTATCTTCAGATTTTATGGATTCATCAAAATAATGTCCGGCAGTCTGACATGGCAATTAAAAATTAAAAAACAACGTCGCCTGCAGGATTCGAACCTGCGCGTCCAAAGGACAATGCCTTAGCAGGGCACCGCGTTAACCACTCCGCCAAAGCGACATACATGTCTGTTGTCACGTATGTTGTATACAGGTCCAATTGTAGCTTGTTTCTGGTGATAGATACCAGACGGTGGATTCCTTCAGTGGTTTGGTCCAGCGGTGAGCCATGACGGGCGGTACTGAACTCGTGGGCGTTGATGTTGATGGTGAGTCGACCGAGTGACATGTCTGGAGGGACAAGAGTGGTCCCCCAGGTTTCTTGGGAAATCTTGCTCCTGATACCCCTTATACCCAAACCCTCTAATATAATCTCATTCCTTAAAATTAAAATACTCATCTATATCATCACCTCAGAAACACCTGTCACCCACTAAAAACATTATACCTCTTTCCCTTAATTTCATACACTTCTTTATTGCTGACATTTATTTACACTATTTTTTATTACATTTTATTAGATTCTATTATTATACTATTATTATATTTTTTACTTTACTTTACTATATTGTTATTATATTATTATCTTACTTCTATTTTACCTCACTATATTTTTACTTTATCTTTATTCAATTATTATATTTTTACTATACTTTTACTTTACTCTCTCTATATTTTTCTATTCTACTTCTACTATCAACACCAATTACATGTAGTAAAAATTTTCACTTGACTTTCTTTTCTTTTCCTCAAAAAATTATTTTAACCAAACATTTTTATTTATAAAAGGAACAATCTTTTCAATCAATAAAATCATCATTCTATCCTTGATCTTATTTATTTTTGTCCGTTATTATCATTATTTTTCATTCATACACAGTGTCTTTGTTCTTTGGAGTACTGTCTGTCGATCTTGATATATTTCATTTCTCTGTTCCCCCTTTTCTGTCTTTCTCAAACTTTGTCATTGTCATAATTTCCATTTTTTTTAACTGTCTGTCACCAATTCTTATCTGTCAAATTACCTATTATTTTTCATTTGTATCATATTCTTCTTCTTGTATTTTGTAATTCATATTACATTTATTTGTCAAGTGATACTGTTACAATCCACAACAAACAAACACATCATGCATTAAATTGGAGGTTGTGCTAAGGAATTCTTTTTTCAATTTTTTTAAACTTATCTTACTCAAACCGTGCTATGCAATATGCTCCCTTCTTCTTATCCTGCTCCCATGGGAGAACGTAAATTATACAATATCTCCAAGTACCTCTCGGCTCCGGAAATCTTTTTCGGTGGCCCAAGCAGTGAATCTCTCTACTGGTTGCTGCATATGGATCGACTAAAAAAAGATGCTGGTATGACCAACAAAGAAGCAATCCTGGTGGTGGCCACCCACTTCTATGGCATGGCTGCCAAGTGGTGGGCCATCTGTGAGGCCAAAGTCACAACATGGGAAGTCTTCTCAGAGGAGTTCAAGAAGCAGTTTGCCTCCCGGCAGATAGAAGATGTCCGGTGGACTGAAATTGACAAAACCAGACAAGGGGCAGGACAAAGCATTGGTGAGGTGACTATCCATCTGCAGGAACTCTTTGGTCTGGTCGCTTTGGCCAATGAGGCCCAGAAAATCCAGATTCTGTTGGAGACTCTCCATCCGGAGATTGCTTATGAGGTGGAGAAATCTGGTCTTTCTCGCTCCTGGGACGAGTTGGTTCATCTGGCTTTGGCGGTTCTGGTCCTGGCTTTGGCTGTTCTGGTCCTGGCTTCGGTGGTTCTGGTCCTGGTGGTTCTGGTGATTCTGGTGGTTCTGATGGGTTCTCTGGTTCTGGTTTTTGTGGGTCTGGTTTTTGTGGTTCTGGTCCTGTGTCTGGTTTTTGTGGTTCTGGTCCTGTGTCTGGTTTGGCTGGCTCTTCTGGTCCTCAAACTTATTGTTGTTTCCAGTGTGGGGAAGAGGGTCATATCAAACCCAATTGCCCCAAGTGTTTGAACAAGAACAACGATTCAGGAAAAGGCCAAGGGCGTCAGTAAGTTTTGCTGATGCTCATAATCAACCTAAGGTGTCTGTCTCTGAGGACACTGCTGTCAACATGGTTGAGACTGCTCCGGTGTATGCTGCCAAACATGCTAGGGTGGTTGACCCATCATTGTCTAAGGGTTTGTACACTCATGTTATATTTTTAGAAAAGAAAGAAAAACAAAGTGCAGACGAGAAGTATGGTGAGACTTTGTTTATTGATGAAAAGAGAGATGATCTTCTATTGCTATTTGCTATGTGAGTTTATATAGACATTGCGTGTGTATTTAGAATAATGACATGAGTATATCATATGATGTCTGTTTTCTTATATCATAGATAATATATTGTTAAGTTATTACCCACACTCTTGTTTGAGTGATTAGTGATGCTGACTAAGGTGTGTGACCTTGTTATTGATATATTCTTTATTTAATGATAGTGTGAGAAATAATGTATAATTGATACTGGTTGCTTATTCAATATGTCTTTGTCTTATTATCTGTGTGCTCTATTTGAATATACAATTATGTTGGATACAACAACTCATAACAAAGGAAAGGCTGTCAACAAAACAGTACTGTTACACACTCTCTCAAACACGCTTCCACCGCTTCAACAGCACTTATATGCACAGGGTCAGCTCAACACTTTCCCTACCAATGATACCTATATGACCCTGGCTCCGGACCTCTCCCCTCCTGTTAGTTCTTTCCCTTTGGCCCCCAAGCCCCATCGTTTGCGTCCGTCTCCAAGGGAACTCCCAGTGCACATCAGCCACAACACTGCAAAAGGAGGGCCAATTCAGTATACTAAATCTTGACCAAATACTGTCTGAATGAATAAAATTCAGCATGAATGCGATCGGAATTTATGATGCCAATTTTTTAAAATTTGTGAGTTAAATGAATACAATTAGTATACTGAATTTTAGGAATGCAAAAAGAAAAAGTGTGATATACTTTTATGTGATATATTTTGGTCTTGAAAATATAGACGCACTTTTGTCAGACCGCAGATTTTTCATTCTATATTGGTTTTGGGTTTTTTTTAAATACAGCGCATAACATTTAACATCTTTTTATTACTATATATGGGTTGTTAAAAAAGAGATTTGGTCAAGATTTGGTCAAAATTTAGTCAAGATTTAGAGGTTTATGGGTCATTTTAAAGGTTTTTATTGGTTTGAAAATTTTTTCTTATTGTTTCTAGCTATTTCTATTCGTCTACATCACTAATCGTCTCCTGTTGCAATTGGGTAGAAACATCACACTCATGATGCCGTCATTTATTTTAGTGGATATTGTATTATTCCTTTCGTATATCCATTGGTCCACCCCTGGTGCAATCGACCCCTACTGTATTCCATTGCTTGCTGCGGCATGCTTTCTTGGCCTGTTTGTTTACTTTTATAAAAAATAATTATAGAGTGGATTAGAAAGAATGTTCTAGATATATTTATTTGAGAGCAACAAATTATTTAAAAAATATGAATGTACTTACAATAAAGTTAAACACAAGAACAGATGGATATCTTTAACATAAAGATAGATATATCAACGTTTTAGTTAAATGTCTCAATTATAGTAATATTGTCTATAAAAAATAATAAATTTTGTTAATACAATGCAAAGTAAATAAGACTTTGGTTTGCTTACCAGACAGTTCAGAAAACAGAAGAGGTGGCAAGCAGAAAATACAATGACATTGTCTATAAAATATAATCTTTTATTAGAATAAAATAAAGAGTATCAGACTATTTTTTGCTTACCAATTATTCAATACAGTAGAAGAGGCAGCATGCAGGAAATGGAGATATTATCTATAAAATAATTTTTTTTCATTAGAATTACATACAAAGAAATAGAATGATTATTTACTTACTTGTCTGTCTGTAGAGAATAAGAGTCGGTATATAATCAAAAAAAGAGGGCCGAGATAAAGACCAGTGACTATAGAGTGTATGGTATACATAAGAAAAATAATAAATATAAGTTGTATCTTGAAGGTGTAGGTTAATATTTATACAACATATCATTTTGTAAACCCTCCCAAGGTATATTTCTTTGTTAATGGGCCAGAAAAATCTAAACAGAATAATTAATACATAAATCGTGAATGAATATTCAAGTATATTTTTATTACCTTTTTATCGTTATTTTTGAGGCAGTTAAGAAGGACTTGGTGTTTTAAAGCATAGAGTATCATGCTAGAATAAAAACAACAAGATGATTAGGTCTTGAAACTTTGATGTGAGTTGATGCTTACCATGTTAGACATTAAGAAAGAAGTAAAGAAGAAGGAAAAAATTAAAAAAAACAAGGGAAATTCAAAATTATAATTTTATGACCGTTGACCCTGAGAAACTGATAGAATCAATTGAGTAAATTAAAAGTCATTCAACCCATCCCAATTAAGACAAGGCATTACGTACTAAACCATAATCTCTCACATCTTTGTAATAGATGTAAGCTATTACAAATACCTTTCCAAGTCGGCTTATTAAGAAAAGTATAATATAGAGATCAAAATGCTATAAAGAGCATCATCAGAAAAATAATATTTTGGTGCCTTAATTTCCACCTTTACATATGTTTTGATTTATTTTATTATTTTAAAGAAACCCGACTCTAATTATTAAAGTATTCACATTGTTTCAATTTCTTTCTTCAGTCTTAAATATCTCAATTCATGTCTTCTAATACGCAGCAAACCAAAAAAACGAAAAAAACAACTACAAAAAAGTCTGTTCAACAAACCGCTGGGACAGCAGCAAGCACAAGACAATGAGAAATTCTTCCCAGCTTGACAGTTAGCGCAGAGCTAGATGGTACTGTCCTATCCACTTTGTTCACCATGAGCACCCAACTGAATGAATCTCATTCACTTCTGGAAAAGGTCTACCACAACATGGGAGCAACCAATGATCAGAATAACAATTCGAACCATAGTCCCATCGGTCAGGCTCTTACTACAGGAGAATATATAAAGTACCACCTTCCAACGGTTTTGGTAGGATATATACTAGTAATAGAATATTGCAAAGTTACTTACATTATATTTTGCAGAGATTGATCTGTTCTCAAACACAAGCAGTTCTGGCAACAATGCCATTGACGGTCAATAAGGGCACCTTCTCGACATCCAACCATCCCATTGCTGATGTAGTGCAGGGCTACACTACATCAGCAAGCTGAAGTAAAGACTGTTTCGTCTGCAGTTGTGGAAGAGAAAACCCAAAGACATATTTCGTATATGCTTCAAAGGGCAAAATCTTTGCCAGAAAAGATAGCTCAACAAAATCAGATTTCTCGACGCCGGTCCAGAAAGAGAAACGTAAGTATAGTCAACAGTTTTTGTGTAAACTATTTTAACTTTTTTTTCAGATTCTTGCAGACTACAAGGCAATTCACTTAGCTGACAAGGCAAACCTTGAGTCTAAGTTTGGTGAGACTGTCATTGACCTTCTGGACTATGACATGTTATCTGATATTGAGTCAGATAAGGAGAAAAATAAAACTAGATATACTCCTAGAAATAGACATCCCTTGGTAAGACCCTCATTATAAAAGTTTTTTTTTAATACTTCTAACTCAAAAGTATTTATATTATAATGCAGGTAGATGAATACTTTACTGTTTTGAAGAAACAGAGACTTGCTAACAAGGAACCAGACGTCATTGGCAATTCTGTCTATCCAATTATTTTGAGAAACACCAAGTTATTAAATGAGAAAAAGGTGGATGTTGCTGCTTGAATTCACACACGCCAACAATAAATCGTTATTTTGTTTACAAAGCGCATATAGTACTTTAATGATTTTTATTGATCGTGTTGAATGATGTGGGGTGAAGTGTTAAAATATAATCAGGCGGTATTGTCAAGATGAGAAACAATTAATATATAAATAAAAGGAAAAAGAAAAGACAAAATCAAAAATCAAAAGCAAAATAATAAATTATTATTTTATTTTAAAGCCAATTAATAAAAAGATATATATACAAAGCAATTTTTAATTATATAACCCTGATTGTTTTATTCTTGTTTTTTTTTATTGGAAATTATAATACCGATATTAGCAAGAATATGTGTGGTGATCCAGACACTTGGTTGTTGGATTTATTACATCTAAGAACATATTCCTATTATTATAGTAAAACAGCTATCATTACAAGAACAAATGAATAATTTATTTATTTTACTTATGGTAAATCAATAAGACCAATAATTAATTACAGTAAGTACTGTAATTATGACAGCTCAGTAAGCACTGAGTTAATATGAGGACACTGCAATTAGATTAAATTATAAACATAGCAGTACCAGCTCTCTAATATCTAAATGAACTCAGACTTAAGAAATTAAGATGTGACTGACAAAGCAGATCGTGTTTTGATATAAAAAGGACAACTTTGTATTCTTTAATAAAGACAACCTATATACAGTCTCAAAGTATTCTTATATACGTCTCAATCTTTTTACTGTTGATTTTATTCTATAAAACTTCACATTTTTTACTTTGAATTCTATAATGTCTTCCCAACACTCTGCTGCCAACTCTCTTCCTCGTGAAGAACAAAGCCCTCTTACCGAAGTTGGTATTCCCTCTCCTGTTCTGAATGAACAGACACATCTCACCGAAATTGGTGACATTTCTCCTCTCCTTGGATCCACCGCTCTTTCCATCGATGGTGATATTGAAATGATATACACCAGTCTTGATTCCTTGCCACCTCTTTCAGTTGTTGGTTCTGTCCCTCCTACTCCTGTGCCTACCGTCCCATCAGCCGTTAATAGCAACACTAGTAGTTCCATCACTTTGGAAATGTTGTTAGCTTCTGCGAAGGAAGACCTTAGCATAAAGAAGAACAACTTTTATGTGGCTTATGCTAACTATGTGGCTCTTTCGAAGGTCAACCCCATGTCAGACGCGGCCAGACATGCTTCTTCCATTAAGAAGGAAGCTCAAGAATTGTTTGAGGATGCCCAGAAGACCTTCAAGGTGCTTGAAAAAGCCAACGCCCCTCCTGCTATTCTTGAAGACAAGAAGAGCATGGTAGTCCCTAGCAACTTACCTTTCTTGCAGCTCTGCACGGAAACCAGGGTGAAGCAAAATCGTGACGTGTTTGACTCTGTGTACGATTTTTGCCAAGAATTCACTATGGTTTTAGAGTCTCATTCCCTGTCCTTGGACTCATGCTGGGAGCGTCTGCTTCCCATATGCCTGAACAAGGAGGAAAGATCCTGGTTTGAAGACAAACTAAAGGGAAAGGCGTACAAGTGGAAGAAGGCAGAAGGGATTCTGCTGGATCACTATGATACTCCTTTCAGAAGATTTCTGAACATGGGTCGCGTGTGGAAAATGATGCAGAAGAAAGGTGAGTCAGTTCGTGCGTTTGGAGCTAAATTTCAAACAGCTAGAAGACAAGCGTCCTTGGAGGATGGTATCCAGATGGTTCTTTGTTTCTGGTGGAACTTGCGCCCGGAAGTCCGGGAAGCAAGCCTGATCCCATTGTTGGCCAACTATGGCACCAAACTGCCCTCCAAAGTGGAGGATATAATCTCGTTAGTCAGTGTAGCCACTAGCGATTCCACGGCCCTACTCAACCAACCTGCGGAGTCTGGCACCCCTGCCAAATGGAAGTCATTTGCCAATGCCCATAGCATCTCCTCTTCAATAAGCCACAAGGGAAAGAAGAGAGCTATTGTCAGGGACAATGATCCTAAGCACGCCAAGAAGTCTTGGAATTTTAAGAAGGCAATCAAAGATAATGTTTGCTTTTCTTGCAAAGGTGCTTGGGAGAAGGGTCACACCTGTCCTGAAAGGGATAATTACTTGACAAAGGTGTCAAGAATGGCTGTGCGCTCACCTGCTGATAGATCAGTAGCTTCCTCCCCTGCTTGTGGTGGTTTTCCCCCTTCTCGTGATAGTCATTTCTCTGTTCGTGGCAACTCTTCCCCTGTTGGTAGTTCCTCAACGTCGTGGTCGATGGACCAAGATAACACAAGTGCTTTGGCCAAGATGGCCTTGAATTGTAAGGACAATCATAAAGACATGGTCATTAAAAAAGATTTTAAGAACGTGAGCACTAATATTACCTTCCCCATTCTGGCAAATAATTCTATTAGAACCATCGCCTTGTTGGACTGTGGCGCTACATTCAGTTCTGTGGATAAGAATTTTTGTTTACAGAATAAAATATCTATTAATTATGTAAATCACATCAACAAAGATTTAGTGAACAATTCCAATGTTCATAAGTATTTTATTCGTTTGGCTGATAGCAATACACATATTAAAAGAATTGGCACTTGTGTGATCAGTATAACTTGTAATAGTAAGACTATTCAGAGAGAATTTGAAGTGATGAACTTAACTAATAGTTATGAGTATGATTTCAGTATTGGTACTGATTATATGTCCACTCTGGGTATTGGTATTTATGGTTTACCTTTATCATATGATGATGCTGATTCAAGTAAGGAACGTAGAGAAGCCGATAGACGCTTCAATAATAAGAGTGATCTTCTTGAATCCATTGAGAGAGAAAATGAACAAAAGGAAAATAATCCGGCTGTAGGTCCCAAACAGTTTGAGGATGCTATGGATTATATTCGTCCGTTCATTAAAGACAATCAAGATATTCCTAAGGGTTTGTTTTGTACTATACCTGAAAGTGTTGTATGTTTGGACACTCCAGAAAATGCTATGGCGTTCAGAAGCCCTTATCCCATTCCTTACAAGATGCAAGGTGTAGTGGATGAACAGGTGAAAGAATGGCTGGACAATGGTATAATTGAAAGAGCGTCTGCAAACACACAATGGAATACGCCTTTGACTGTTGTCAAGAAGACGAATGGTAAAGGAGAAATTACTGGATATCGCGTTTGTCATGATCCCAGATTAATTAATTGCCTGTTGAAGTCAATTGATCGTATGCCTTTGCCATTGATTGGTGAATTGTTTGAAGATTTAAAGGGTGCGAATATTTATTCCACTCTGGATTTGAAATCTGCGTTTAATTCTTTGAGGTTGAACCCAAAGGACACACACAAACTTAGTTTCACATGGCGTGGTGTACAGTACAAACCTATTGGTACAGTGTTTGGTATTAAGCATGTCAGTTCACAATTTCAAAGAACTATGAGTATAGCTTTGGAAGGACTATCTTTTGTATGGTTTTTTGTGGATGACATTGTTTGCGCAAGCAAAACGTTCGAGGAACACAAGGAACACTTGAAGCAAGTAATTGAGAGATTAACAAGGGTCAATTTGAAGTTGAATCCGAAAAAATGTCATTTCTTTCAGAAAGAAATTTATTTGCTTGGTTTTCATATTTCACCTGAAGGAATTACAATGGACCGCAGAAAACTTGTTAATGTTCTTGAATTTCCTCAACCAAAAACGGGTAAAGATATCCAAAGTTATTGTGGGTTGATCAACTATTTTAGAACCTTGATTCCGAATGTATCTTCCATTATGTCGCCATTAGATTCATTGAGAAATGAAAAGTCGATTACCCATTTATGGACAGATAAGCATCAAACTGCATTTAATAACTTGAAAAAAGCACTTTTGAGTGATCTGGTGTTGTCGTACCCAGATATGAACTCTCCTTTTAGTATCAGCTGTGATGCATCTCTTACTGGTATCGGTGCAGTGTTGTATCAAGCCAAGGATGGCAAGAAAAAATATATTTCTTTCATGGCCAAGAGCTTATCCCAAAGTGAAAGAAAATATTCTGCGACCAAAAGAGAATTACTAGCGTTAGTATTTGCACTCAAGCATTTTCACAAGTATGTCTATGGTTCTCACTTTACCTTGTACACGGATCACAAGGCATTGACATATCTTCACACCCAACGTGTTGCGAATCTGATGATGATCGCATGGATGGACACAATTTTACAGTATGACTTTAAGATCGTTCATTTGCCTGGTGTTTCGAATGTGCTCCCTGATGTGTTGTCACGTTTGTCTGAAGAAACTGAAACATTATCAAATGAACTGGGTGGGGATAGTGTGGTTAGATCCATCATGAGAAATAGTGCTGTCACTATGGAACCGCTACCAGACATCTTGAGTGGTGAGTACTTTACTCCTCCCACAGAAAATGAAAGGAATAAATTATTAGTTGAAGAACATTTGAAAGGTCATTTTGGTGTAGAAGCTATACTACATGCCTTAAAGAGAAAAGGTATTTATTGGACCAACTTGAAGAGTCAAGCAAGTGATCTTATACAACCGTGTATACAGTGTCAACGTCACAATATCACAAGAAAAGGATATAACCCTTTAAGACCAGTGACCGCAACACTTCCTGGTGACAGTTGGGGAATAGACCTGGCTGGGCCATTTACAACGTCGACTAGAGGAAATGAGTACTTGTTGGTGATGATAGACATCGCAAGCAAATTTTACATATTGCGTGCCATACCTGATAAAAGGGCATCTACGATTGCGTTACAAGTACTGGATGTCATTAGTACATGGGGTCTGATGAGAAAGTTGCAGAGTGATTGTGGACGGGAGTTTGTGAACTCGCTGATGACATGTATAAAAGAGAATGTTGGTTTTGAACATGCGTTGATTTCGCAGTACCATCCTAGAGCTAATGGTGCGAGTGAAAGAGCTGTCCAGTCGGCAGTGAACACCATTAAAAAACAAATAGTTAGTAATGTTGCTGATTGGGATCAGAAGGTACCATCTGCACAGTTGTTTTTGAATAGCAAATATAATGCTAGGACTAAGAGTACGCCATTCTCATTAATGTTTGGAAGGAATCCAAATGACTTCGTCGATTTTAGTAAAGAGAAGGATAGTGCAACTGCTGAACAGATTCAGAAAGAATTGCAAGAAAAAATTAAAAGAATGACTGAGATAGTCTACCCTGCCGTGTTTGAACACGTAAAGCATGTCACACAAAAGCAAAAGGAACGCTTTGACACGAGTCACAAAATGATAGATCTGGTTCCAGGAACTATAGTTATGATTTTGGTGACAGAAAAACAGAATAAATTAGATCCAAAGTATAAGGGATTTTATACTGTTGTTCGAAAGACTGCTGCCAATACTTATGTATTGAAAAATGAAAAGGGATTTTTAGAACCAAGGAATTACCCTCCTTCTTTATTAAAAAAAGTGTCGAATAAGATATTAGAGCAAAAGAATGATTTTTTTGAAGTCGAAGCAATTATTGGTCATAAGAAAGATGATATGAACAATTATTTGTATAGATGCAAATGGTTGGACTATGATGAGTCTCATGATACCTGGGAGCCAGAGGATCACTTTACTGATCTTAAATTCATTAAGGAATACTGGCAAAGAATTGGGGAAGCACCAGAAAGTATCAAAGACATCAACAAAGCCAATAAAAGATTATTGAAGGATATGAAAGTCGTAAATTCCATACCCAAAGAAAAGTCAGGTATAAAAAGAAAGAACTATGCAAAGACAGCTTTGCAAAAGAAGAAACGCAGTAAGGTCTAAATAAAGAGTTATTTGAGCACCACAGTACTCGTATATATATAAAAAATGCATAAAGTACTTGAACGGTATTTAATTAATACCTGGGTGGGGATAATGTGGTGATCCAGACACTTGGTTGTTGAATTTATTACATCTAAGAACATATTCCTATTATTATAGTAAAACAGCTATCATTACAAGAACAAATGAATAATTTATTTATTTTACTTATGGTAAATCAATAAGACCAATAATTAATTACAGTAAGTACTGTAATTATGACAGCTCAGTAAGCACTGAGTTAATATGAGGACACTGCAATTAGATTAAATTATAAATATAGCAGTACCAGCTCTCTAATATCTAAATGAACTCAGACTTAAGAAATTAAGATGTGACTGACAAAGCAGATCGTGTTTTGATATAAAAAGGACAACTTTGTATTCTTTAATAAAGACAACCTATATACAGTCTCAAAGTATTCTTATATACGTCTCAATCTTTTTACTGTTGATTTTATTCTATAAAACTTCACAATATGTAATAAAGGCTAAGAAAATGATAAATGTCGGATATTAAATATACAAGTATTTTGTCTTTTATATTATTGATAAAAGCAAGAGAAATAAATAATGGTTTTTACTATTCGTTAATAGTTAAAAAAACTGGTAATATAATTTACTATTGCTCTTTTAAATACTTAATAAAGAAGTAATGGTAAAACAATAAAAATAAAGAGATAAATAAAGATAAATCTTTTTACAGTCAAAAAAACTCGTATTATAAATATTTATATTTATATTATATAGCACTGTATTTATTTATTTATTTTTATGTGACTACTTTTCTAGGCAGTGGAATGACAAGGCGTTTTTGCATCCCACTTCGCATTTTATATGTAGTCAACATGAAGCATGAATGCAGACGATGCACTGAAACAATGCATGAAGAACTCTCTTCCATGTACCCCTTCTCCCACAACTCTAGGCCTTGTTCAACTAATGGCTGGTGATGACTGAACTGGTAGGTGGGAAACCATTTGATGAATGCAAACGTTGACACTCTTTTGACTCCACCAATCTTAATGGTATGAGTAAATAAATACTCTATTTGACCAGAGAATTCAGATACATCGTCATTTGTTCTCCCAAGAAACAAAACCCTCACAAAAGACCCACGCTTCTTCTTTTCACCACTGCAGTACTCTTGCCCCAGCAACGAAATCTTTTTCACCTTTTGAATCCGATTGTTCACAAACACATCCTCACCAATTGGGATTCTCCCTACTACACAGAAGGAAACACTTGCACTCTGGTAAGCCTTGACATAGAATTCAAATAACTACTGATAGTGATCATTCTTCATCATAGTCAAAAGCTGCAGCTTGATTGGCAAAGTGGTTGGGGGCAAGGCCTCACTTCTGGTGACTTTGTACCATAGATTTGTGGCAGCTTGCAGAAATATTGGGAGGTTGAATGCCAATACAGGTGGATGACCATTCTCCAGGCAAGGGAGGGGCGAGAGAGCAGATACCAATGTAACTTGGGCAACACTCTCAAGAAACTGTATCATTGGTGGTGAAAGGTTAGTAGAATATGCATGTAGGAAAGTGCTGATAAATGCCTTTTCCAGAAATACTCTCATGAATGTAACCTCAAGACCATTTCGGTGGTTCGTCTTTATGTTCTTCAACTTGCCGTTGTATCTCTCAAAGCTATACAACCAGAATGCATACACTGGACCAAAGTCAAGCATCGACTCACACAAGTGCATATGCAAATGCATATTTGGCGTGATGCTACTCTTTCCATAAAGAATCTCGCATTCTTTTCTGAATTCTCCAAGGAGCTGGTGTGCACTGTCAATTTCTGAATATGTGACTGATGGACAGGTCAACTTTCGGCATGCCTTGATGAAGAGAGTTCAGTTTTTGAAGTCTTTTTCAGGCAAAGCGTCTTTGAGTATTACCAGCGAATATATGAGACACCACAATCGCCACTTGTCTGCCTTCATGTATGGGAAGCCCAATTCAATTTTTGCAGACAAAACAGTATACCCAGGAGGAACAATAATATCATTAGCAGGGAGATAGCCAAGGTCTTTCCAAACACTAATCATATGCTTTGCTGTCCCAAGAAACAAATTGTGCATGGGATCAACAATTGTGCACCAAACGGGATCAAAGTAATGCAAACAATGCAACTTGGAAAACCGCGTGCCATTTTGCTTCTCCAAATCTGCTCTTTCTGCATTTGATTCTGCACAAGCCCACATATCGGCGTATATGGCGTTCATCTCCTTTGTTCTTGGCACCCAGCTTTCATTGTCAAACCCAGAGTAATCGATCTTACTTGATCCGGCAATCACAGAGAAGTGACACTTGCATTTATGACAGGTATTAGTGCTTGCATGCCCTGTAAATCCAGCAGTTTTTCTTGCAGCAGGTATGTCGCAAGCAACACACATAAGAGCAGCACAGACAATAGTACCATTGGGGAATGCAGCAGTCTTTACAGTTATACCGCTGTACAACTCTACCAGCTCATCTACCAGAGGTTCCAGAAAGTTGTTCATCTGGTCGATCTTTACTTCCTTTGGACCAGACATGACACCAACAAGGATAATGTTCTCTGGCTTCATCCTTTCTTCCCTGGGCAGGTTGTTCATTGACAGATACAAGGCCCCACTTGCATGTGTACGGCCTTCAGATGGTTGAAACCAATCCACATTCAATGTCAGCATCAAGGAATGGTCATGATTAACAAAAGGCTCGTCGTCTTTGTCAAGGAGCTCACTCCACATTGCACCATTGTATATGTTCGACAAGGTACTGTTAATTGTCTCCCTTGATTTCCATTGAACGATTTGACACTCAAACCCAGATTTGGCAAAATGCTGTGCAATGGAATTCTTGAGGGAGTTATATGGGAAAACCATGAGAGGGATGGGGTGATCAACTTCTGAGTCAAAGAAAAGAGAATTTCCGCAGTATGTTGGTGATGTAGTTGTGTATTTTATGAATGTGCAATTTGGTTGGTGATTGCCTGGTAAGTGAATTGCAAAACACTTATTGCAGATGGTGTATTTGATGATGCTTTTTGTCATGAAATTGAATCCGGTCATAGTCTTTAACGCATCAACAGTGAGTGGGAGATCAGTATCCTTTTCAAAGGCAACAAGAAGATGGTGGAAGAATTTCAGCATAGCAGTTCTACCTGCTTGGACCAAGTAAAACGCCTAAAAGATAACGCCAAATAGAGCCATGAATTGGCTTGTTTGAGACATTTTATAAATTTTCAAAGAAGCAACTACAAAGGCAAGTATTTCTGTTAATTATTTGTAACACAATTTATGTATATTTCTTTTTTAAATATATGCATACCAGAAGCAACCATGTCTTCAAAATTTTCAATACTGGCAACCTTGACTTCGCTCTCATCTTCAGACTTATCACTTGAATCAGGATCGTCATTATCAGAAGCCAATGATGTTGCCTTGACATCAGACTCTTCGAATTGAAAAATCTCGTCTTCTCTCAAAAAAGGTACACTCTGTACGGTAGTTTCGGCTGATACAATAGAATAATTGTCTTCATCTATAGTAAAACCAGACTATTAGCTATCTAAATTATGATTTATTAAAAAGAAATTTTATACTCACAATCAATCGATGTTTCAGATACATCTACCATCTCAACGTCTGTCTCTTCTTCGACAACTTCTGTATTAACTGATAATTAATAAAAAAAATATCAGATTACAATTTATTCAGTAATGCGCATACTACTCAAATGTCATTTACCTCGATTTTTTGGGCCAATGTCTAATAACTTATCAGCATCATTATAACACTTAAAGGTCTGTGTATTTTGCAAAATTTTGCCAATTGCATTTTTGGTACATGATGAACATGTACACATAACAGTGTAGGTTTTAGTTGTAGAATTCATAACAGTAAGAATAATATTAATAATAATAAAATAATAAAGAAGTGTATACTATATTTTGTTTTTATCTTTTATATGCCTTTTATTTTTGTCATTAATAATGAGTTGATATATCTTGTTTACTATGTCATTGACTGCATTGAGCTTACCGTCCCTTTTAGTAAGAATTACAAATAGATTTTGATACAGCAATCTTTTCTTAAAAAAAGTGTGCCTGATTATTAATAGGGCTTCAATTTAATAATCACTGATATAATGGCATAGTTTTTCTCTTTCACATTTTTTTTATGACATCAATTTTCGCTCATTTTGGCAAGTGGCCTTTTTTGGATTTTCTTTTTCTTGTATTTTTTTATGACATCAATTCTTGCTCTTTTTTTCAATTTTTTTTGATATACTTTCTTATTAAAAATAAGTCATATATCATACATTATTATATTTTAATAAAAATTGATATTTTTTGTGATGCAATAAAAATATTATTGAATCTAAATTAGATGTATCTGTAACAACAAGTTTTTCCTTTCAGAAAAATAATTAAATACTACATTTAACATTTAATATTTTATTTTTATTTTTTATTTTTCTGCCAAGTCAATCAAAACATATATTTTTTAAGACAATCGTGCGATTTATTGCCTAATTAATAAATATTTGTGTTTGTATCTGTGTTTATTTAATATAATCAGAAAAAATTGCAAATTCACATCTCAAGAAAAAAATATATTGAAAAACGATGGTGTTTGAAATATTTTTCCAAATTTTGCCAAAATTCGAAAAATAAAATTCGACCAAATCCACTCTCCTTTTGCAGTGAGATGTGAGGAAGACTGATGATGCTAGTTTCATCATCATAACAGAAAACGAAATGGCACAGTGGGCAAGAATAATGGAATCTTGGATGACAATGAGTTTGGCACATGCATGATTGCAAAGGGTATCAGATTCAAGGTAGAGTTTGACAATGTATGTGTCATTGTACACAGAGATAATTTCAGCAAAAGCTTCCTCCTCAGAGAAAGCAGCATGAATTGCTGTGCAGAAGGCAGACATGAACAAGTCATCAGATTGGGCTGGTCCTAAAAAACAGAGTGGAAGAAAGTATCAAATTAACATTTCATAGGAATGGCATATGGGTCATCTGAACCAAGTACACATTCTATGTGCGTGAGACAGTATTGTTTTTCAGGGTTGACCAAGGAGACAAAGGTAATGGGAGTGGTAGTAGGTAAAGCATGTGTGGGTAATTTTGGTTGGTTTGATGGATATATGTTAGGTGATAGAGGAGGGAAGTTGTTGTCTTCATAGTGTGGTGACCCTTGTGGGGTCGTTTCCTATTGGGTAGTGGGAAGAGTCATGAAACTCCACAATCCAGAACGGATACTACAATTGCAAATGAACATGGCAAGATCACATCTAAGGAACGTGATACATACCAGAAACTCATACACTTCACACTGCTTCAGTGATAACCAACCATTAACCAATAGAGATCTTAAATTAGGGAACCAAATGTCTATATAAGCAGCTATGCTCTTCTTTCTTAAATAAATAACACTCTTGCAGTATCTATTGTTCCCTTTCTAAATTTATTTATATATCTCACTTCAGAAACAATTTCAAATATTGTTATTATATGAGGTTGTTAATTCATTTCCGACTCTTTTTGTGGTATACACACCACAATTGAGTGAAGAACAGACCCTACAACCAAACACTGGTTCCTTCTTGCTAATGAACCTGGCAAGTTAACACTCTCCGGAACTGTTACACTACACACTCATAGAGTGTAAACCAATCATTATACAACAGGAATTTGAATTACAGGGATTTGAATAGTAGCAGATATAAAAACAACATTATTTTTATCTCTTTAATAAATAACACTCTCACAGTATCTACTTTTCTCATTATTGAGATACTAACCCATAAACAATCCCGAATACCTCACTTTTCACTATAATTACTGCTATTTCTACTGTTTCTGCCATGCTGTACTTGTTGACTACTTCTTCTGGTTTCAATTTGAAGACATTCATTGATTCTGCTGAAGTGACCATCAACAATGTCAAAGGCAATGAGACATTACCTCCATTCACTTTCCCTTTTGGTCTTGGCAAGTTTGTGCAAATGCAAGAAGACAAGTATGCCCATCTGCTCAAATACTATCGCATGTCATATTGTGATGCTTCACTGAGAGGTTACCAAGAAGTAATTTTTGGTCAACTTTTTATGAACGACATGATTTAAAAGATGCAGTTAATAGATCTTCTCAGACAGGTATATACAAGCAGTAATTCTGTAGCTCAATGTGACTCAATTATATAAGTCATGTTTTATGAAATCAACAATCATAGAAGAAGCACGTTTACTAGCCAGATCCAATATATTTTTGTCAACAATATCATCAACCCAGTTACGTACCAAGTGGACAGACATATATTTGCATATGTCAAGTATTATAGAACATCTAGCCAGGATACAAGAAGTAAGCAGTTTGTGGAGATAAGCAAATTTGCATTTACAAGAAACGACTTTCAAAACAGCTTACCTGTTCATTGCATATTGATGTCTGCTGCCAATGGTGTATATACGACTGCCACTGGTAATACCCATATGCTCATTGCCCCTTTATATAGAAAAATTTATACGTAAACAAAAAAACATATACTGGATTTTTCCTATTTGATTGCGGTTTATAAAAATAAGTTTACGGTTTTTTAAAAAAAGTTAGCAGTTTATAAAAAAGAGTTTGCTTTTTTTTTAGAATCAGTTTGCTGCCACACAGAAAACTAATTTGCATTCTATCCTATCAAATTTGCGTATTTTTTTTTAATTTATGTTTTTAATTTACGCTTTTAATTTTTACTTTAGCCTCAATTTGCAAAGTGTGTTTGCACAAAATATAAATGTAAATTGCAATAAAAAAACCTAAATTGCATATTATTTTGTATTTTCTGCGTTTCTGTGTTTTGCCTGCTGGTATACACTTTTTCCTGATATTATTCATGCAAAAATAAAAATTGATTTGGTAAAAAAATGGAATTTACCAAATGCATCAAAAAAGATAAATTAAGAAAAGAAATGGCAGAAAATTGCACCAAGTTTTATATTTATTCTTGCACCGAATCTATTTTTATTTTTGACTAATAATTCCCAGAAAATGTATATATCTTATATGTTTAATAAAAGAACATTATAACTATAAGTTTCATATTACTTCTGTCATATAATTTATCTATATAGGTTTTAATTTTTTGCATTTCTGTTTTATGCTTGTCACATATATTTGCTTTTTTTAATGAAAGAACATTGTAACTATAAGTTTCATATAAATTCTGGCATATAGTTTATTCATAGTTTTTCTTGTAAAAGCATAGTTTTGACATATTTGCATAGTGTTTTTTCATATTCTTCTAAACTGGCATACTTGTGCATACGGAATCTTCTAGCTAGTAGGTTTAATCTACTTTTTATATGTCTTATCACCCGGCCGGCTGTTGATCTTGGCATATCTACACTTTTTCCTGCTTCCGCCATTGTCATCTCATCAACAAAATACTTTTTCAGGACCAGCAAAGTTTCCTCTTCTGTATAAGATTGGTAGCGTCACTTCTTCTTTGGTTTATCTCCTAGCATAATCAAATCTTCAGGATCCGAAACCTTGTCTTGTGTGCTGACACCTTCCATGTATATTGGTTTTTTGATCAAGACAAAACGGCTTTTCTTGACAGGTCTTGTCTGAATAGAATGATAATTTAAATCGCAGTGATCAGCATTCCCTTCAAATGTCTTCATAAAGTCAGAATTGCGAGGAAGAATTGTCAATTGTTTGGTCTTGTTAAAGTTAAACATGGCTTTTAAAATAATTGAATAATATACTGATATGAAAATTAATTTTTAATGCTCTTTTATATTATTTCCAAACCTTTGCCATAGCACAATAAATTTAATATAGTAACTCAAAATTAAAGTGAGTAAGTAATATTAAAACCTTCAAAAGATATCAAATGCTTTAATAGTGAGTACACAAAATTAGTAACTATACTGATCTATGAAAACAAATTTGTAATTGTGACAAAAATACTTTTCGAAAAAGTTATGGGTAACAATAGAGCATATATTTAAGCTTATTTTAGTAAAAGCCAAAATAAAGTAAACTATAATGCAGTAAAAATCATCTGCTTAGAAAAGATAGTACAAATATGAGACATAATATGTATAATTTTTGTGTAAGAGATAGTAAAAAATAACAATATAATTTAGTTATATTTCGAAGCATGATCAAACTAACACAATAATACTTGAGCAGGATTCACAATATAAAATTAAAAAAAAGATAACAGTTCAATGCTTAGATAAAAAAGAGCAAGTATGAGCAGTGTGATGTAACCATGAGAGCAATTGCCTTGAGAGATAAGAAAAATATAGCTGTAATATATTACAAGTAACATTCTGGAAAATTATATAACCATGAGTGCAATTTCATTGAGAGATAAGAAGAATATAGCTGTAATATATTACAAGTAACATTCTGGAAAATTATGTTGCCCAGTAATCATCGAATACTGTTCATGACAAAAATTGAGCCAAGATGAGCCAGATATTTGGATAGAGAATGGCAGAGATTAACAGTGCTGTGTAACTTTAAAGATAGTATGATACACAATTAGCTACAAAAAAATGAAATATGCTACATACAGCATGTAATAAGATAAAATTGGACCAAGCAAGCATTAAATAATATCTACAGCTTATAATTAGCTAAAAATAACCTGAATACTAGGGCTGATAATGATAGAGATTAATAATGTAATATAAATTTAAGTATAATCTGATATGAAATCAGTCACAACTAGCCATGTTACAATACATTTACTATATTTGTAAGCGGAACAAATGCATATAAGCATCAAATAATACTCTTAGCACAGATTTAGAAAAATATTTGTTTAATGATTGTCAGTAGATAATAAACACACCAAATAAAAATAAAGGAAGTCATATTTTATTGCGAAAGTAATATAAAAGGTAGTCTGTGTTTTGTTAAAAAGTATTAATTTGCTTTATAAACATTCACACCCCATCCCATACACACCAACACCAACACTAACACCAACATCAAAAAAATGAACATGATCTTTGATGCCACTACTATGGACATTGTTGATGATTATGAAGAAAGAACAACATATACAATGGCCAATGCTGTACTTCACGAGTGGGAAGTAACCTATCCCAACTCTGGCAATGGAATCCAGACTCTAGTAACAAAGATGGATTTTGAGCAGACAACTACCAACGAGGAGACTTGTATACAGGGTTCTGATGTGGAGACTTTGGAGGAAGAAAATGAAAAAACTGAGAAAAAACCTTACAAGCCCAGAGGCACTTATTGCAAGTACATGCCAGAACAGGTGCAAGGACTTTTTGAGTTAGTTATTGAGAACAGTATACTAAAATAAGTACTATAAAGACAGTGCATAAATATTAATTGTTATTTTTATTTTCAAAAGGATGGACTGCTAAGATGGCCACCGAAAAAATGGGCATTAATGTTCGTACTGGCCAAAACTATATTGCCCAGTATAGAAAAGATGAAGAACAATGTCTTCCTGGAAGTACAGGAAAAAGAATTGTTGGCGCTCCTCACAAGCTTTTACAACAACATTCATTCTTTCTGATTGCGTACTTTGAGAACAACGTTGCTGCAACTCTTCAGGAAGTACGCACTGCCCTGCTAGAAGAATTTCAAGATCTGATGATCACTCTGTCTGGCCTTCAAAAGCATTTGGTGAATAAGTGCTGTCTAACACTGAAGAAACTTGAGAAACTTCCTGCAGCTCGCAATTCAGAATGGGTAATTCAGTTAAGAAAGAACAAGGTGACTGAATGGCTTTCCATTCCGGATTTTGACTATGTCAGAGACTGCGTCTTTATTGATGAGGCAGGTTTCAACATGCATATCAAGCGCAACTTTAGAAGATCCACCCGTGGAAAGCCAGCAAAAACAACAGCACCAACGCAACAAAGTGTCAGCATTACTATTCTTGGAGCTATTTCCCAAATTGGTGTAATCAGTGTCACCCTGCGCAAACCACAGGCAGTTGTTAGCTCTAAGAAGCGCAAGTTAGATAAGAAAGTGGAGAAGATCAATGGCCATGTTGGAACCTGATCAGAGTGTTTTCTACATTTCATTGAAAATGTCATGGACGTATTGGATCACTGTAATCAATAAGGCAAGTACTTGGTAATGGATAATGCACCAATACACACTCCAAAGGCCATACAAGAGCTGATAGAGAAAAGAGGATACAAATGCATGTTTCTACCATCTTACTCTCCATTCCTTAATCCAATCGAAGAGTTTTGGTCAAAAGTGAAGGCTAGTGTCAAAAGGGAGACACTTTCTGCTGACAATCAATTGACACCAAGAATTGTGGAATCAGTAAAGAGTGTGACAGTTGAAGATTGTAATGGGTGGATTAGACATGCAGTATCTTTCTTCAATTCTTGCTTAGAGAGAGAAATCAACCTTTAATTTTATTTTATTTTATTTATTATATTCTATTATTTATTCATTTATGTAATATTCTTATTTTTTATGCGCTTCTTATTTCTATATTATCTCTATTATTTATGTTTTTATGTGCTTTTTTTGAATTTTTTTATGCACTTCTTATACCTTTAGCATCTTTATTCTTTATATTTTTTACATTTTCTTATGCATTTTCTTAAACATTTTTCTATGCAAAAAATTAAAAAATAATATGCAATTTAGGTTTCTTTTATCGCAATTTACATTTATATTTTGTGCAAACACACTTTGCAAATTGAGGCTAAAGTAAAAATTAAAAGCGTAAATTAAAACGTAAATTAAAAAAAAATACGCAAATTTGGTAGGATAGAATGCAAATTAGTTTTCTGTGTGGCAGCAAACTGATTCTAAACGGCATGGCTCTTTCCACTAACACTCCGGAACCACCAGGGGTCAAAAACCCCTCCACCACTGGCTCATCTCCACCATTGCCAACCTCATTCACACCAATCTCACCCTCTTTGACACCTCTTTACTCGCAAGTAGCTACTCAGAACGCACTTCCACTTCTCAAAAAGCAACCTCATGTTATCTTCAGCTCTACAAATAACATGACCCCACGTACCTGGCGTGTAGGGTCCTCTAAGTTTTCAGTTTTTTTCACTGTTCCACCCAAATCCTCACCCAAGTTTGACCCTTTCTGGAGAGCTCTTCTCTCAGCCTATCCTCGCGAGGTTAACATGGGCATCACTCTTGGCTCACACTCTTCCCCTGATACATGTGAACTCCATCTACCTACCAGTGCTGACTGCAAGCAAGCGTGCTCTCAACCTTTGGTAGTTGGCGATTCGTCTTTCCCCGCTCAACCTGCTGTTCCCATTGGCACAATTGTTCACCGTGTTTTCCTAACCAAGCTTCCTCGTGTTCCTTATCATGACCTGGCTACACAACTCGCCAAATGTATGTCTCCTTTTGGCAAAGTGTGGGAGATCGCCATTCATGAATCATATGGGTTTTTTGACGGTTCTGGCTATGTTGTCCTCACCAATACACCTACCAACGATGTGCTATCAGATTCTCTGACGTACCAAATTGCATACAACGATACGCAAAAGATTCTTGGTAAGTGGCCTTCCATGGGCTCCCACTGCACCTACTGTAAGGAAATGGGGCACTACGTCGCAAAATGCACCAAACGCCCAGCCAAAACCCGAATGTGTTTTGGATGCAACAAGACCGGTCACTTACAAGCCAATTGTCCATACATTACCGATCCTTCCAAGACATCCAAGACGTCCAACAAGCGCTCCCGCCACCCCAACCGCAATTCGAAGCTCAATCGCCCCATCATTGCGCCCAAGCCTTTGATTCCCACTGAGCTCTCACTCATCTACAGAGGATTGGAGGCCTCCAAGCACAACCCTCGTCAACCTGCTTTACATGAGTTGTCTAAGCTGTCTCCCACAAAGACCACCTTCACTCTACCAGCACCAACTGAGACGCCCATGTCCTCTGGCCCTCGTCCTCAAAGCCGTTCTGTTGACACCCCCACGCATGGCTGGGTCAAAGAGATAGAAGACAGAATGATAACTAATCTCATGGATAGAGATGAGGCTCAGGCTCTCCAACTCCAGTCTGCCTCTCACCACACTCATCTCCGTTTTCCCCGGCCGGCACGTCCAACAGGCCGCAATACATCTCTCTCTCCTCCTCACTTTACTCACCCACAAGCCACAAAAGCCCTCGGCGCAGAGGTCAACATTAACCAATGATTAAAATAGGCACTATGAACTGTAGGGGTCTACCCAAAGTTAGACACCCTGAATCATGCTCCTTTTTCATATATCATTTACGCTCACAGGGAATCAATATTTTAGTCCTGCAAGAAACCCATGCCTCATCATCTATGCTTCAATCTATCTTTGACCAACAATTTCGGTCCTCTTCATCATTATGGTCTCCACACTGCGGTGTTGTATGCCTTTCCCCTCACATGATCTTCACTGACCCTCTATTTAGCCCATGTGGCAGGTGTATCATGACAACTATCACGCATGTGGATAATAATTTTTCGCCCTTCAGGATAGGCGTCATCTATGCGCCTGCTTCCCAAACTCCACGTTATCGTTTTCTTGCCTCTTTACTGCACTCCTGACCTCATCCCTCCCAATCCTTCAAACTTTATTCTATTGGGCGATTTTAACCATGCAATTCACTACCACTATGCTCTCGGACGTCGTGCTCCAGCTGACTGGCTACAGTTTATAGATACCAATATGACTGACTGTATCACTCCTCGTGGCCAGCACCCGCAGCCTACGTTCCACCGAGCCCTGTCTTCCACCACCATTGACTACATCCTTGCATCCTCAAACCTTCACCCTTGCACTACAGACCCACAAGTGAGCTATATTCACCAGAAATGGTCTGATCATTGTCTGGTTGCAGTCAGTCTGTCCCTCCCTTCAACCAAGTCTTCTGGTAAGGGACTTTGGCATGCTAACCCTCGCCTAGCACAATCACTTTCATTCCATACCAATCTCAACACTCTTCTCTCCACCCTCGTTCCTGCCCTTCGTGCTGATCTTTCTCCTTAAGCCCAATGGGATGCGATTAAGCTCGAAGGCATTCGTTTCGTTAAATGTTTCTCTTGCCACCTTTGCCCCTCTCTGAACGACCTGGAAACACGCCTACAAAAATGACGGGACCGACTCATTCACCGTTTCCGCCACCAACCCACCCAGAACTTCCAACTCCCAGTTGTGGAACGATTGTTGCAGCAAGTCCAACTTGAACGGGTCAAAATTATGGCTCTCAAGGCCGGGAAACACTGGCGGGAAAAGGGTGAGACTTCTGCAGGATACCTCAAACGCACTATCGCCATTCGCCAATCCCACAAAGCTATTGCAAGCCTCTGTCACCCTGTTACAAGCGACATTTGCACCACACCCGACGCCATAACTGAGGCTGCAGCAGTCTTCTATGAAGGCTTGTACACCCCTGATCCTATAGACCACTCTGCTGTGGATGAGCTGCTCTCTCATTTGCCTTCAGATCTCCATTTGCCAGAACTTGCACAGGACTATATGACTCGGCCATTCACTCTCGACACAATTCGGTCAGGCGCTGCCCACTCTCCCAGCTCTAGTAGCCAGGGCCCAGATGGTTTGCCATATGAGATTTTCTGCCTCATTCTTGCCCATCCCGTGTGTGGCGACCTCGTTTCCTAGATATATAACGATGCCTTGTCGAAGGAAATCTTTCCTCCTTCTTGACAGTCCACTTGTGTCTGCTTGTTGCCAAAAAAAGGCGATCTCAGTTCTCTGAAGAACTGGCGCCCCATCGCCTTGATTAATACCGATGCAAAAGTGTTTACCCATCTCATGAATGCTCATATGATTTCTGCTGTTCCCACACTTATCACCCCGTATCAAACTGGTTTTGTTCAGAGTAGATTTATAGCTGATAATGGAATGCTGACTCGTTTGGTCATGGCACAAGCCGCAAAGGATGGATCCTCAGGGATTGGCTTGCTCTTGAACCAGGAAAAGGCTTATGACCGAGTACACCCTGAGTATTTTTGTTGAGTGCTTGCTCATTTCCGCTTCCCTCCTTCCATCGTTAATTCTGTCTCTTCTCTATTTTTCTCTACGCAGCTACAGATTAATGTCAATGGCTTTCTCTCGCGCCCTCTTACGCAAGCCCGTGGCCTTTGACAAGGGGATCCTCTCTCACCAATTCTCTTCAACCTAGCTTTTGAGCCTTTGCTTCGCCGCGTGATACACAATCCTCTGTTCCTTGGTGTCCTCCCTTCTGTCCCTCCCACTCTTCCCTCTTTACCTCCTGTCAAACTTCTGGCTTATGCCAATGACCTTCTGGTGTTTCTTCCGGACACGGATCACATGTCTTGACTTCACCACCATCTCAACACATATGCTGCCGCATCTAACGCTTGCATAAACATGCACAAGACTCAAGCCTTCTCCCTTTCAGGATCGCCACCCCCCAACTGGAATACTTTCCTTCGTGCATATGATGTTACTGATTGGCATGATCGTATGTTACCTACCTCTCTCCGATATCATGGTTTTCCATTATTTTCCTCTATCACTCAACGAGACTCCTACAGGACCACCCTCCTGTCAAAAATTGAGACCTTTTGCAGTATTCATGGATCACAATCTCTTTCCTTTTGTGGGCGGGCAACCATCATGAACTCTCTTGTACTTTCTCAACTATGGCACGTCCTTCGTGTGGTTTCGTTCCTTTCCACCTTCCTTGACCGAGTTCACTCCATCGTGCGCAAGTTCTTCCATGTCAACTCTTTTCCTCCCATTGCTTTTGATACTCTCTGCTTGCCCTGACTACAGGGTGGCCTTGGTATCTTGAATCCTGGTATACAGCAATGTGCTCTCCAACTTTGCTGGCTGAAGCCCCTTATCCGTAATCCTCTACTGCCTCACGGTCTTGTTCCCCAATGGTTCTTCACTCTTCTTCGCTCCAACATCCCTACCGTTGATCCTCTTCTTCCCTTACTCTTTCCAGACTGTTGTCCTCGCAACCATCGCACCCTTGATTCCCTGCTGCACCTGGTTGTGAAGGCTATGGATACTCTTCCCCGAAACTTTGACAGAGTGGTGCTCAACCTTTCCAGTTGTCTCATCCTGCCATTGTCTTCTATGATATTCAGTATGCCCTCTCACCCTCCGTATTGACCTGCTTGGCATGATTTGCGAGTCCACCATCTATACCAAATCGAGTCCAATTTGGATATACTCACATCCATCACTCCCTCTCGTCCTCTACCCCGTTCTGTCACACTTAACCACATCCTCAACAGAATTCGCGATCATACAATGGTCTTGCATCCCGTTCTCTTTTGAGCATGCATTCCTTCTTTTGTACTGACATTCCAACAGCCAGATATTCCTATTCGCGATGGGTCGTCCATTGACTTCCAGCCACTTCTGTCAGCCCAACTTCCCAGTCAGACCTGGTCCTGGCTCACCACGTGCTCTTACCGTTCTGCCTGCTCCCATCAACTGTCTGATGCTCGTCCCATCCACCCTCCTCTCATCCCATGACAACTTCGCTCCTTCTGGTCTTTTGCCCTCCCTCACTGGGCTCGGAATGTCTGGTTTTGCGGGTTGCACAATAAGCTTTCATGCCGAGCACTTCTGTACTGCATCATGCCATCCACCGTCTCTTCTCCTCTCTGCACTATTTGCCAGGTGTCCATCAAGACACAAGAACATTTTCTTCTTGCTTGCTCATTGAAATCTGCTGTGTGGACAGGCATTTGGTTGGAATTCTTTGGCACCATCCCTCTGCCCTCTGTCCTCTCAAACACTTTCCAATTCTTCGCCTTCCCCCCCACGCTTAACCCTGCAATCCCTGCTTCCTCTGTCTTTGGCCTAACTATCCTGGCTATTTGGGATCACCACTGGTCTTTCCACTTTAACTCTGTCCCTTTCCTTCCCTCTGCAGTGCTCCACACTGCGCGCAAGTCAATTTCTCGTCTCTGCTCTGAACTAGAGCTGGACACTCCATAACTCCTCCATTTTTTTTAAAACAAAACAAAACAAAAACAAAAACAACCATAAAATTTAAAAGCCAAAAACATTATATAATCTACAAAACCTTACAAGCAAATATTTTAATTTTCTCTTTTCCTATTCAATCAGAGACCTTTAATAAAATCCTGAGCTTTTTCTTCCTGGCTCCATACAAAAAAAAACTGATTCTAAAAAAAAGCAAACTCTTTTTTATAAACCGCCAACTTTTTTTAAAAAACTATAAACTTATTTTTATAAACCACGATCAAATAGGAAAAATCCAGTATATATATCTTTATTTATTATTACTATTATTATTATTATTATTAAAAATATTTGCTTTATACAAATACTATGAATGAAATTAGTGTGGCTGCCACTAATGGTAGTGGATATGCCACTAATTTATTTTAATTAACCAATCAAATTGGCTCTAGAGTTTGGTAAAAATATTAAAAAAAGATGAAAAAGATAAAGTTGTATTTAAGAGCAAAATAACATAATAGAAACATTCTTTTTTTACATATATATCATATAGAGAGTATAGCAACTTGAATTATTTATTTTTTATTTGAAATCATAAAACTTTTTTTTGTCCTATTGTCAAGATTGTTGTATTTTGACTATGCTACTAATCAATGTGGCAGACCAACTATCTTTTCCACTAATTTACCAAAAGTACGGGATTTAAATTGATTTGTTTATATTTTATTTTGCTCAAATTTTTACTTTGTATTCATTTTTCCCTTTCATTGTAAATAAACATCATCTTGAAGTTATTTCTTAAGATAATAGTGAATCTTTATAGCTACTTTATACATCTAATTTACATGACTTGCTCTCTATTTTATTTTTACCTGTTTTAATTTGCAAAATAAAAGTATATTTTAATTATTGAAAAAACAAAAAGTTATTCTTTATTGCTTGTGAGAGGAGTAAGGCATATTCCTTTTACAATGACAGAGGCTTGTGTTGACTTTATTCCAACAAGAACAAATAAGATACCAAGTGCAACTGCAAAGATAAATGTACTGATCAACTATCTGTGGAAAAAGAAACAGGAGATGGATATCAGCATATTCTTAGAAGAGCAAAAGCTCATTCAACTGCAGTTCTACATGTATACAAGGCAATGCCAACATATTATGCGTGAAGACGGCATTGTAGAGATGAACTGAGAAAGATTGAGTAGTTAACAAAAGTTGTACTACTTCTTGAGACTTGAGAAGTTAATTTTGAAATATCAATTTGCTTTACACAAATTCAGAGGTCAATTAGTTGCTGTTCTTCTCCTTCAAGAAGTGATGAAGACTGAACACCAAATGGAGAAGTGACAAATCATACATATTAAATTTAGTATCATGCAAGATATTTCATTAATACTTTTCTTTATTAAAAAATATACTGGCAAAGTTAAGCAGAGAAGTTCAAGGAGAAGAGTTGAGGTATGTATATTTTGTTCAAATTTAAAACTTAATACACTGACTAAACTATATTTTTAAAAGTAGTCTTGGTGAGACAGAAAGTAGTGTGGCAGCCTCACCACCAAAAAGAAACATGCGGAGCCATCAAATTTATATATTTTTTGAACTCTCTGTTATTTCCATCTTCCAGAACAACAACAAAAAATTCTCTTTACAATCTCTCTTTTTTAATCAATGACAAATCGACTCATTTTCTCTACTTTCTTCTATTACTTTTCCTGTAATCACATTCAAACAACATGCATCACTCAAAATTCAAGACACTTTTGGTATAAAATCACTACAATTGTGTTTTGATTTTTAAAAAAAAAGACTAATGCAACTAGAAAAACACATTTTTTTGCAGTTTTTTTTTCAAGCAGCTACTATATAATACACTCTAGACTTCCTTTCACAAAATACAGACAATGTAAGTTACAGTCTTACTAAATTGATATTGTATAGGGTATACTAAACAATCTGGCTAGCTATCAATGAGTAGGTGCATCTAATTACTTGAGACTTGTGCTGCAGCATGATAGCTACTGAACAATCTTTGAATTTAAACAAATTATAAAGGTAAGCTTACTGGGCTATGTGTATTTACTTTGTATATTCACTTATTTTTTAGACTTTGTCTTTAATCACAATTACTTAAAGCTGTTAATGAATATACTTGAGGTAATTACAGAAAAATACTTTTAAGTACATATATTTATAGTATTCTTTACTTTAGCTTTACACAACTCTGGAATGAGATTGTTTGAACATTCTCTCAGTAGAAAACCATCAATAATTATAAATTATAAAGAGTTCTGTTATTTATAGCTGATATATCTAAAGGTATATATTACTTGTATAACTAATATATAAGTTAGTATATATGCAAAGTATATTGCTAGTATTATTATTAAGCTTGTATATGAATATGCACCATTATATGCCATGTGAAAGACATAGTATATCATATATTATATTATATAGTCCATTGTATAGTCTATAGTATAATATATTGCATAATACATTGCATAGTACATCATATGGTACATTGTATAGTATATCATATGGTATATCATATAGTATATTGTACAGCCCATTTTACATTTGCTATTGTATATTTCTATTATATATTTCTATTATATACTCTACTGCGCAGCAAGCATATGAATAAAAATAAAATTCACTAATTTTACCACCAATTTTTCTATATATGAATTTACTACCAAGCTTTTACTACCAATTTCTTCATATATGGATTTACTACCATACTTTTACTACCAATCTGTCTGAAACTAAGCCAATCAAGCATGCTGCCTTACCATTCAGTAAATTAATAGCAATACAACTATGATTAGTAGTAAGCATAGCTCATTTACTATCAATTTTCTCTGCTTTAGCATTGTGTGGTCAGCCACCAAATTTCATACAAATTAGTAGTATTCCCACACTAATTTCATTCATAGTGAAATGAGATTATGAAGAGAAAAAGTATTTTATATTATCATTTTTAAAGTTGTTTGCTTCAAATGCATAAGATGACAAAGAGAAGAAGTATTGTATATTTCTATTAAAGTTGTTTGCTTCAAATAAATATGATGAAGGGAAAAATATTTTGTATTGCAATTAAAGTTCTTTGCTTTAAATGAATAAGATGAGAAGAATAACTATATTATATTGGTATTATTAAAAAAAATTATTTTGTACTAATGAGATGATAAATAAATGAATTAAATTTATTTATTATTATTGAAAAAATGGCTTGAAAGAATAAGATAAAGTAAAAAATTGTATTTATTTATTAATCTTTAATGGTTTATTAAGTTAATAAAACTTATAAATCATTAGAAACATCCACGTCACATTTAACCCTGATATGATGGATACGTTTCAGTGATATTTGCTGTCCTTTTGCTATAACATATTTGTTAAGACTTTCTAAGAGCGTTTAAAGCTGTTTTTTTCACTTAAATTATCTTTTATATATCAATTGATCTCTAAGTATATTATCTTATCACTTCTCTAACTAGGGCAATGAGCCTTCAGACATTTACTGTCCACCAATCTAGTGATCTCATTGTCTGTCTAATCATCAGACATTGCTGCCTTTTGAAGGATATAAGCACAATTGTCTCTTTTTGTGACTGTATTAATGACTTCTTTGTTTTTAAGGTAAGTCATAAAATGCTGGCAAATAAGCTGTACATACATTTAAAGAATAACAGTGAGTATCAAATAATATATATATATATATATATGTATCTAATTCGACACTTACTAACAAATCATGCTGCTGTCTTTTTGATGCAGTTCTTTTTCTGTTTGCAGATAAAGACATTCTGCAGGACTCATGAACCTGATTGCAAAAATGGTTTTTTACTATACGTGCAAGATCAATTGTAAGTATGCCAGCAGATTGAGGTTGGCTCCGCAAATACGCAGTTAGAGCCAGTACAAGACCATGGTTATAGCCACCTGTAAAGTAGCTTGTAAGAACCCATCCTAGCTTTGCGGCATTTGCAGCTACTTTTCTTTGGTCACTACTGCTGAATTTCTGCTTTTTCAGATACTCATTAATCAATTTCTATGAGAAAAGTGCTAGATGTCTTGGCCATTATTTTTAAATCACATCTTATGGAGATTGTGGAATGTCTCTTTTCAGGTATATAATCTTCTTCTATTAATGATGAAAGACCAGTGACTGCTTCAATGCCTGATGTGACATTAGAGTGTCTTGGCAGTTTTAGATGTTTTGATTTTACTTTTGCAGTGATTTAATTTATTTAATAATTGGATATCAGTAATCTAAATTTAAAATATTTTCAATCTATAAACAACTAGGCACTACCATTAGTTGTTTGTAGATTGAGATTTAGAGATTGCAGAGTTTAATTTTTTTAGCAAACAAATTTAAGCAGAATTGATTACGCTCTCTATGTTTTCTCTGTTTCTTTTCTACCTTTTCTTTTAACAACTTGACATCTTATTCAAGATGTCTACATTAAATGATAGACAGATTACTCTCAGAGATCTGAAAGAGAAGATTCTCAAAAAGCTTATTGAAAGACAGCTTTCTCTGAATACATCCATATAAAATATTGTTAAGGATATCCCTTAACTTTTAATGTATCAGATTGTGCTTGAAAACAGATACCTTTCCCCAAGACTCCATATTCCATGAACTCCAAACAGAATAGACTGGCTTCTATATCAATTAGATGACAACCAATTTAGACAGGAATTCTGCATGAATAAAGACGCCTTCCATGCAATACTTAGAATTATAAAGGGTCATTGGGTTTTCAAAAGTGATCCCCGCAAGAAGCAGGCAGAACCAATGATTCAGATTATGAGGACCTTAGAGTGACTAGGTACACAAGGAAATGATGCTTCTGTGAGTCGCACTGCATGATCAATGTATATCAGTGGTAACGTTTACTGTTTTTTAACTATTATATGCAGTCTATATACCTTAATACTTATATATATATCTCATTGCATAGAAGAATCAGTTTGCCACTATTCAGAAAGATTTTTCACTGCCATAATGTCATTAGAGACTAGCACTGTGGCTTGACCTGATTAGTTAAACTGTAGTACTATCAGTAGAAGAATTGAAAAGACAACACACTTCCCTTCTTGTCTGGGCTTTGTAGACAGAACCTTGATTGACCTAGAATATACATCAATCTGGAAAGGAGAGAACTTTTACAGTCGAAAGTCTTGCTACTGTATTTCAGCAATCATTATATGTGATGACAAAAAGGTTATAAGATATTGTCATACTGGATGGCCAGGGTACTCCTATGATGCTTATGTACTTACAAATACGTATATGACAAGAAATCTTGGCCAATATTTTTCTGGGGATCAATACCTGTTGGGGAATTCAGCATATGCACCAAGTCGTATCATTATACCTACCTACAAGAAGCTACAAAATGGATCAATATCAGCAGAAAACAAGTAATTTAACTACAAGCATGCCAATGCATGGGTCTAGATTTAACATTGCATTGGTATTCTGAAAGGGAGATTGCAATCCTTGAAAAGCTTACGGATCTTGATGAAAAGCAAATATGATGTGGCTAAGATTGGGATATGAATTAGATGTTGCTGTATTCTACACAACATTTTATGGAAACATAATGATACTAACCTCCAGGAACTTTCCTATGATGATACTGATGAGGATGATAGTGAGGATAAGGATGAGAATGATAATGAGCATAGAGAAAACTTATATCAAGTAGAATTGATTAAAGATAAGAGGGAAAGAATAAAGCACATTATCTTGGAACAATAAATCTCAAACGCGTTTTTACTCTTACATAACTTAATTGCCTAGTATATAATATATTTTATTAAAGTTTTATATCTAACTTTTTCAATAGAGTGGGTGTTGTGTTGTGGCAAAATGCCCACTGCTATATTTGTCAAAATCATGTTGCTTGGTTTAAATTTTTGTATTTTCAGCCTATGGGCACTCTACTTTCAAATTGCCACAATTTTTTTTTCATTTTGCCACAAATTCTTTCAAATTGCCACAAATTATTTTTTAATTGCCACAAAATTATATTTCTTTCTTTCTCGTTTATATACATTCACACACGTAATACACCATATAAGCTATCTAAAAATGCTTGTTGGAGCACTTGCCAAAATTGTCTGTATGCTTGATGTTAAAGCTAATCGTTCTAAACAAAGGAACAAGAAAAAAAAGCTTGCAAGAATTGATTTAGAGGCACTAAGTGATGATACGTGCAAGAAAGAGTTTAGATTTACTCTATCTGAAGTAATATACATGTTGATAAACAGCTTTTGTTGAAGTAACATTATTAATAGATAACTTTTGTATTTATGTTAGATCAAGGCAATGTGTGCTACAATGAACCTGCCTTTATATTTAGAATTTAAACATAGCAAAAGTTACACTGTCCGTGTTGAAAGAGAATTTGCTTTCGCTTTGGTTTTGTACTGGTATACTTTCCCACAAAAATACACTACAATGAAAAGCGTATGGGGCATGTCTGCCAAGACACTGGGTTTAATAGTGAACAAGTTCACAGAATTGTTGCGAAATAAATTCAAAAATGAACTCGAGTTTGACACTCGCCAGTTTTCTTCTGAAAACTGTAAGAGGTTTGCAAAAGCTATACACAAAAAAAGTAATATTGTTATCATGTATTTCTTTTATTGCTCTACTTACTGATATAATGGGACTTTACTAATGACATAGACTGTTTTAGGTAAGACCTTCCCAAATGTTGTTGGCTTTGTGGATGGCACTATGCAAAAAGTTTCCCGTCCAAGTTCTTATGAAGATCAGAAACTGATTTATAACGGCTGGAAGGTAATTATTGAATTTTTAAAATGACTAGAGAATTATTTCATAACACTAATTCTTTGCTTGATTGTATAATAGCAACTTTTTTTTATTGAGTAGCATATACATTGCATTAAGTATCAGGCTATTGCAACACCCAATGGTATTACTAGCAGCTTGGTTGGTCCGTTTATTGGATCCACTCATGATGCTAGAATATTTGACGAGTCAAAAACATTAGATTGTCTAATTGTGCATCTTGATCATATTTCCAAGGATGACAATGTTCTATTCAAATATGTAGTATACAGAGATATGGCTTACCCTAAATCAGATAAAGTCTACAAACCTTTTCCTTTAAGTGAAGCCAACAATGATAGTAAAATATTGAAAAAAAGGCACACATCCTGTAAAATTGTTTTTTGTTTAATACTCGTAATATTATATTGTTGCTTATATGCTTAGAGCTGAAAAAAATCAACAAGTCAATAAGAAAAACCAGAATTCAAGTCGAGATAGAATTTGGAAAGGTGTCGCAGTTATTTAAATTCTGCAAGTACAACTATGGAATAAAGATATTTGCAAACACAAAGCCAGCAACAATATACATCCTGTCAAATCTTTTCAAGAACTTCCATATGTGTATTAAGGGCTCAGCAGGCTCTAAACTTTTTAAGCTTCAGCCGCCAAATATCCATGATTATATCAAAGGTCTTATGCATGAATACCAACCAGAAGACACTATTGATAACTACAAAACTATTTTGAACAATGCATCAAATTTAGTAGAAACCGTCACTGTTCCTGATAACTAATAAAACAATTCAAATACTTGTAAGCTTGAAAATAGAGTAAATGTATTATCTATTTACTTGTTATTTTTATAAGATTCAACAAAGGCAGAAATAGAGTCAGCAATTGTCAAAAGAGATTTAGCAAGAGCTGAATTAGATTCGGTGATGACCTTATTCGAATCAGCAATTGCCTGATTTGATTCAACAAGAACTGCATTTGACTGACTTGTTTTCTTCAACTCCCTCAGTACAAGATTGTTGGTGTGCTGTTGTTGTTGAAGAATGTCCAACTGTTGTTTCAAAAGGCTCGCAGACTTGTTAGTTGTGCTTGCAGATTGGGGATTTTTTCTGCCATGAGAGACGTCAGAGTCAGAGTCAGAGTCAGAGTCAGAGCTGTTGTTATCACTGCTTAAGTTTTCCTGGCCATACGTTGCAATAACCATCATTTTTTTGCTATAGCCTTTTTTTCTTTTTCTTTTATTTTGGTTGCCTTGTCTTTGGCAGCCCTCAACTCTTGATAATCCATAATCTATAAGAGAGAAATAACCAATTAGCTTAACTATTTTTTTTTGCGTTTATGGCTGCTTAAACATATGGCTGTGTATACATTATATAATAGTCTTTGGAGGTTCTCCGGAACGTGTGGGTTAAACACAGGCAAGGATCTCTCATTGTCTTTGTTGACGACCAGATTCAACTTCTTGAACAGCAAATTCTTTCTTGCTCTGACACCCTTTGCTGTAAGTGGGTGCAGATGAGTGTGCTCAACACTGTTTACGTCGGCTGTAACCTCATCCCATATCAAGGACTTGTTGCTATAATCATTGGCAAAAGGGCGACAATCATAGATCGATTGCATTAGTGCAATCTCTCTAGCCGTATCCCACTGTCCTCGTTCACCAGTCAAGGCTTTCTCTTTGCCTTTTTGAGCCTTTTGCGAAGTCTCCTCTGCAGAACTGCTTGATGATACACACTACGGTGGGATGAATGGCAGTTGGGCCGAAAGTAGGCACATAACTGCCATTTTTTTGGTTGAAACCCAATAAAATCTCTGCCGTTTGTTGTAAGATGGTAATGTCATTCGTAGCAATTTAAAAAAGTAACATGAAAACACTTTTTTTGTTGCTGTACAATATTTTCAATACTGTAAAAAATGTTTGTAAGTTGTAATGACCACTTTGAGTATTGAAATATATGTTTTATTGAATATCAAAGATGTCAACAATTATTAAGATTAATAATTTTTGGAATGTGTGAACGAAATGGTAACATAACTGCCATTTTTTTATTTTTTAAACTACGTTCTTTTTTTTTTAGATATTCTTTTTATCTTGATGAATTGGCAATTTGATTTTATTTAAATCGCGTAATGGCGTATAAAGCATATAGGGAATGAAGAGAAAAGCATAAGGTGTATAGAGAATAGAAAAAAAACTGGAGTATATAAAGAAGAAAAGAAAGATGGGGCATATAGAAATTAAAAAAAAACATAAGAAATAGAGAAAATTAAAAAAAGAATATAAGATACAAGGATGATATAAAAAATATAAAAGATATAAGGATATAGAGCATATAGAAAAATAAGATAAAAATAAAAAGGATTACAGAATGGAAAGATTGCCTTTAGTAATGCGCATGTTGTTGTTAAAGATATAATAGGGCGCGATTACATAAAACTGGTTTCCATTCGGTGGGTATTGGACCAGACCAACTTGATGACAAATGTCATTTACACTTATAACTGCATAAGTCGGTTGCGTTTGGTGGCCTAGTGTACGGGTGCTTTGTGACCATTGTTTGACGATAGGTACTGATGAGTCATGACCAGCCGCGTCATGTTCCTTCATGACCTCCACGAAAGCAAGAAAGTGTGGGAAGCCATAGAAATCTACATGCTGAAAGTAGAACTGTACTGTACCGACGAGCCAGCTGTGAACAATTACATTACGGTTGCTAAAATAAATAAATAAATAGAATGTAAGCAACTTTTGATTGTATATCGAAAAATATTATACTTACTTTCTATAGGGGCAAGTAAACATCACGTAATGGTTGCCACGGCTGGTCTCGTTTTTCTTTCTTTGGTACATGCATGAGGAATATACAGTTGAGTCCATCCACAGATGTGCAGCTACAACAACAACAGAGTCACCAAACTCGTGGCCAGTCAAGCCTGTTGTTCTCCGGTAGTATTTCAATAAAGCTTCCTTCACACTAGGGCCGCCTACACCTTCCACCAAATCATCGTTCGAATTAACAAACTGATGAAACGGCTCCCACAACTGCGCACCACTAGGATCATTAGGAAGGTCCATGTAGCTCTCTCTTCCATATGGCTTTGGCCGAATGAGGTTGATTTCATCACAGATGCTGATTGCCGTGCTGGTATAATTGTGAATCGCAAATCGCTCGACAAGAAAACTGGCGTTTCGGCCACCCTTTGATTTGGACTTTATCAATTTCGAGAAGATGCCAATTACTCTCTCCATTGAGCAAGTGGAGTAGCATTGCAGGGGGCCTTGCTGCTTGATGATATAGGGTATATGGACCAGGTAATGTTGCACTGGTCGGAAAACACTATGAGACAGGGTATTATTCTGGACTTGTTGGTATAAAAACGAGTGCCAGTGCTTGAAGTATCTATTATTAATATTTAAAAAATGGTAACAATCAGCTATTTGTAATGATAATATATGAGACATATAATAACTTACGACTCCATCTCATCAAGCAATTCTGATGTCAACGCCCATTGCAAGGCAAGCGCACAACCTTTCACGAGAGATAATAGAGCTGTTTTGACAGCCCTATTTGGTAAATAAGGCACGACCAAAGTGGGGACAAGGTATAAGAGAAAGTCAAGCCAGTCCACTGCGCGAGTACCATCGATCTTGGCAAATACGTTGTCGAAACTGCCTTGAAATGAGGTGGGTATATATTTTCGTGAGCTGGTAATACAGTTTCCGATTGTTACAAGGTCTGCTCTTGGTATATGAAAAGGGTATTCGGTGGTATTGAGGGTATTGTCTGGATGGATATAATAAAATTTGGTTTCCTTTGTGAGGGTGATGGTAATCAGGTCATACACAAGCTTTCCAATCCCTCTTGCAATTAAATGAAGTTCATCTAATGCAAAAAATGATGATCCAGAGAAGGTTGAGAGTTGGGTATATATGCTCGGCTGGTATATGTTCTTCGACTATTACAAGCAGTTATTTAGTATGAAAAAAAGATGGCTAATTAAACATTTGTATACTTACAGGGTTGCCTACTTTGAAGTCTTCCAAAGGTCTTAACCGGGTGGAAATGTCATCAAAGTACATGCCATGCCGTCTGTTAGTAGGGCATTTGCCTTTGGTCTCACAAAAACGGCAACCAAATAAACTTGTATGGGAACCAATGTGGGCCATATCAGCTACAGCTGGAATATCGCCAGAAGCAAGCAGAAGATAGACCTTGGATCTGCAAAACTCCACTCCATTGTGCTTGACAACCAAGCCATGTGCCTCAAGATCTCGCAATTCATTGATGATGGGTATAAGAAAGGAGTCCAAATGAGTTGGCTTCTTGGGGCCAGGCAAGATTGCCAGTTGCAAAAGGTATTTGTTGGTATATCTAAGTATTTTATTAGTAATTTTTTTTAAAAAAAAATGTAATAATAATAAATAGTAATAAATTAATTAATTACCTGATGGATGGGTCTAGGTTGAATATTATGCAATGGATGATGGTATATGAGTTTTTGCCTTTCTTTTGATTGACAAACCCATCAGTATAAAGCCCAATGGCAATATCATCTGGATTGGAGAACAGGCCCTGCTGCACCAACTGCTTGTAATTGTCACCATCAAAAATGTCGGTTAGCTGACCAGCTACAGATTCCCGGTTTGCTCTGTAACAGAGGAGTTCTCTTGTGGCTGGATCTGCCAACATTTGAGAAAGCATATCCCCAACTGACATAAGTTTCATACTGGCGGCTGGTGTCTGACTTTGATCGGGATCAGTCTTGTATCGCGGTTTGCTGCAGTCAACACAAGATTCCAGGTCATTATTAATGCCATACAATCGACAACCACTAGAGCAGACATCATACTCATGGCCGTTGACACTTGACTTTGACTTGAGCAAAGCATCAACAGTTTCGCCATGACTGATCTTAGCCCCAGGTTCTAAAAAAAACGATATCACTACATGTTAGTGATCTGGAATTAAAGTACAAGGTAACAGAAAATATAATATTTTACCCATCATTATATCGTCATGGTCTCGGATGACAGTGTTTATAAATTGAACAATGTCTCTATATGCTGCTCTAGCAATTCTATGCTGTAGCATCAATTGAGACAGATGAATACTCATCAACTCGGCCTTGGTAAAAGTATTTGTACTGATTCGGCTGCTGTCGTAAATGTGAGCTTCACCCTCACTGTCCTCAAAATTACATGCACACTTATATGAAATAGTATTATCAAGCTCCATAGACTCCATAGTATATTCTGTAATACATTATTTAGTAATTGGAAAATAAATAATACAATTACAGCTCTTTTCATTACCTGAATTGCTAACAGATTCATCTTCATTACTAGTATCATTTTCGTCATGGTACATGTCAACATCATCCAGAATAGACTGGTCAATTTCAGTCATTGTTGCTGAATCTCCTCTGTGAATTCTCTTGTGGTTTTGCAGCTTCTGGTAGTTATCAAAAAACAAGACACATTGATCACATTGATATTGCTGTGTAGATATTCTATCTCTCTGCTGGCTGGCGTTGGAAGAAGACATATTGGTTGGGTTGGTACGTATGTAATATATAAAATAAAGCTGCGAAGAGGATTTTGGTGCTATTTATTAAATGTAAAAGACATCTTTATATACTCTTTATTTTTTAACCAAAATGCTTGCGGCTCTTTTTCTTTTTCTCTCTCATAATGATGATATAGCAATGATTACAGTAATGTCAATGCTAGGTGAAACACCTGTCAGTAAATAATTCCCGTGGTTGGAAAGATTCTTCTTCATTAATAATTATGATGTAAGTTAAAATACTTCTTGGTTGACAAGGGGGTACCATTAAAAGAGCACCGGTGAAACAGACACGTACTCTTTACTTGTGAGCGATTAGATATTCTTTGGGCTTTATAAAGAGGTATATGTATATTTAGGATAATTAATGACCAAATAATTTATGTTTTTTTTTTAAATAAATTATCAATTACTCTCTAATACCAAAGGCAAAGAAAAACAGCCTTCTAATAATTAACAGTTAAAAAAAAGTAGTACTGTCTAAACACATTGGTAGAAAAGACATATTTATATTATCTGTGTTGTACTAATAATATTTTTGAGATAGTGAATATATATTTAGCTAATAGCATTATTTTCTTGTTTATGTATAAAACTTAAAGAAATAGATATAGATAATGAGGGCTATAGTCTGATACTCTTTTACTGACATCATCAAGATAAGCACTACTGATCGAAAGGGTGTTAATTGAAAGTGCCGATGTGAGTTAAAGCACACCTTTTTCAAAAATGTACGGTTTCAGTCAAAAATGCCCCTTGGTAAATAATAGTAATGACAGTTAAAATTATTTTTACCTTTGATGACAGCATCAATCAAAAGTTTTAGTCGATAATGATAATAAGTATGATATGAACTTGAGTATCATAACATTTACTTTAATGTTGATAAAAAGGGGCTAATTAACTATATGATGTTCAGATGTTATATAGCTACTGTAGAGTATATTTAAAGTTATAATTTTAACTGGTACAGGGTTTTGTCATCGAGAACTTTAACCAAATTTCATGCTATATCTGCAATATGTATAGAGTTATATTATTATATCATATACTTTAAAACGTTTAATATGTAGACGGTGCAAAGTATGAACATTTATACATATAATATTGATTTAAAGTCTAATTCATTTTATCTTTATATTTCTTACAGTTTTGTTGTGTCGACACAAAAAGACTGTATCATGTTCACATGAGCTACTGCAGACAGGTGCAGACAGGTGCATACAAGTGCATAAGCATCCCTTCTTTTATATGTTTTGTTTGTACATCTGTCTGTATCTTTTTCATATAAATAGCTATCAATTGCTTGTAATAAATCGTTGCCTTTCTCAAACTCAAATCGCTCTTATTCTACTTGTCTAAACTATCACCTTTTCTTTTCAACTCACTGCTTATAGCTAAAAAAAAACTTAAACATGTCCGATATTAACACAACTCTTCTCAACTCAATTCAAAAGATTGAGGTTGATCTTGCTGAAATCAAGCAAGCATTGCGCGAGCTTCAAAGGCAATTCAGCAATCAATTTGCGCCAGCAGTCAGTGCGGAAGATCTAACTACAATGCAACAAAGCATTATTGAGCAGAGTTGTAAGTCATATATATTCTGTGCTTAGATGTTTATTTACTTTATTAATATTGTCATACATTTTTTGTAGCTCTTGAGCGCATTGCTGAGTCTGTGAAAAGAGCCCAGCTCACAGAGTACCCTGATCAGCTCAGTAAGCGAGTAATCAATACTGGCGGCGAGTTCAAAGGAAAAAACGAAGCGCAAAAATACAATCTGTTGCTTCAGATTCTTCACGAGCAGGACTGGAAGGCGCGCTGCAAAGAAGTTCCACAAGGGCAGCCTTTGCCCCCATTAGTCCCTCTTTCAGGCCATGATTTGACAGTAAAAAGACTGCATCTCAAAACATTAGGCCGTACGGTAAAGCATGATATCATTGACAAAGACTATCCTGCGGCCTCAAAAGAATGGAAGAATATCCCAGAGAAAAACAGGGAATACTACATGATGCATTTGGAGAGGTTGGCGAAGAATGGTGGATTGCACATCCACCAATGTAAAAGAATGTGGTGTGCAAGAAGCCTTCTTCGGGAAAGCTTCAAGAGCGACAACCAGACGCATAAGAGAAGAATGGCAGAGAAGAACAAAGTAAGTTTATCAATTAACAAATCTATATATTGTAAACTTTAATTAACATCGTTTCCTTTTATTATGTTATAGACACAGCGAGACATAAGTGATTCTTCGCTTTCTTCTCCTGATATGTCAGAAACTGGTGATGTTGAGTCGCCTATAATGGCAGATGTGCTGTAAGTTACCATTGTTGCTTTTTCTCATGCGCTGTTAATACAAAACTAATATAAACTTCTTACTCTTTTATGTAGGTCTCCTCCACCCACAGCAAGTGTTGAGCCTGCTCGCAAGAGAAGCCGAAGATCGTAGTTTGGCTGCTGTGATTGGCCGAGTTTGATTTTTTTAGTCTGTCTTTAGTGCATTTTTTTTCTTATCTCGTCATTTTTCTTTTTATGTTTTTTATTCCTTTTTTCTTTCATATAAAAAATTTATTGACCTCTTTCATATGATTGCTAATGTTGTGATTACAAGAATTTGAAGCTAATGTACAGCATCTACAATTCCGCTACATTCAAATATAAAAGGAAATAGTATATAGCCTTTTTTTTGGGAAAAAAATTAATAGTAATATTTTTGTACTGATATATTATACTTGGGAGTCGTTCTATTATATGTAAGTATATTGAGTAGAATAAACACGTTAAGCTTTCTAACAAGATGCTCATTCCGGTTGTATGAATCAGATTCGAATTAGCTTCATGTTACATGACTTGAATCTTTGCTCAAGTTTTTCTTCTTCTATGATAACGACTTTCTATAGTGCTTATGTTTTATTGCTTTTCTTATATATAGATCTTAAATATTAATACATTCTTTAATATATATATATATTCTTAGAGTAAATGCTTATTTTACTGAACAAGTAAGCATATTATATAAAGGTAAGCATTATAATAATATTATATCTATTTATTTATTTTAAGTTTTTTCTCTAATATTAGTATATTTGTAGAAATTGGTAAAAAATAATAAGTGCTATCTAAGATATATTAGAATACCCAAAGTATATGAAATACAATTTGAATAGTAGTGTTTTACTGCATACGTTTTGCAGTAGCTAAACAGAACCATTTTTTATTGCGAGTGGCTGATGGAATTGTTTTTTCATTATTACTATTATTATTATCATTTTCATTTAATAAAACATGCATTGAAATAAAGATTCAACTCAATTAAACCCGATTCAATATTGTATAATAAAAAACAGACCATTCTGTTAAAGCTGCAAAGGAAAAACAAGAGGTTGTGCTAGAATTGAAAGCAATAGAACAAAAGAAAGAATGTAATAGAGGAAAGGAAGGACGCTTGATTTTTTTTTTTGAAAAATGGTAACAGTGCCTGTTTTGGCTTTTTACATAATAAATAACTGCCATTTTTTACTATGTAAAAAATGGTAACAGTGCCTGTTTTGGCCTTATACAGAGTCATAACTGCCATTTTTTATTAAGTAAAAAATGGCAGTTATGTTACCAAAGTGGTAACATGTTACCATTTTCTTCGCCATAGTGCATCTTTGTCTTTGAGCTCCTTCCACATGGCACCATTGTATATGTCACACATCATATTCACCATCTTCAGCTCGTGATTCCAAGGTCTAATTTTATCCCTGAATCCTGGACAAAGAAAAAACATTCATAAAGTATTAACGACAGACTGGTACAAGTATGAACGCTTGGCCACCAAAGCACTCAATGCTGACGTTTTCGTCAATTGGCAGTTGCAAGACGAGTGTGCACCAAGCTTTACAAAATCGCAATGAGACGGGACAGATGCACTTTCTTTATACACCTTGTGACAATCCTGACACACAACAAATTGCTTTATGCCTTTGGTCATGACTGAGAAACCTGTCATGCACTGAAGACCAGGAAGGCTCAAGGGCAGTTGAAAATCCTGCTCGTAAATTGTCAAGAGCTTGTTGATGAACTCAATCAAGACAATGGCGCCCTTGTCAACCACCTAGCGGGAAGCGAACATCACCACAAAAGTAGCAATGAATCTGTGCATTGGGTTGTGGAGCATATTGGGGGTGGCAAAAGGGTCTATTATAAAAAAAAATTAACACTTTTTTTTTTAAATTTTTTAACACCAACTGACCTTCACTAATCAATTCATTGTTGTCAAGCTCAATAACATTGTCTTCGCTTTTGTCTTCACTGATTTCATTGCTGTTGCTTCCACTGTCATCATTGTCACCATTGCTGATCGTGTCATTAGTAACGGAAACGTCTTCAGTGTCAGACATTGAAGCTCCTTCCCAAACAGATGAGTTTGTCTGAGTGTATGATTCTTCCAGGGCTCCAGATTGATGGGTTAAGATAGCTACATTTAGAATATAACACTTGGTTAATATCTAACGGTATCTGAATTAAATAAACTTTACATTCATCATCGACCTACATCATATTTCTTTGGGTAGACATGTCTATTACAACACGTTATTTCATGGATTACAATACAATTAAATAAATTCAAATATTGTACCCTTTTCACATCTTATGGCATTTAGTCTTGCCCTTTTGTTATGACGTTGAGCAGTTCTTCTGGCAACAAAACTATAGCCAAGATCGTTCTGACTACATCCAGCACAATGACACTTTTTGTTGTAGAGTTCAGGAATTGTGGACATAATGTTTATTTTTCTTTACTTTGAAGTGTTAAGAGAAAAAGGAAACAAGTACAATGTTTACTAAATTTACTATGTCTTTATAATAATAATATTAAATAATATTTTCGCCTGTTGTATCCAAGCCAATAGAAAACCGGAAAACAGTGTTTTCATCTTGAACATATAAAAAAAGCTGAGATGAAAAAATACCCCAGATTTTCTATTGTTATAATTTAACTTTGTACATGGTAATTCCCATATGTTTTTCTAATGTTTGCACTTTTTGACACAAATTTATAGTAATTTTTTTTGCTTCCTTGTTTTACTTCATTGTTTTACTTTGATGTTTTACTTCTTTGCTCACTGCTTTTGTCTTCCAACAGCTTGACAAGTTATATATTTCTTTTTTTTTCTTTGGTAAAGTATCTAACTAGAGACATGTCAATAAATATATGTTTATTTAAGTATTTATTATTTACTAATAACAAGCTTCACTTGCTCTCCAAGAGTTCTGCATTGAAAGGAATAGCTGCACAATGTATAAAGAAAGAATAACCAAGATGCTTATATTTATATCAACTCTCTACATTAAATAAGTCTATTTATAAGACTCATATTTATATTTTACATTATATTATTATTTGGCTCTCTCTTTATCTACTCTTTAATAATATAATAATCGCCTTAAACTTATAGGTGTATGAAAAATGTAGATAGTAAAAAAAAGTATTTAATAGTAATTGTAAAAATATGATAAGATATAAAAATTAAAGTGTAGAGATTAAAGCATAGAATTTGCTGAATAAATTTGAGAGAAATAAATAAGATATATATATATAACTTAAAGAAGAGCTTCTTTATATACTACATTCTTTGTGCTCTCCATATCCTTTTGCAAGGCTACATATACATTCATTGGATCTGTTGCTCTTGACAATGCACCATATAGCTGTCTATGTGAGAAAACCAGATGGTCAAGATAAACTCCAATATGAGACAATGTTTGGACTGATGCTTTATTTATTGTCATTGCAAAGGCAGCACAGACAGAAAATTAGCAGCGTGATAGTATAAAGGATAGTTCTCTTTCATTTGTTGCCATATTAAATCTGAGAAGGAAATTTTCTTTTTCATTGTGACCTTGATCCAACCTTTTTACGCCAATGATATTCCAGGTGAGGCAGACAACAAACATCTTGATGCCATTGCACAGGCCAGCTTTGGAATTAACATTGCACATGATAAGAAGAGCCATAGCAAATTTCAACTTGAGTATATATGATGAAATTTCACTGCAAGTGAGTGAGTTGAGAAACTAAAATGAATATCTGACATTGTCTGCATCTGGGTTATCAGAGACCAAAACTGTATCCAAAGAAGTATACACATGATCTTATCTAGAGAACATCTTAAGAGCAACTTTGTTAATCTAACTGATTATAAGATTTGTTGGAGCAAGAATTGCATTTTTGTTATAGTAGCATAACTGTTACTTAACAGAAGATATTTGTGGATACATATTATTGATCAATGTTCCAAAATGCTCAGAGTTGACATGTCACTGAACAGGAATATACATGCTGTGCTCATGTTCACCTTCTCAATTATCAATAGCTAAAAGCGTTTTGTCAAGTTCAGATGCAAGTGACCCACTCTGCAAAAGTCTTTAGTTTTGAGTCAAGTGAAGAACTTTTACAGATCTCCAAAGAGTAGCACAATTGAGGCATACACCCACAACATCAGAGAGTGTTGCCCATTTTATAACTGGCAAGATTTGCTGAAAGTCACAATCAAAAGCAAACATCTTTCCAGCAAATGAGATATGCTTATAAGCAGAATCAACCACGCCTATCATGTCCCAAAGACATCAATCAACTGCTTCAAAACTATATCTATTGCACATTACAGTTTTGTCTCAGAGAAAGAATTTTGATTTTTGTATGAGTTCAACATAAGGGGATCCAAGAGATTTACTGCATGAAGAGTTGTGATTGATATTTAAAGGTATGTTAAATCTGCTGTGAGCAGTTCGTCTACCTGGCAAGAGAATTGCAGCAATTCCAGAACTTGCAACAGAAAAGACAGTTTTATTTTGAGCTCTGACACAGTTAAGTAATGCTTTGAAAAGCAATGATTTTTCTGTACTACTTGAACTGTCTACAAATAAGAGTCTTGGCCGATTTATATCTGCTGGCATAATAAGGCTTTCTACAATCTGATAGTATGCTGTTCTTTGCTCTATGTTGAATATTGGAATTGTTGCATCCAGTTTGACTTGCTCTTCTTCAGAACTGCATAATCTAGACTCAACTATCTCAAGGGCTTGGAGAGTTGAAAGCGTCTTTAATTCCATTATATATGCTTATAACATAGTTGGATATTCAGAGAAATATTTTCCTGTTACTTGTGGACATGTCTGGATATGACTATGAGCTCTTTAAAAAATTGTTTGCTGCTGTTCATTACCATGTGAATCATTACTGATAAAGAAATTATGCTGAATTTAAAAAATAACAATAATCAGACATTTGATCTTTATGTTTCTCCCAGATGGCAGTAGGATTCACAGGAGAACAATTGAAAAGTATATAAGAAAACAATGTTTTTACCACTGCTGTGGAAGATGACATATGGTCAGCTTCTGTAAGACATAAGTTCTATTCATTATCATTTATTAATAGTTCAAGAGTAAGAGCAGTCTCTTGAAATGTTTTGCACTGGACATTGTTTGCAGTCTTGAGATTAGCAAGACTAGTTAGACTCCGGACTTTGAAAAGTAGTAATTGTAGACAGAATAATTCTATATTTGAAGGGGTGGGGATATATATGCGAGATACAACATCTTTAAAAGCCAAATTTACTTGTCTTTTTTATTTTGTCTTATATGCACTCCATGTATAGTGCTTGGATACTTCAGGATATTTATAAATATGCAAACTAATATTATTAAGGTAAAGGATAAAAAAAACTAATAGCACTGTTCCTTCAGAAACTGCATTACTTGCTAATTGAAGCTGTTCAGAAGGTATATTTTTTCAGAAAGTTACAATTTGCTCACTAGGAAAATAAATATTTAACCTTGTAACCATAAAAAATTGGAAATGGATGGGCAGAGCTAAAGTGCAATATATGGCTTCACATGGTCTAATATATCTGCTATTTTGGTATTCTGTTACTTCATCTATTGCTGGTAGTAATATTTGAACATCTGTAGTAACTTGCGTACTTTCATCTTTGATTTCTAGCTGAGCTCTATCAGACCCTTTTGTGATATACTTACAAAGATATTTGATAGCATGAGTAGTTGAGTAAATCTCAACGTTGATACACGCAGCATATTAATGAGAGAGATATGGGTTGTAAGGTACTACATAGTGATTCTTAGCAATAAACTTTTCATTTGAAAAAGTATGAAACTGGCCATTATTACTTATACAGTAAAGTGGATAGCTGTTTTTGCTCACTTGAGTCTCATTTATATATGTTTTTGGATAGTTCTTGCTATATTTTCTATCTTTTATACATGTTGGCATTTTTTTTATTATCTTCACATGGACTATAAATCATTGAATGTATAACTGTTTTATATAGTTGCGGATTCACATGAGAGTCAGACATCTCAGCACAAATAAAATTATCAAACTCTTGAGGTGTTTGTGGGTGCTCTCCCTCTTTAAGAATAAATAACATATGTGTATGGAGCAGACCTCTCTTTTGAAATTCAATTGTAACAATATATCATAATATTGCACCAAAGCACTTACTGTCAGTTATATGATCAATAAGTTTTTTAATTTCATGTTAAGCACTTTAACACAAAGATCTGGACAATCTTGAGCTTTCTGGCCATTGAGCTCTCTAATAATTTTGGGTCACATGTGATTGCAAGTGAATATTATGAAAAGAATTGATACTCCATGGGTTCTAATCAAAGATAGCTTATCTTGTAACAGTTATTTTATATAACATGGATTGCCAGTGAAAGAAGAGAGAAGGATTATAGATTCTCTAATTTATTGAGAATCTTCTGTATTATACAAAAAAGTCTTTATAAAGCTCTGCCTGAAGGTTATGTTGGTGAAATATGAGATATAAAAGACAACTTATTTTAATTCGCACATAATTGTCTACTAAGTACTACTGAAACAGCCTTTCATAATAATGTAAATTAGTATCATTGCAAGCCATTATCAGATAACAACTATGATCAAGAAGTGAGACGTTAACTGATTGACAATAAATTATGCAAAGTCATAGATTGGGAGATAAACATTTAAGATCCATATTCCATTCATTATCACCAAATGAAAGCATAGAAACATAGTGAAAAGTAATGTATGTTGTGTTCATTAAGCTAATGGAGCAATATCCTGTAATGCAGTTATTTATAATAATATTGTGTAATAATGCAACTCTATCAACACTTTCTTTAATTATCATTGCAGCAACTTCTGGAGAGCTTTGTATATTATAATGGCGCTCTATTTCTCTTGCTTCTCTAAAAATTACGTGAAGTGTTCCAATAGGCTGATCACAGAATTGCTCAGCTACAGACTTAAGAGTGTGTATAAAAGCATTGCACAAATTGATTGCATTTTGAGTAGTTTTGATTGTTGAAGGATCAAATCCAGAAAATAAGGTTGAACGTCTTGCTAGTTGTTTGTTTATATTGCAAAAATATATCTGTGAAAATTCTGCAGTAGTAGGATCTTGGGAACGAAGTGAGCCAACATTATGATATATTATACCATTTACACGGAAGGTGAAAAAACCATTTCTTCTACTGGCTAAATTTTTGTTAATATTTGCCTTACTCAAAGCAAATGCAAAAGCATTATTAAAAGCTCTAATGTTTGTATACAAGTTTTCAGCTTGTTTTTTTTGGATTGATCATAGTTTGTTACAAAATCCAATAATGCTTGTGGTGATGCAATAGGTAAAGAAACAGTATTTTTTTTATTAAAACAACAGAATCCAAACCTTGGCTTTGTTGAGCTACTTGCTTGTAGATGCTCATCAATTCATATACAGGTATTACAATAAAAACATGTATATTTCATTAGTAGAAAAACATGTCTACCATATTGGTCTCCTTCACTTAAACAAATGTTTGGCCAAATAATACTTTCAGAGATAAATGAGACTATGTAAGCAATTCTATACTGTAAAGTAGTAGAGGCATTTTCGTTCATTCCACTAACTCTCTCTGGATTAAAGGGGCAATTATGGTGAATTATTTTAAAATTTGTATTTGAGTCACAGCTTGAGCAAGTGCGTATGTCAATTACTATCTGTTCAGATACACTCTTAACAACATGGAAAGAAGTCTCCTCTTCTATTCTATCTTTGTTATTTATGCTTATATTCTCACTGATGTTGATTGTATTATTAGTGCAACTGTAATGAGTTGATTGTCTGTATTCTGTTAATCCACAACTTGGGCAAGAATAGTTTTGAGCTTATATATATATAACTGAACTATTGAATGAACAATCTCAATGCATTGTTCCTATGTATATATTGGACTCACATCTGCAAGAACGTGAGTACTGAGTAGTTTGAGACATTTTGAGTAATGATAGTATTGACCTTGTTTAAATGACTTACAAATAAATTTGAATATTACTAAGATTATTTTATATTTTTGAATTTTATTTTTGTAAGAAATAAAAGGTTAATTAACAAAACATGTGATAAGTTAGAAAGACATATATTGTGTGACAAAATTTCATCCTGTTTTAATAATATGCTAAGTAGATATAAGTATTTCTGATATAAACTTAGATTTAAAGTATAAAATTTATAGAGTTTATTTAACTTTCTAGTTGATATTTTTTAATCAAGTAAATATTTCTTTTATTTGATAATCATGATAGTTTTATGAATTAGTATTTAGCCTTTTATTTTCAAAATATTTCTAAAGAGCCAAAATGAGATAAAAGTTGGTGTAGACATACTAAAAGTTCAAAAAAAGTGCAAAAAAAGGGTAAAACAACTTCATCCAGAACTTAGTCAATCAGACTAATTTATGACTGTCCACACTGTTTTTTTCAAAAAAAAGTTCAGAATTAGTTCAAAATACATATTAGATAAAATTGTGCATAATCCCATTTCTGTCATTAAGTGAGAACCTTTTATTGCGAATTTTTCTAGACCTCTCATCATATGGGATATCTTCTCTATAAAAATATTCTTCTCTTCTCAATCTTAGTGGCAATAGAAGAAAACTAGCTAATTAGAGTCGATTAAAAATTTTGCCCTTTTTTTGCCCTTTTTTTGCTCTTTTTTGAACTTTTAGTCTGTCCACACCAAGTATTCCAATTTGATACACTCTAAATGATATTAAAAAAACCAACTATTTCACTCCAAAGTAGACAGCATGTTTCAAATACTTGTATATTTTTTTATAGTAACAAATCTTACTAAATTCTTTTGTAATCTTATATAAAATAGCTAAAGTAAAGAAATTATATTAATAATAATATCCATAACTCATTGTACAATTATCTTTTCTATGGCAGCTAGCAACAAGTTTCAATAAAAAACTATATTTGTAAAGGTCAAAATTTTATTATATCAGCAAGTGGTATAAATGAGTCTCATTTCAAAATCATTGATGAAAATTATTATAAAACACACGCAAAACAAACATAAAAAGTTAAATCTGAAGCCACATGAAACATCACTGAAACATTTTACAATTTTAATAGATTTTAAAATTAAAATACGTTTGCACATATGCCCGCACAGACAAATGCAATTTGTATTTCATGTTTTTTACTTTTGTAATGTGCCATGTTGACGCAAACACATACCTAAAAATGTTGCAAATAGAATAGTGATTTTTCTTTTTAGTGTTGTGTCCAGATAGACTAGCATATCAGATGAACGGATCTATTTTCTTTTTAATGCAATCTCATTTAAGTTTACTTCAAAATTTTATTCTTAGTAAAATTTATGGCTCTTCCCACTACCTAACAGGTGATGACCCTGCAAGGGTCATCACACTATGGAGACAACAACTTTCCTCCTCTATCATCTAATATACATCAATTAACTCAATCAAACTTTTGCAAAGATGCTTTACTTACTACCACTCCCATTACCTTTACCTCCCAGGTTGATACTGAAAAACAGCATTCCCTCATATGTATGGAATATGTACTTGGTTTAGATAACGCATATGTAATTTCTATGGAATGTCATTTTGGGAATTTTCCGTACTATGTTTTCTATGACCTGCTCCAAGTTAATAACTCATTTGTGGCCTTCTTCTGGATCACAATTCATGCCACTTTCTCTGAGAACAAAGCTTTTGCTCAAGTTACGTTTTTGTGCAACAACACACATATCATAAAACTCTACCTTAAAACTGACACTCATTGCAATCATGCATATGTCAAACTCATTGTCATTCAAGACTCCATTATTCTTACCCACTGTGCTATTTCATCTTTTGTTATGATGAGAAAATTCAACATCACTAGTTACCATTGCCTCTTCTGCCTCTATGTTATTGAAATTATCTGTTCTTCTCTTCTTTCTTTTGGCATCATCAAGGAGATCATTATTTACCTAGAGAACAATTTCTTTACTGGATCTGACCATGTACACCTGAAATGCCCACCTAACCAGAATTGTGTTTAATATTCTCTGATTTATAACATTCCTTGCAAAGATTATAGTCATGTTTTTGGCACTTAGGCCAAGATGAGTCAATATTGCAGATACTGTAAGGCCATATGCTATGTTCTGGCTAACTGTCTTACACATCTAATCAAATCTTGCACTAGTCATGCCTGTCAAGCCACTAACCACCTTTAGGCTCTTTTCACATATCAAAAACGCCTATTCCAACAGTAACGCTAGTAACAAACACATCTGTAAACAGCTTTGGTGCGAATCCCAGTCTGCTCCAGCCCATACACAAACTCTTTTCTCTGTTCTTCTCACATTGCCCAAGCAAACGAAAAAATTCACTCCTTGTACACTGCTTACTAATCAGTTTCACATCTTGAGTAAGTCTGTGGCCAAGATTGAGGCCAAACTTACACAGCTATCTACTCATAACCTCTACTGACAAGTCTTTTGCACAGCATTGAAAAACATTACTGACTAATAAAGCTGTGACATTATATACTAAGAATATAATTATAACAAGGACAACTTATCTATAGATACTCAAGACAGCAAAAATGACACTGAATCCAAATCCTGTAGTAACAACTATAATACCAACAGCAACCAATATGGCTCACTTATGACAGATATTATTGTTCATCAAAATATTAACTCTCCTCAATAACTAATATAGAAATACTAAACTGTAAAGGGCTTGCAAAATTATAATATCCCCAAAGACAATTCTTATTTATTTGATATCTCCACTCCCAATATCTTGACATATTTACTCTTCAAGAAACTCATGCCATCGCAAAAGCTCTTCAACAGACCTTTCAACATCAATTTCATTTCTTATCTACATTATGGCTGCCTTATTGCGGTCTATTCTTTCTTTCCCCCTTTCTAATGTTTACTTAGCCTTTATTCACCATGTGTAATTGCAGCATTACAACTACTGTCACTCACGCTAATAATCTCTTTCCTCTTTGCTATTCATATTTGTGTTGTATATGTCTTATCCATCCCAAGCCATAGATGTATTTTTTTTATCACTTCTCAACAACTCTCACTTTATCTCAACTCTCCTCTCCTGATTTATTCTTTTGAGTGTCCTTAACTATAACTCTCTGCCCTCCACAGTCACACCCACAACTCGCACCCCAAAGATCTTACATAAATGGCTTCAGTTTGTGTAATCTAATGTACATACACTGGAAAAAAGTAGAAGAATACTGGTGTGTATATATGAGCAAATGGTACTGGAATAACATGATATAGCATGGTTGATATTTTTTCCACTAGGTTTTAAGGACATCTAGCACTGTACGTGCGAGACTTACAAACACTACAGTATATGTACACTGGAAAAATAGGGTAGTTTCATCTGGATCAAATGTACCAAAAATGTAGATGATTGAGCTGATATCATCACAATTTTTATGATATATCATTTTGAGCAATGGTACAATATCATCTATGGTGCTGATGCATATCATCATAACAACGGGTATACAAAAAACCCAATGTAGAATGATTGTCAGTCCGCAAACTATGGAAACTGAATAAATATTGTAGTTACACTTTACTCCTATTGAGTCTACCTCTTTATGTGTTATATTTTGAGGTCTATAAAGAGCTAGTGTCTCATATTATTATTTTTACTGGGTTTTTTTATTGGCCGCAGAAATGCTTTAAAAACTATCAAAGTGATGATTGTAGGTTTTTTACAATATAAAGAAATGATGATAGTTGGTTTTTTATATATACAAAAGCAATGAAACTAGATTTTTTTATAATAAAAAAGAGAAACAAAGCATGGGTAGATTTTTATAAACAAGCCTCTTTGGTTTGTTTATTTATTTTACTTTTTTTTTAGAAAAACATTGAGTTATACATTTTTTGTTCAATTTTGTTTTATTTGATAGGAAAATCTTTTCTAGATAAAAATCCTAATTTCGCAACAGTTTTGATACTATAGCTATTATAATCACTAATATTTCTTGCTTGCTATATATAATTTAAAGCCTTCTGGAAGTAGACATGGAATACATACTTTAATAGCGGGAATGCTATTAAAAAATGATTAATAGAAAAGAAGAATTAGTAAATGATTTAAATTGAAATTTCTTCATAAATACTTACAAGACAGAGAAGACTTAACATAAAATTGATATAAACATGTTCTTCAGAATTATCAAGACAATACCAGTAGTCTTTGAATGGAGATATATTCTAAAAATGAATAATTATTATTATTGTGTGTAGTAAAGGCGTATTTATTAAATATATTATAGTTAACTTACCAAGTATTACTGATTATACGTCTTCCTGCATAATATCAGACATAACTAATAAATCGTAATAAAAATAAAGATATATTTATGAGTAAGACAAAATAATAATTTGAATTTTTTTTAAGAAAAAAACTTACCATCATGTTCAATTAAGAGATGATAAGACTTAATGGAAATGAGTAGCAATGGCTAGACAAACAATATGATGAGTAACAAAGATCTGTAAGAGAATGATATCTTACCTTGATATATCAGACAGAGTATAGCCAAACAAAGAGACACATATTTGGTATTGAGCTATAAAAGAAAGAAAAAATTGTAAGTGAAATTCTAAAAACATAAGCAAAAGAGAAACAAAGAAAATATCAATAATAAATGTCATTAAAAGAAAAAAAAAGGAAAAAAAAAGACGTCTTAAAATCCAGTTTGACCCTGACAAAACTTGGGCTGTAAAAAGTAATACTCCAAAAGAAGATGCCCACTGTCATCTTGAAATACAACTTTGTGTCTTATTAAGTTAGAAAAGAACTTGTCTAAATGTGGATCAAGTGGTTGGGAGATGTGCTTAAATATCAAATGAAAGGTAGAGAGTTAATCTGCACCACTTATCCTCTTTACTAGTATGTGAATTTTAAATATGATATAACAAGTGTAGTGAATTGTACAATATTAGTTGAAAGTTATTAATATATATTTTATTAACAAAAAATGACATAGCATATTCCTACTGCTCCCCGCCAACCCAATCTATGCATGAATGCTGTTCTTAATAGCACAAGTGCAGGTGTTGTTGCTGCAATTGATACATCAACTCCAGAAGTAGCAATTGACACAGCCTCTGAAGTTCAAGTCGCTGTGACCCCAATAGATCACGTCCTTACCTTGTTGGCAGCCAACAATGTGTCAATACAATCCTTGCAAGAAAATGCAAAAGGAGTGACTGATGCAATAACTCATTTGAAGAATGTCCTGGATTTGTCCAACAAGACAAATGAATTTTTGAAGAACTCGGTCCTTCAGCTCATGACTGCAAATGCCAAAATAAAAAAGGCAATGACCAGCCAAAATTCCATGATGCCTTCTGCTGTACTGGCAAATTCTTCTTCTTCCATGGATGATGATCTTGACCTTGGAGTGAAACATCATCCCTTGATTTCTGTAAGTAAATTGATAATAATAACATTACTGATTAATATATCTAATTCTGTTTTTATAGCAACTTATCAATAGTTACATCAAGAAACCAAACTTTGTTAGCACAGACCTGCTCAAAGTTGCTGAGAATAATAATAGATCAGCATGGTCAATGACTGGCACGTATGGCAATAAGTACAACAAGACACTTACACTGGCTCTCTTCAAGTACCTGAGACCTCAAAGATGTTGCACAAATGTGTCAAAAAGTGTCATTATGAATATAATAAAGAATCACTACCAAAATCAAGTGCGAGTCTTCTGGACCTCAGCAGAGAAAATTATGGCTAGAAATAAAGCTGGAAGAAGACACAACAGAAAGAAGACTGTAAGTTTTAAAATAAAGTTAATTTACTATTGATTTAATGTTTTAATACAATATTCTTTGGTAGCTTCTTGACCGTCGTATTATCACGTACCAGACATACACAGAGGCTATTCATGAGGGCATGAATCGATATGATTGTGAAAATATTTTTTCTATTGACGTGATGTCTGATGGCAAGTCGGATGGAGATAACGAAGTGTGGGCATATCGTCCCCGCTGGAGAACTGATGAGGTAATGTTAAACATCTATCTATGTTTTAAAGAAAATAATAATACTTTATTAATACTATTTATTCTTTAAACCAGCTCCAGACTTTTATTAGTACTATTGATGAACTTACTGTTATCCGTTTGAAGAAAAATTCAGAAAGCTTGAAAAAGTGCATCCCTTATAAGAAAGAAGTGAGCATTTCTGAGAATTTGGCAGTCACTTTACCAGATTGGTGCTTTTCAAAATAAATCATTTTTTTGCTTGCCAACTATTTTTGAGTCTTTTTTCTACTTGTTTATGTTTACGGATTAGCATGTTGTATACAGATGCATGTATAGCATGCCAAGTACAAACAAAAATTTATAGAAATAATAAAAAATAAATGTGAAGCTATATATATTAGTCTGTACTAATTAATATTTCTTTTTTATATGTGTTTTATTTTTGTATTTGAATATATATATATATTTTTCGTGGCAAAGAAACTACACACATCTGAACTTCGCCTTCTAGACCAAGGTGCTTGCCTACTGCAACTGGATAGCAGATTCTATGCACTGGGAGAATGCTGTTCATGCTGCCATCTTCGAATCCCATCTAATTCACCTCAACTCCTTCTTCTGCTCTGGGCTGAAGTAAAACTTCCTTGTACCATCGTACATATACAAATACATACTGGCTCGCATGACCAGCAAATGAGTTTACAGCAGTATTGACAAAGAGGTACTTACTTTGGCCTGCATATGGCTTGGTACTTCTACCATCACTTGTCTCAAACAAGGCTTGCATGAACAACCCGCGCTGATTCTTCGTTTTACTCTTGTAGATTTGCCTAAGAAGATCGATTGATTCAAACTTCTGTATCCAACTGTTAACAAAATAATCGGAATGACCAGCCTGACAATAATGAACAAGAGTTTGATCATCATATGTCTCGCGATAGTATTCCAACAAATGCTCATACTCGGATTCATCCATGGAAATCTCCCCCTTTAGAGCTAAAGGAAGTGCGGAAGGGGGCAAAAGCTCATTTCGCTTGACAATATCAAAGTTGATCTCAGGAAAATCAAGAAAAGCATTGATATCGAATTGGATTGAGGTGGCAGTGGAATTGAAAGTGGCTATGGAATTGGCAGTGGATACAGTGAGCTCAAGGATGATCACCAAATGCTCAGATCGAATTATTGGCAAAGTTTGGCAAATAATATCTCCCTTGTATGCTTCTTCAAGATACTTCTTCATATAGGTTCCCTCAAACCTGTCTTTTCTATTTGTCGCATAGTTTTTCAAGATACCATTGCATCTTTCGAAACTAAAAAGCCAATAGACATAAACCAGGCCAAACTTCAGTACAGTCTCTCGCAGATGAAGATAGAGATGCATGTTTGGCAAAAGGAATGGGACTTTATACAACTTCTCGCACTCTCTGCAGAAAGCCTCCAAAGATTGATGGGCTTCATCAAGGTGAGCCATGGATATGCTTGGCAATGAGAGGTACTGGCATGCATTGACAAACATTGTCCAGTTACCGAGATGAGCTTCAGATAGACGACCACGCAGGAGAACAGGAGTGTTGTAAATGAGTATTGACTACTGCTGTAATTGAGAATAAGTCTGAAGGAAATAATATAAGGCCTCAGCTATTCCAGTCAAAGGTGTCTACCGATTACTTTATTATTTAACACACAGGTTTAGCATGCATGATAGTGATTATATTTCATATGATGATATCACCATAATATGGGATATATCAGTGGATTATTATAAGCATAATTATAACTCATAAACACATTTACTTTCGATGTTAATACTTCATTGGGACTACACACATTTATATAATTAATCATATATTAATTATCCCAAGATCACGTTGCTCTGATTAAGGCTCAGATAGGATCGATTACCTGACCCCAGTCATATAATTTTCCTGATTCAAAATAATATAAATAGCAGTAGTAGTTCAGTGTAGGAACCTCGTCAAATTTTGATACCAAATCTTTCTCAATAAACAAACCCTACACAAGTTTTCACGAATCTTCGTTCCTAATCTCAAATCTTCAATTCTTCCTCTTAAAAACTTCTTCAACTTCAACCACCACAACAAGGAGAGTACACCAAGCACCAAGACTTCTACTTGTTGGCCTTCATGAATGGGAAGCCATGCCCAATCTTTGTCCCTAATGGCGTGTAGTCCTCTGGCAGTACAAGCTTGTCAGCATCCAACTGCATTTCGGCCAAGTGTGCATCTGTGATGAGACCTGAAGATCTCCATTTCTCTATTATCCTCTTTGCTGTTCAGAGGTACAGGTTGTGCATCGGATCGATGACAGTGCACTCCATGAGGTTAAAGTAAACCAGGCCATACAATTCTGACCATCAGACACCATTTTCCCTCTCCAATCTCTTTCTCTGTTCATCACTGCTGGCCATTCTCCACAACTTGGCATCACAGCAGTTTTTGGCATCATGGCAGTTTCTGGCATCAGTGCGAGGCACCCACTCAGAAAACACAAACCCAGAGTAGTCCACAGCATTGGAGTCTGGAAGGCAAGGGAACTGTTGGTTGCACTTATTGCATGTACATGTGCTTGAATGAGAGGTTAACCCACAAGTCTTACAGGCAGCAGGAATGTCGCAGGCAACAAGAAGAAGGGCAGCACAGACAAGAGCACCAGATGGGCACTGTACAATAGACATTACCACACTGTCATACAACTGGTTGAGTTCCGTGACAAGGGGACGGAGATAGTGATTGATCTCACTTGTCTTTGCTTCCTTGGGCCCTGGCATGAGACCAATGAGAACAACATTCTCCTTCTTGTACTGTTCCGATCTTGGCAAGTTGTTGATGCAAAGGTATATTGCACCACAGGAGTAAGTGACCCCATCGAAAGGTTGAAACCAATTGATGTTCATGGTAAGCATTATAGAGCGCTCATGATTCACAAATGGTAAACCATTGCTATCCTTCAGACTGTTCCACTTCGTACCATCGTAAATTTCAAACATCATGCCTGGAACTTGCACTCTGGTTCTCCAATAGTTGATGGTGTCTTCGAATCCAGGGCGACAAAAAAGGATAGACAATGTTTTGATTATGAAGTTATACATGTAGATCTTTTTGGGGATAGTCAAGGCTCTTGATATTGCAAAGAAAAGAGCGTTTCCACATTTTCTACCAGAGAGTCTCTCAAAATTATAGCACTCTGAAACAACATCAGACTCTTCATATACTTTGTTACAATCGCCACATGCAACAAACCACTGGACACCTCGAGTCACATTGCTGAGACTGGTCATAGAGTTGACACAGTTTATACTGAGGGGAAGACGGAAAGACTGTCCAAAGTGTGCCAATACTTCGTTAAGAAACTTCAACAGAACAGCACCACCAGAATTGACAACATATTTGGATATGAAGAAGGCAGCAAAAGAAGTAATGAAAGTATGAGTAGGATTGACTGGCATATTGGATGAAGAAAAGTGCTCTATTTGAAAAAAAATCAATACTTGTTGACTTTATTGATTTATATGTGCTTTTTGTACTAACCTCTAACATCATCAGATTCATCATCAGAAATATCCAAAATGGTTGCTTCAATGACACCCTCATCTTCGCTTTCAGAATCAAACAAGGAATCAATGTCAAAAAGAGGTAAGTCTTTGGCTGTTTTGTTAGGTAAAAAAGAATCAAATTATTAGATATTATAAATGATTATAAAACTTTAATAAAAATACTATGCATACCTTCAACTTGATCTTCGGCATCAACATTGTCTTCAAAGTCAATCTCCATGTCATTGTCATTTGACATTACTTCTACAACTGAGGCTATATCATATGAAAATAAATATTTAATTAAAATTGTCTCAATAATAATTTTCTTAAATTTGAACTTACAAGAAGATCCTGACTGATATTGTCTCACGATATCCTGTTGTGCATGTCTTCTGAGTGTTTGGGTAGACACCAAAACAAATCCCATGCTTTTGGAAGAACATTTAGAGCACTTACATTCTGAATTGTTGTTGTTGTTTGACATATTGTGTGTGTATGTTTTATTTTTTAAGTCTTTAGAATTGACAAGAATAGAAAATTGTTCAGGAACACAGTTTAATATATATCTTTCCAAATTACACCAGCTGCCAAAATGACATAGTTTATTCCGGTTGTTAAAATGGGCAGTTCTCTAAACAGTAATTGATTGCCTCATTCTAAAATACAATAATACACACTTTTGTTAAAACATGTTGTCATATACATTTTATTAGCTGTAGAGCGTATACAACAAAAATATTTGTATTAATATCACGACCATTAACCTCATCATACTTATAAATAAATATTACAACAATAAAAATCTTTATTATCTCACTCAAAAGATATCATTTGGTTTAAGTTCCCTACAACTATTGACTCTGCGACATGGCTACAAGTCCCAAAAATAAATCTTGCAGATATTTTTTACAAAAAAGAGTAAACTCGTTTTTTTATCCAATAAAACAAACCGAGCATTATCATTGCTGTCAAAAATAAAAAAGACAAAAGTGATAGAAGTTTAAGCTACCACTCCACAAATAATAGTACCCTATGCCATAGATGAAATTACCCTATTTTTCCAGTGGTAGATGGGGGGTTCCTCAAGTAAGGTTTGGTAGCACTTTTGATATACTCATTATGCTTAATAAATAAAGCCTATCCTTACGGACAAGACGACGGGACAAGATTTTGAGGACAATATTTTCATCTCTGACGTCAGTGATGATTAGTGTAACAATCCCATTTTTTTTGGGGGGGGTCAAATCCGAGTATTTCGTAAAAGTTTCAAAAAATATTGATTATAAAAAAAGTTGACAATTGAGATAAAAATTGATAGAAAGATAAAAGTTGATATAAAAATAAATAGAGATAAAATATATAAAAAAAAATAGAGATAAAATATATAAAAAAAACTACAAAAATAAAATATTCAATGTTAATATTATCAATGCCAATTCAAGTACAAAATATATACCTTAGTAATTAATACATTATTGAGTTATTGCTTAGACCATATCTTTTGACTATGACTTTGTGAAAAGGATTTATTTCTGGCCAAATGAAGTTTCTGATAGGTTTACGTTTCGCAAGGAGAAAGTGGTTGATGTCCAAGATGATGATTATTGGTTCGAATTTTTCTGGTGTGGTAGTTAATGAAACGAAGAGACAGTCGCCTGTTTCTCTTGGAGTGTTCCAATATACAGCTACTGACCTATTGAACGTATCTGCTACAAGTTGTGGATGGTCAATCGTTCCAAACCAATGTTGCTGTGGGAGGGGTGATCTTTTGTCTTTAAGACTGATTGTGAGTGGGTTTGTGGTTGCAGGCATGTTGTCATTCTCCATTCCTCCCTGGTAATATGTATGCTGATATTTTAAGTAGGCTTCTAGCATATTTTCTTTAACTTCAGGCCATTTCTTCTGGTCCTGATATATCTCCATTGCTATTGCTCAGTATCCACAGTTGCCATCTGCTTTGAGAGAAAAGACTTTGATTATATGTTTAGGAGCAATAGTAAGATTTATTAATATTGTGTGATCGATTGGCAAGCCAAGATTGGTGATATTTTGCAAGGCTTTTTGCTCTTGAGTTGAGAATATTTGTTTTCTAGAAAATAGAGCAAAACTTGAGTGAAATAGATTTATGTAATGTATTATAAATGAATACTCACTTTTTTTGTTCTTTTGCTATTTTAATTTTTTTGTATCTTTTTCTTTTTCAGCTTCAATGCAGTGCTCTAATGCAATCATTTTATGCTTTGTATTTTTGGGTTGGCCTTTGATGGCTTCCACTATTGTTGGACCATTAAGATCCTCAAGTTTCTGCTTGGTCATTTTTTCTAGTATGTTTTTTACTAAATTATGTATATCTATTTGTTCTTGTTTGCTGTGTGTACTGTGAAAGCCTTCATGAACAAGCTCAAGATCATACTCAAATTGAGGCGATATAGTTGTTATTTTAGCAATGTTTGCTGGTACTGGTTCTGCGTTATTAATTGTCAAGTGGTCTATATACAATTATATATTATATGAGAAAATAATGTTATAACTATTATATGTATTACCTTCTCCTTCTAGATAATCTTTTCTTCAGCGTCTTGGAATTAGGGAGATTGGAATTGTATTAAAAGTAGCAAGTGTATGATAGCATGGTAAGAGATAGTTGTAATGTAAGAGGCATTTGCACTCTTTGGTCAATTTTTCAGGTATGATTGATTTTGATAGTTCTAGTTTGATTTTGTACATTGCAAAGCAGCTAATTTTTTGACGAATGTCATTTAGTCTCGCTCCATTGACTTTGTCAAACACAACTTCTGTACTCTCTCCAAGACACTCTGTCATTAATCTGCATTTACAATCATCAATCTATTTAATATACAAATATATTATAGCAAATAATTATAATTAGAGAACTTATTCAACTAACACATAAAATAAAATAAGATAATGCAAATTTACCAGTTCCTGATATCACTTTTTCACTTTTAGTGTCACTGTCATCAATTTACTAGAAGAGGTACCAAGAGAATGCTTGAGGGAAGCACGTGCACTTTCTGCATAATTGGAGATACGATTTCCAAAGTGAGAGTATTTATAAACGTACATGTTTACCTAGTTTTCCTTGTCTTTCATTTTTCTAGTAAATTATATAAAAATTACCAATTTTTTATAATTAATAAGCCATTTTTGTCGAGTTCAATGGCTCTATATGTACCTTTCAAGGAAATTACTGGCGGTTTTCCCCTGATCCTTGCAATTCTTCTTTGCAAACTCAAGATACCCATCTGCCTCTTTCTTTACTTCTTCGGGCGTCTCACACTTCAAAGCAATCTTGTCAAGAAACCCTGCCAAAGTCTCCAGAAGTTCTCTCTTCTCACTGCTCTCTTCTTCCTTCATCGTTGGTAGCAAGTCTTTTTTGAAATTATCTTTTATATGCTTATAGCATAAGACTTGCTTCGACTCAGAGAAAACACAGGTAATTGCATTTCGCAATGCTTTCTCATTGTCAGTTATAAACACATTAAGAAGAAGAGGTGTGTATGTGTTTGTTTGTGATTGTGTTGTTGTTGCTGTATTGCTGTTACTATTGCTGCTGTTATTGTCTTTGACATCTGGCCAAACTGCATCACAAAGACAACGAAGTACCCAGAGATAATTCTCAACCGTTTTGTGATCTACCCAAGCACCAGCAATAGAGAGTGTCTTCAATGTTCTGTGAGATTTACCAGTTAAATTACTGGTACCAACAATATTGACAAATGTCATTCTATGGCTATTTGTCTTATATGTAGCATTGATGATTATCGTCTCAGACATTCTTTGTGCTTCCTCAATTGCATTCTTGTGAACAAAGAAAACCATGTTGATTCTTTTGTCATCTGTATTATCAACAGTATAGCAGATATAGAAGTCTAGGTCTTGTAAAGTGGTAATAAAACAAAACATCTCCTTTCCTTCATAATCTTTTCCAAAGTGCTGCTTGATGTTCTCAATGTCTTGACATACAATATTGGTGTATTCACATATCTTCAAACTGTTGAAAATGGTTGATACATCATCGTTATTCTCCAGATGTCTTGTTACAAGGGCCATGGCCTCAGGCAAAAGTTTTCAGTGCATAGCATATGCCCTACAATCTTCCTCAATTGGATGGTTATGTTGTGCCTTACACGAGTGCACAGCAACTCTTCTGTCTTTTTTCTTAGAGGCGTACACAAAGCATTGGCCACCATGCTTTTGTGTATCCTTGACACGTTTTCTTTCCCATCCAGGAAGGAGACTCTCTTTGCTGGCAGAGGTTTCTAAAGCAATTTTTGCAGCCTTACAAGTGTTTCTATATTTGTCTGCATGCTTACAGATCATCTTTATGTGAGTTTCTGATGAAAACATGGTGTAAAATGCAATATTATATGTGGCACCATATGCCTTGACAGCTTCACGAACAGCTACAGTTGAAGAAAATTGTCTTCCAACAAGAAAGATTGAATTAAACTCGGTCAAAGCAGTATCGTACTTCTTGGAAGAAGTCTCACTGACAATGACAAGGTCATTGGTGTTGTTGGTGTTGTTGATGTTGCTCATGTTAAATGTCAAAAAAATTATGCGCTGATGTCGTAGTAAAAAAAGGGCAGTGATCTTATTGGCAATCCAAAGAACCATTAATCTAGTCGCTCCCCCCAAAAAAAATAGGATTGTTACACTAATCATCTCTGACGTCAGAGATGGATATCTTTTTCTTAAAATCTTGTCCTGTCGGCTTGTCCGTAAGGATAGCCTAAATAAATAAAAATATTTAAAACTATGGATTTATCTTGGTATTCTTGACACAGAGCAGGAAATGTCAAAGATGGATTACATCATGTATATTGCTCTAATAGTTTATCTGTACTACATCTCATCTTTACTGACCATCTTTACTGACCACCTATACTGACAGTTCTTTAAAATCTCCAATCATCAACAGCAAAAAAACATGTCTTTAAAATTATGGACCAGTAATATGTTCTTTATTTATTTGGTTTCCCATTCTTATTAGGTTGGTAATGGTTTACGCTTTTATTTTTATTGGAAAGAATAGAATGTTTCTAGGTTTCAAATATAATAAAGCTGTTCTATATCCTCAGCTACTTCTTGCTCGGCTGGCTTGTTATATTTGGGATGAAAAATCTTCTACAAAAAACAAATACCTGAAGAAAATGAGATGCTCATTACCTTTTTTTAGGGGTAAGAGCAGTACTCTTTGAGAATAGATAAAACATTAGTGATGGGAGTGCGTGCGTGTTTTATACTGCAAGTTTTATGCACTAATTAATACTTACTTTGGAAGTACCCTATGCAAATGGACAAAGAAATAAAACATTTACAGTAAAGCATGGGATTATGATTTCTTTGACTATAAAACAATAGGAAAGAATTAATTTTTGTGAATTGCGTGATAGAATAATTGATTTATATACCAAAGTCAAAGGATTTCTTTGCAGACCAAGATATTATCTGTAAAGCGGTAATATCGTCTCTAGTAGAGGATATACATTAATATACAGTATAAATAATATTATTGTATGTATAGAAGTAAATAAAAGGCTTACCATGGCAAGCTGGTAGCACGGGATGGAAGCTCTTGAGGCATGGCATGTTTGTAAGAGGGATGTTCATCTATAATAGAAATTATATTCAGTTAGATAAATATTAAAAAGAAATAGATTAAAATAAAATAAAATATTACTGTGTCAATATCCATGTTTGATTGTAGAGCGTATTTTTAGCGATGTGGCCTATATTAAAGAAAGAAAAAAGTCAGAATGATTGTATGGAATGATGGCATAAAGTATATTTACTAACTCTGACTAACTCGGATGACTGTTGTGAAGATGGCACATCATAATGCAAATAAGAGTGAGTTTCTATGACATTAAGATATATTATTATTTTTTAGTTATACATAAAGAAGTATATATTTCTTTTAAAACAAAGAAAGTGTCTTACCATAAAACCTTGCGAGTGTAAAGAGTGAAGAGAGAAACAGAGAGAATATCTATGACAGACAAAAAAGTTAATTCTTTTGTTCTTTATAAAGAAGTATTTTGAACCAAAAACAATCTTACCAGAAAAATTTGCAAATATAACAAGAATTGAAAAGAGAGAGAAAAGAGGGAAATAACAAAAAACAAATAGAAAAAGTAAAAAAAAATCAAAGAAAAAAAAGTGTGTTTAAAACAAAAGATCAATATGATTTCATTGAGTCCCAAAGCAATATAAAAACCGATTTATATTCCAGTCATTACAAGAAGTATTAATAGAGATTCGTATATCAAATATATTTTGAATATATATAATAACCATACCTTTCGTATAATATACTTTCCCTTGCTCTTACTCTCTTATTACTTACTACACTTATACTCCCAAATCAGCACATTTGTTCTAACAATTCAAGTATGTAAACTTGATAAAATTTATTTTTAATTTAATTTAAATAAATTTAATTGTAGAATGACAGCAATAATAATAATATAATCTGAAACTAATAATTGTAATCTTTCATTTTATTATATTCTGTAGACAATGACTAACACAAGATGTGAACGCGCAATTGCTCTTTGTCCTGTTGAGATCACCAATCAGCAGCTTATGGAAATACTTTCTACTGTGAGAGCGGATATGTCTACCATAAAAGGACAGATCGGTAATGTTGAGCAAACTCTGACAAACATGAATGGCAGAATTGGTGTTCTTGTCACCACCAGCACCAACACCATCAGTGCCATAGATAGTTTGGCCAGAGCTCCCCTTGCTGCTCCTATGAGAGCTGAATTCACTATCGCTGCACCTGTTATCATCTCCAACCATGAACCTACCCATGAATAATCTAATGTAGTTTATGTGAGTAACATATAAAATATTTTATCAATTCATTTTCTCATGATTTATTTATCAGGCACATATTCACAACCTTATGTGGAAACCCAAGCTTAGCTTGAGAATGCCAGAAAATATTCTGGCCAACAACCTCAAGCCCAGATGGGATACAAATGTTGCTTTAAACAAATCTCCCAACAGGGAGATAGCCGAGCAACTTCTTTCTAATCTTTAGTGCAGGTTTGGTTCCTCTAGTATAAGACGAAGCGATCTCTGAAAGAGCACACACCAACTTCACTAGTAGAATCCGTCGTGAGAGAATGTCTGATGATGAGATAGCAGAAACAAATGCTCTTACACGAAGAGCAGCCCGTGCAGATAATGTGAGTATTATGCTAATATATATAGTTTGTAGTTGAAAATTAAAATTAAAAATAACAAATTAACAAAACTTATTACTAGAATGAGTGTCGCCATGTACTGACATACAAAGACAATAAGGAGGCCATTGATCTTGTAATGCTCAGAAACTGTGCCAACACTCTCCAAAAAACAGCAATTTCAGATGGAGAGTCTGCCAATGAAATGGACAATGATGGCATAAAACATGTCATTCATATTGTATAACCAGGCTGGAGAAGCAATGAGATAGATTAATTTGGAGTAATACTTTTGTATTGGTGTATTATTATATTGAGTGAATTATTATCAAATGTATTTCAGTGCAACCGTTTTATTGCACTTGTTGACACTTATGCTGTCCAGGCTATGAGGTCAAGTGCTAATCAAAGGATCCGTAGGATCACTACTAGTGTGTCCAACTCAGCAGTCCTGGATAGCATTAGCCCCAATTTTCCTCAGTGGGCTCTTAGAGATGGGCTATAAATAAAACATGTTTCTCTTTTTTTTATCTATGTATTACTTTTTACATATACAATACTATCAATATATATAGGGAATTTGTTCTGTTTTTTTTTGTATAAGAAAAGAAAATTCAAGTGGGGGTTTTTTTATTTTAAGCATAAAGCTTTTTTGGCAAAGCAATTACTAACATCTTACTAATATTTCTACTTGTAGTAATCCTGGCTGTAGCAATCTCTAAAAAGATGTGGTGCACAGGTATAATGCAATGGCAACTATCGGGGGAGAAGGTGGGGAGACAAAACTCAAGACTGTCATCCTTACACAATCTATCAGAGGAAGTATTAAACCACTTGATATATGCGAATACATGTTGATGATCATGAACCATGCGAGTCAGGTGGAGATTGCTATTAGAAGGGTGTGTAAAGGAGTGTGTGAAGAGATACTGTATTTGTCCAGCATAGGCTAGGGTATTTCTACCGTCACTACCAACAAACATTACGTGAACAAGAGAATCACAACTAGCTGAGCCGTTTTTATCATGGTACTGTTGACCAAGTAAGTCAATGAACTTCAACTTTGTGATTTCATTGTCAACAAAGGAGTTTGTGAGCGTAGCATATTGTTAACTGACAAGGTCAGGAAGATTATAGGATGTTTTGTAGTGCTGAAGCAGATGGGCATATTTGGTTTCATCCATCAGTGATGATTTTTTTAGCTGAAGAGGAAAAGTCAAAGGAGGAAGAGGTTCGTTACCCTTTGGAGGAAGATGTGGGTTGGACGATGGTAGTAAGAATGATTGCAATCGGAATGGATAAGAGGAGAGGGTAATAACTGTGGTGGTAGGTGTGAATTTCGGAGAAAGCTTTGAGAGAATGTTGAAAAAGGCGACGTGACTAGAACTTTTCAGAACAGCATTGGAATAGTCACCCTTGAATGCGTTTTGAACAAAACTTCTCATATATGTTGTCTCAAAACCATCTTTTCCATTTGTCTTGATATGCTTCAACAGGCCATTGTATCTCTCAAACCCAAAGAGCCAGTAACCATACATGGGTCCAAAAACACGAATGGTCTCGCAAAGATGGAGGTGCGGGTGCATGTTGCAGGTGAGGATGATAGGAGTGCAGAGTTCAGTAGCCTTTTTGCAAAACATTTTCAGATAGTTGTGGGCACTGTTCACTTCATCAAATGTGATGCTTGGCTTGATAAGATAGCGGCATGCATGGACAAAATTTATCCAGTTGTTATACATTTCAAATAGTAGAATACCATGCAGCAGAACAGGAGAATACACTAGTACCCAGGATTTCCAGTTGTTAGCTTTCATGTATGGAAAGCCTTTTCCAATCTTTGATATCGGCTTTGTATAATCCCTCAGAAGGACCATTGTCTCTGCAATTTGTTCCATGGCAGCAAACTCTTTGGCTCCAATCGTTTTCTTATTGACCCACCGGTCCATCATTCTTTTTGGCATCCCCACGAATAAATTATGCATGGGATCAATGATCGTTCCACATACTAGATCAAAGAATCCAAGGCGTTGCAACTGCTACCCTCAAACACCATATTCGACTTCCAGCTGGTGCCTTTCTGAGGGTGTACTCGCACTCTTACACTCCTCAGCATGCAACCTGTTCTCTACACTGCTACGAATATTCCAAAGAGAATAATTGAATCCACTGAAGTCCACCTGATTTGTGTTGGGCAATCTGGGGAGCTGGATTGTATACTTGTAGCATGCACATATACTATTGTGGGCTGTAAATCCACTTGTTTTCCTGGCAGCAGGGATGTCACATGCAACCATCAGCAAGGCAGCACGGACATTAGCACCAGAAGGGCACTCATAGATCGGGACTCACATTCCAATATACAACTGTTTCCTCTTGTCTACCATGGGCTTGAGATAGTTATTTATCTCCTCGCATCTTGGCTTCTTGGGACCAGACATCAGACCAATCAGAATTGTGTTCTCAGGCTTGAACCATACTTCTCGAGGCAGATTATTTACAACCAAGTAAATTGTACCAGAAGAGTAACTAACTCCATTGAACGGCTAGAACCAGTCTACATTGAGTGTCAACATCAATGAGTGAGAACAAGCAACAAACGAGACACTACTTGTATCCTTCAGCTCTTTCCACATTGCTCCATCATATACATCGCACATAGTATCAAAAATCTTAAGCTTCATGTTCCAGTGATGGATTTGCTCTTCAAAACCAGGACGAAGGAAAAGAACAGACAAAGCTTGCTTAAGGGACTGGTACAAGTATACTCGCTTTGATACCAGTGCACCTGAAGTTGACTCTTTCATCAACTTACAACTGTTGTGGTGGTTGAAGTTGAAGAAGTTTTTAAGAGGAAGAATTGAAGATTTGAGATTAGGAACGAAGATTCGTGAGAACTTGTGTAGGTTTTGTTTATTGAGAAAGGATTTTATATCAAAGTTTTGACCAGATTCCTACACTGAACTACTACTGCTATTTATATTGTTTTGGATTGGGAAAATTATATGACTGGGGTCAGGTAATCGATCCTATCTGGGCCTTAATCAGAGCAACGTGATCTTGGGATAATTAATGTATGATTAATTATATAAATATGTGTAGTCCCAATGAAGTATTAACATCAAAAGTAAATGTGTTTATGAGTTATAATTATGCTTATAATAATCCACTGATGTATCCCATATTATGGTGATATCATCATATTAAATATAATCACTATCATGCATGCTAAACCTGTGTGTTAAATAATAAAGTAATCAGTAGACACCTTTGACTGGAATAGCTGAGGCCTTATATTATTTCCTTCAGACTTATTCTCAATTACAGCAGTAGTCAATACTCATTTACAACAACAACCACAAGGAGAGCGTGCACCAACATTTGTGAAAACACAATGGGGAGGTACGGACATGTTTTCTTCATAGATGCAATGGCTGTTTGAACATGACACAAATTGCTTGATACCTTTGGTGATAGACAAAAAGTCAGTTGTTGTAAATGAGTATTGACTACTGCTGCAATTGAGAATAAGTCTGAAGGAAATAATATAAGGCCTCAGCTATTTCAGTCAAAGGTGTCTACCAATTACTTTATTATTTAACACACAGATTTAGTATCCATGATAGTGAATATATTTCATATAATGATATCACTATAATATGGGATACATCAGTGAATTATTATAAGCATAATTATAACTCATAAACATTTACTTTTAATGTTAATACTTCATTGGGACTACACACATTTATATAATTAATCATATATTAATTATCCCAAGATCACGTTGCTCTGATTAAGGCTCAGATAGGATCGATTACCTGACCCCAGTCATATAATTTTCCTGATTCAAAATAATATAAATAGCAGTAGTAGTTCAGTGTAGGAACCTCGTCAAATTTTGATACCAAATCATTCTCAATAAACAAACCCTACACAAGTTTTCACGAATCTTCGTTCCTCATCTCAAATCTTTAATTCTTCTCCTTAAAGACTTCTTCAACTTCAATCACCACAACATCAGTCATTTTATGTAGCCCAGCCAGACTTTTGGGAAGTTGGAAATCTTGTCCATAAATCTCAAGAGCTCGTTGATGAACTTAATCAAGACAACAGAACCCTTATTGACCACACAACGAGATGCAAACAGTACTGTAAAAGTAGCAATAAATCTGTGCACTGGATTCTTGGGCATATCAGAAGCAGCAAAAAAGTCTTTTTTTTTTAAAAAAAAGTTAATACACATTTTTTTTTTAAAAAAAAGTTAATACACATTTTTTTTTTAGTTTTTTTTTATGTATTTAAAACTGACCCTCATTGTTAAACTCTTCAACATAAAGCTTGGCAGTGTCTTCTTCACCATTGTAATCACTGTCATTGTCATTGGTCATGTCAGACTCATCACCATTGTAGTCATTATCAACAAAGATGTTGAAGTATTTGTGATATATGTGTAGATGTATAGAAGAAAAGGTGTAGTAGACGTGTAGGAATAAGTGAGACTTAGTGATGTTTGAGTTTTTATTGGAGTAGAAATAGAAAAGAGTTTTTGATATCAATTAAGATAAGATTCTAAGTACTGGTTTTATCCATTCAATTGGCACCCATTTCCATCTAATTAGCATCCGTTTCCATCTAATTAGAACCCATTGACATCTGATTGGCTTCCATAGAAATTGAATTTGCATCCATTGCCAACTGAATTTGCTTTCATTGCCATCTGAATTTGCTCCCCCCCTTTTACTATTGGTGGAAGGGTACATGGCACTCAAATTTTTTATTCTTACGCCTTACAATTTTTTTTTATATAACTGTAGTATTTTTTTTTGTAAACGTCGTATTTTTTTATATAACCATAGAATTTTTTTTTGTAAACGTCGTATTTTTTTTATATAACCATAGTATTTTTTTTTGTAAATGTCATATTTTTTTATATAACCATAATATTTTTTTTGTAAACGTCGTATTTTTTTGGCATAAAACATGAATATTTTTATTAGGCATAATTAGTTGATAGAGAAATAGAACACATAATAAAAAGTAAGATATAATGAAATACAAAGTAATAAAAAAAGAGAAGCATAAAGCAGTAAAACAAATAAAAAAAAGAGGGACATAAAGTAGTAAAAAATAAAAATAAAATAAAAAAAGACATAGAGTGTAAAGAGCTTAAATAGACATAAAAGACATACTTAAAGCTTTCGCTCTCTGTTCAAACAGTGAGGAAAAAATGAAATGGCATGGTTAATCCAACCCAAACAGTCCGAAAGGGTGACAGTCTTAGCTGATTCTGTAATCCTTAAGATGAATCCGTCTGACTCTGTAATCTCTTCTCTGTGGACACCAAACTTGATCTTGGACCACATTTCCTCAATTGGATTCAGGAAAGGTGAATACACAGGAAGATATGCACACTTGTACCCACGGGAAGAAATAAAGTCTTTCACCTCATCGGCCTTATGGATAGAAGCGTTATCCATGATGAGATAATGTCCTTGCATACCCTGG